ATTTCACAGAAACTATATCTCACGTGAGAAATGTGTTGGATCATAGGCGTAGACAGTGGGGGGGAGAAGCTTTGCCTCCCCCCCCCCCCCCCCCCCCCCCCCGGGCCTGGGCCATGATCCTTACCGAGACGCTGTTTACGTGCCATGCAACGAGCTTCTAGTCGCGTCATTTAAACAAAATAACGCCCACGTTGCCTTTATTGACAAAATACATGGGAAATGGAATCCCAGCGTGTTTTCGTTAGCTTCAATCTCCAGTTCTGGCGAAAAGGTAACGCGCAGCACCCCCCCCCCCCCCCCCCCCCCCCGGGAAAATGGAAAGTCTACGCCGCTGTGTTGGATCCCAGACATGGTATGCTCTCATTGACCGACGTCTCCATCTCCCTGATCTTTAGCTATGTGATTAATTTTTAATCCTAATCATTTCTTCGTTTCCCGAGCGTAAACCAATAAAAATACTTTGATGTGATCAGGAACCGATTAATTGTTTCTATTGTTATTTTTATAAGACTCAGTGGTCTCAAACTCATTTGAGCGTGGAGGCCAGACAGCCCACATCGAAACGGTCGAGGGCTAACGTACACAGGGAAGGCGGGGGGGGGTGTTGAAAATATTGTAAAGAAAGAGAAGAAGCCTTATGCTTTCGTAAACTCACAGTTTTGCCAGTGGCATCTTCGAATTTGACTTGCTTGTACGACTACGTTGGGCCCTGACCTGATGTGATAACAGAAATAAAAATTACACCGCCCAACGTTCTGGCATTTTTTTTTTTTTTTTTTGATAGAACGATGGGAGCAAATATAGTCGTTCCCAAAAAAAAACCTCAATTCATTCGGGAATTTAGCAAGTTTATCATGTCTCTAAAGAAGCGATCAGTTAATTTTGCAGTTCTTGCTTTCCTGACAATTTTTATTACAACACCCTGAACAAATGTTTGTCTTTATTGTGATATTGTTTCGAAGACGAGCAGCATTCAACGAAGTAGCTCGCGCTTGCCGCGTAATAGCGGAATTGTTGCACATTACTAAACACTGGGGAGCAAAACAAATGAAGCGAAACAAAGCGCAAATGTACACAGATAGGTATAAACGTTGTGAAAACGTTAAAAGAGCAGAGATACTTTCCGATCGAAAATTAATCGACGAAATGAGATCACTATGTCGCATGCCATTTCTAGCGCTCGAGATATGGAAACCGGTAGGGCGCCTACATGTCGGAAACATGTAGGCACCCTAGAAACCGGGACTCGTAGCCGGTCGCCTGAAGGCCGCGTCACAGCGAGTCGTGGGCAGCTTGTTTGAGACCCCTACGCCTACAGCGTAGCTTACTATTTAGTGGCACCACCAACTTCGTGCTCAGGCTCAAAAAGCTACGTAAAACAACTTGCGGAGATAAAAAAAAAAAATCAACATAATTTATGTTTAAAACGTTCATTTTTTTATGTAAAGAACTATTTTTTTTTTTTTCGTTTCCTACGCGCTACAGTTTGCAGTCGATTATATCAAAAGCCGCGCTTGTAGGACTAGCCGCAACACGTACAGATAAATATCTAAAATTAAATAAGCACCACAACTTGTCTATCCACATTCCCAGACTAGCTGTTCACCATTCTACCACAAGACACAAAAATCTGTAAGTAGAAGCTGCAGTAACTGAACGTAAGAATACTTTTTTTTTAACTCTTCTCCCTCGAATTTGATGACTTGCGATGGCGGCACAGCGCAGCACTGAACTAGATTTCAGACGCCATGAATTTCCCAGAAGTGGCGCGCGGCACGTGCCTCGAGCATTTCCACTTTTCCCGAGAATTTCTCTACTTTTCCGAGAATAGGGGGTATTCACTGGACGCCGCAACCTCAAGAATCCGGGACACGTCGCTGCTTACAACTTGCGCCATCTCTCGGCAGTCACGTCAGCGCCCCAGCTTAACTCAATGGGAAAATATTTTATATTCTTGTAATTTAGTAAAGAACCCGCGGATTTTTTTGCACTCGGAGGATTATAATATCGACCTAATAGCCTGCGTATTTTAAGAATTTTAATGCCGAGCGACCATTATATTTTCTTCCTGAATCAATGAACCGGTTCCCTTAGACCCCCATTAAAAAAGAGACCATGACATTCATTTCCCAGGAAGAAAATCTTGGCGCCACAGACACTTCAAGTCAAATACAATTAATTTATAATTCTTAGCATTAATTGATTCCAGGAGAGCATTTTGAAATTCACGTTCAATCTTCAGTTATCGAGGTCTAAAGTTTCTTGGTAATCGAGAGCTTGCTAAAGCGTGAAAACATGGATGGGCCAGCACGGATTTCCCGCTCAAAACATTTTGCGAAATTTACTATTTCAACAGATTAAATATGTATTAATGCGAAAGCATTAACTGTCCCATGGAGTGAAGCCGGCAAAAGGCGCCACCTAAATCCCCATTAGCTAGGTGCAACGAGAGCTAAATTCTCATTGGGTGCGACGCGTCATGTGGCTCCAACGGGGTCATCGTTGCCGAGGAGCCAGCCAAACTGCTGGCGGAACAGCGGTAAGGGGGAGGGGTTGGGGCGGGTATACGCTGGGCTGACGTCAGGCCTAACACTAGGTACAACGTCACGCTTTGAGGTCTAACATCGTCAATTGGTACGCGCAGATGTTTGATGTGAGGGTGGGACGCGGCTATGCGCTGGCCTTACGTTAGGTCTAACATTACGCTTTGAGGCCTAACGTCGTCAACCGGTACTTTGAGGTCGTCCTAGACGTCGTCCTCAAGGCGTCGTCCTTGAGGTCTTCCTAGACGTCGTCCTCTAGGCGTCGTTCTTGACGTCGTGCTAGACGTCGTCATCTAGGCGTCGTTCTCGACGTCATCCTACACGTCGTCATCTAGGCGTCGTTCTCGACGCCATCCTTGACGTCGTCCTTGAGGTCGTCCGAGAGGTCGTCCGAGAGGTCGTTTTAGATTATGTCCTTGACGTCGCTCTCGACGTCCACCAAGATGTCACCCTTGACGTCGTCCTAGAGGTCGACCCAGATGCCTTACTTGGCGTCGATCTCAGACGTCGTCCTCGACGTCGTTCCGCACGCCGTCCTTGCAACTTTAATACGTGTAGGAGCATTACTAGAAAACGTTTCACCCGCACTACTATAATGCTTTCGCATTTCAATGCATAGCTCGGTATGTATAGCATCCCATTGCAGGAGACAATTTTGATAATTATTATAATTAATTTTCTTTGATTTTTTAATCTCGTCCATTATACAATAAGTCTGCCCTCTTCGCTGGGACGACTAGATCCAAACGTGTTTTTTTTTTTTTTTTTTTTTTTTTTTTGGGGGGGGGGGGGGGCAGTTGCACCTCGCTCAGGAAGCCACACAAATCGTTTGAGAAGAAGTGAAGATTTAGCGCTTCTGCGCTATGCGCTCTCAGCTCCGTCCTTGGAAAGTTTCGAGGTCCCGCTCCGTTATTAGCATCGTACGACCTTGCGGCATTACATGATGCCTCCTCTCCGTATCCGAAGATTGGCGGAGCCGCGGAGGAGGCGGAAAGAAAAGGCAGATAGGAAATTGGAAACGTATTCCGCTTAGAAAGGAGGGGGGGGGGGGGGGGGTGCAACGATTTCAGGACTTCGGTCAAACATTTGTGCGAGTTACCCTCTGACACTTCCAAAGTAAAGAACATAAAACCGATTTCGCCTGCGTGTCCTAGTTGTGTAAAAAAAGAGATAAACATTGGCATTTCTGACAGCCTTCCACTCATTCCCAGCATTCAGGGTCACACTTGGTCCCCCTCCTAGTGACATAATTCGGGGTGCCGTGTAGCTTCCCATATGCTCTCTCGGGAACGCTTACTCTCCCTTTTGGGATCGGTGCAGCTTAGAGCCGAGCGAGGTCATGTAAGCTTTTCGCTGTAGTTCCTTCGGCTGCCACTCGCGGCTGCAAGTGGGGGAAAAAGCTCGACTTTGGCTTTGCGATTATGCGGCGAAATCGCGACCTTTTTTAATTAAGATATTTTCTGTATCCTCCAGGACGCGATGAACAACGTAAAAATGACAAGATGCAAATTCTTTTAATCTTAAGATCGTTGCACCCTGTTGTAATTAAAAGAAAATCCTCGTCGCCATAAATGTAGTGATTAAAATAAAATGCGGACACCCGAGAAAATAAAATGGAACGCAGGGCCGAGGCGGCCTGCTAAAAAGGGATGCAGTCTCACATGCCGAAGCGGGACGATGCGGCTAGCACCGGCGGGACCCAAGGGTGGAAACGCCCGGAGGAGAGAGGCCACGTCCATCCACTAGCTTCTGGGTCCAAACACGTACTACTTATTTAGGGGGAAACAATCCAAATGAAACCGCCCGTCGGTCTTTCGAAGTCCGACGAACTTCGAAGTTTTACCTTAAAAGTTCAAAGTTCGTCGAACTTTTGACTTTTCAAAAATCGAAAGTTCGACAATTTTCGAATTTTTTAGATTAACAAGTTCGAGAGTTAGAAAATTATCGAAATTCTTAGCGGAGGAAGGTCGGAAGTTTGGAAAGTTTAGAACTTTTTAGTGCAATAAGTTCGAAAGCTCTAAAATCATCGAATTTTTAGATTATCAAGTTCGTAAGTTCGAGTTCGACAAGCATCGAATTTTGCAGCGTAATAAGTTCGAAATTCAAAAAGCGTCAAACTTCTTAATTCGACAATTCGATATCTTTCGAGCCTTTCGAACTGCTTGATTCGATCATCGAACCTTCGGTCGAAAAAAGTTCGCGACATCTCCCTACTCCCCGCACGGCCGGAGAAGCGTTCGCGCGCTTCGGGATCTCGAAAGCCATGGAAAGCTTTCAAATATTTAGTCACTAGGTAGCAGGAGCTACCGCCCAGTACAACCAAAACAGTTATTTCAATTTTCACAAATTACGTTCATCTATCCATCCTAAAAAAAAAAAAAAAAGAGGAAGTTTTGCGCATTGTTCCTACGCCACACGAAATAGTTCTTAGAAGATTTGGCCATTTCGGCCATTTGGCAATTTGGCTCTTAGAGGAAGAAGCGATGCTTTTGGCATTCGAAGTGTGTATGTCTTCATAAGACAACATATATCTAGTCTAAAGTTTACCTACATATATCTTAATCATTCACGTAAAGGGAAAATTAGTAATGCTCCGCGAACAGACGGAATTTTTGTTTTGTTTTTGCGGGCTGGTTGGTGACGGGGTCGACGTCTTCAGCTGTGTAGGTTGTGGGAGAGCGCTTTAAGCTTTTTAGTGTCCCGTTCCCGGTGTTTTTTAAACTCCCCCGCAAAACACGCTCCGATTCTCCCTGTAGTCGCTGCCATTTTCCAGTTATCAAACAGGTAAGTGCCTCATACGTTTTCGCGTTTTATTTGGTATTTCCTTTGAACGTATACCTACAGTATGAACGTGGTACGAACAAAATGGTATCACTACACAGTGATGTCATCTGCGCTCGCCATCTGCGCTCGCCGACGCATGTCGTGTATTGTCAGCGGTCCTAACGAACTCATTAAAAAACCAAATTCGTGAGGACCTGTTACTTCAGCGTCACGTGGGTACACTTTAACGACGTGGCGGACATCACTTCTGATCAGGCCCGCTTGACTTCACTTGTACCTCTTTTCTTCTCCTTATCTAGAGCCAGGCTAACATCCCTCCTAGCGAGCAGGGATGATTAGAACTCTCAAGAACCTTCTCGCGTACCCCGTTGGCCAAAGCGACCTCATTTTGGGAAGAGCCAGAACTTTGCTAAACCCCGTAACTTCATTTGCAACGAGCAAGGTACGAACGCACCGACGTACGGTAGTCTTTTCTCTTGTGTAGAATTTGTGGATAGCTGCACGCTCGTGCTTGCTAAACCCCACTACTAACGCCCTGGCTCGTAAACCTCGCTTGCCAGCTAGCACGTCCCTCCCCAGACACTGCAATTAACGCCTGATCTTTAAACAACGATGTGTGCATCCGGCCTGCTTCCGCTTTACCTCATTTTCTATACATAATTTCCTCTAGCCATTCGCTTTGCTTATCTCTTGGACCACGCACATGTGTTCTTGACACCTACTAAATGTGTGCTCGTTTTTTTTTTTTTTTTTCTTGTTTTCTTTTTCTTTAAGGCATTGTAGCACATTTACGCCTTTACAGCTACTTGGAGTGTATCGTGGTGCGGTAGTAAGCACACTTTTCTTGTGTGTACAACATTGATGCTTTTTCTTCAACTGAAAGGTGTAGTATGCATTTCTGGCATTGGTATTTCGGCTGTGAGAATGTTTGGAACTTCAAGGGTGTGTAGCCTGTGGTGCCATGAGCTAGCCCAACGGAACACCGGCTGGAGTAGTGGAAATCTTGCACAAGGCGCCCGAGACACGATAAGTCATTCGGAGCGAGACTGGAACAGATGGCCACAAATTCGTGAACTGCATTTGCAACGAAGTACATGAACGTGGTGTTGGTAGAATTGATAAGCCGTGCATCTCCTGGGATCACAAAGTTTTTTTTTTAATCTTAAACAAAAGCAAAAAAAACTTGCAGTTTTAATGTTTACAGCAGATGCACGACTTACCAATGCTACCAATATTACCCGTACATGAAGTTGTGTTGATCCATTTTAATTTCATTCCCAATGGCTTATCCCGTTTGTGCGGGCACTGGAGCAGACATGTTATAGATGATTTGTCTGCAAACGCAGGTGAAAAACAGGGTTAGCAAGATTCAGTTTGGTCCCTTTAGCAGATAGTTTGTCTGCTAACTCAAGCAAAGGGCAGGGATAGTCTGCCACGAGGTGTCATTTGCAGATGAAAGTAAGCCAAGAAATCGCATCACACCATTCGCTAACAGTATAAAAAAAGCTGGATCGTCTGGTATAAACTGAGTGCCGTGGTATCGGTCACAAGCTGAAATTATGGTTGTCTGCTATCTTTTGCTGAAAGTAATTAGTAACCCATGTATCCTTCGCAAAGCTCGAGTTTTGATGCTGTGCACAAGGTGACATCCACCAGTGCATAAACGAGTATTTGGGACAAGTATATCAAAGGCTGCTCAACCCCCCCTTACTATCAGTGTGTATGCGAGTTTCACCAAAATACGGTTTGATTGTGGTTTGGCAAACAACTCGAAAATTTTTCATTGCTCAATAACGCTTTTTCAGCAAAAAGTGGTGATTCCACATCCAACATCAGCCAAGAAAGATCTTGCTGAACCAGAATATAAATGGCTTAAGCGGTGAAATTCCCTATACGGGGATTTCACCGCTCAAGCCGGTGTTCCGTTAAACTAGCTCATTTTGCTGCGCCCTGTACTATACACTAAGTCATGTTTGCAAACAAACCGGAGCGCCCCTAGCAGTACGCCACCGGTGCCGCACATGCGCAATGGGGGGTATGGGCTAAAAGCACCGCGTCCCGCATCGCAAATCATTGGAATGGAATGTTGTCACCGTCAGCGCGAGTCCCCATGCTTTTTTCCGTTTTGGAATTACTGATTTTACATCTTCCTAGCACTGTCTTACCACTTTAATGGCATCAGCGAAATTAATGAGGCTCGTTACACCGCGAAACGTGGTGTAAATAACCTGATATGATGCGATTCATTCTGCGTTAACACCACAGAATGGACGCTAAAGCCCGATTCACGTTTTCTGCTTGCTACTTTCAGTCTCGACGTCGCTCGGGGGCTGCTGAAGTGTGGCCGATAGCTGCGACGCTTGACGTTGACACTGAAAGTCGCAAGCATGATTGGACCAAGTGAATCAGGTGTAAGAAGTTGGTGATGGCCACTAGTAACAATGATCAGCATTCTTAAACCGAGCCCACTTACTTTTGAGGCCCCCACTTCTTATCGCAATTATTGGGAAAAACGTTTGGTCTACGGGCTGTTGTGTTCCAACGACCGTTTGAACGTGAAGACGGCCATTTGAATGTGAAGACGCACTGAGCGTGGTGCACGGGTGGTCCGAACAACTTGACAGTTTTCCCGTGCTCATGCTGGAACAAAACAATTAAATCTGACGACCTCAAGTATCCGTGAATTCAACCCAAAATGCTTTCCACACAAGCAATCGTGGTTCGACGACGTCTGGTTTTCCCTTTCACGGCAACTATCCACATTTATATACGACCGAGCAGGCAGAAAACACATGAAAACTGATCTCCACACCTTTTCCGGCTCTTCTGGTACAGCCCCAGTCGCAGCATTTTGACGAGAAGGCAGGCTTTAGTCTGGTTTCTTCCAAAACTGCACCAGAATGCCCGTTCTGCATAGACTTTTGCCAACACTCTCAGGCCGAAAGTGTGCTCGAAGCGCCGCCATCGCAGCGTGATGCAACAGAGTTCAGCTGGTGTATAGCCGCTTCTGACGTTTGTACCAAATCAGTGACTGTAACTGGCAGCGCCTGCCACTGCCACAAGCGAACTGACTGTCCTCACAAGGAATCAAACATTCTCGCTTACTTACCTTGAATGTCCTCTAAAGTTAAATTTGAATTATTATTTTTTACATCTCGGTCCTCTCACAGGCATATCTCTAGTCTTCCGATCAGCTTTGTGGACAACTTAGAACCTGCATCCACTTGCTATTCATGAATTTCTTTCCATTCTTTTTCCCTGTCATGATTGTCATAACATTGAGAGGCTTTGAGAAAACTGATTTTATGAACAGAACATATAAAGTGTAAATGTTTTACAGGACAACATGTCGAAAATGGAGCCAGCCAGGCGAGTGCAAGGAATGCAAGACAGCGTCTGGTAAATACTTTTCTGGTGCCCCACCATACTACTACATTTGGCCCACATTTAAGCATCCAGCACCGATCCCACGGTACAGTAGTTCATCGTAATCATTGTTGTTGGCGACACAATTTAGGAGCGGGGCTTTTGTTACGAAGAGGCCTGGTCTGGATTGGACGTACGAGCCCCAAGAGGCTCGATTGGTCTCCCTGGTTATGTGTGCCTTTTATTGGAATGGCGTTTTGCAGGGATAGAAATTTAGCAGTTGGCTGATAGAATCTCGTAATCGCACGGGTTCGTCATTGCGGGCAATTAATTTGCGCAACGAATTTGTTTTTGAGAGTTGCAAAACGCGAGCGAAAGCATTGTCTCGCGAATAAATCTCAGAATAAAGTCACTCCAAAATATATAGACTGATTGCATCAGTATTAGCTTTTGTACCTCTCTTGCTCACTTTATTATTTAAAAATACCACAGAAGTGCCTGCTTTGTACAAGCGCCCACTATTAACATTTCCCAAACTTAAGAATTCTGCAAATTATACGACAAGTGCCCACCTCTTTTAAAGCGCTGGCATCAGCTGAAAATCTTAACCCCGTCGCGGGGTCTATGGGACCGCCAGCAGCGATGACGGGAATATCACGTGAAAATAAATGTGCTTTCACCGGTTCCATTCACCCTGCCTTCAATGCTCTTTATTGACTGCCATCTCAGTTTTACCGATTTGACTGGACAATTGCCCAAGTCTAGATTAACCCATTTTTCAGTGAAAGTGGGTTGGACGCTTTCCCAGTATTTTACAGTGGTGCTGCAGTCTAATTTAAAATAGCCTTCTGTTGAAATAGAAAAAACTAAAAGAAAAAGCTGTGCCTTTTTTTAATTTTTTTATTTTGTCACAGATTGAACTGGGGCAGGGGAAATGAATAATATGTAAAGGAACAAGAAAAAAAAAAAAAAAAGAGGACATGTGCCAGCAAACATTACAATTTCTTTTCTTTTTAGACAATTTGTACTTATGGTTGTTGAAAAGGGTTGTGGTGATGACAATAAATATAGTACATGCTGCTTCATGGTGACATTGCACAGAGGAGCTAGCTGCACATTTCCAAACTTATCAGTGTCAGCCTTCATCAGCTTGTCTGAAATGGCACCTCTGAAAGAAACCCCTTGAAAGCTAGTGGTCCAGTGAAAGTGGAGTGCCAAGTTTGCCTCCCTTGCGGTCGCACACACCAGCTTCGATCCTGCTTGTGATTCCGGTATATTTCCTCTTTTTTTTTCTTTGTGCATCATTCTTCTTTTTCTATTTGGCTGAAAAGGCATATGACGATGTTATAATCAACCCTTTCTCGTAGATAGCAGATATATTTAGTCACGCAAATAGTACTGCGAAACCATCACTCTGGTGAAATGCAGTTCCAAGGTCACCGTATAGATCAGGGGTCTCAAGCCCATTCGAGTGTAAGGTCCAGATAGCCCACCCCCGAGATGATGAGGGCAATAGAGGTGGGGCACAATATTTTTTGCTCTTTTGGGACAAAAAAAAACAAAAACAGCATTGGTGTTTCACGTTGCAGAGCAGCTAACTGTCCCAGTGACACCCCAGAGAGTTTTTAGGCAAGGAACCCTATGCTTTCTGCTTTTTGTAAGTTTGCACTCTTTAGCTTTTATTTGCTAATACGATTATACGGCTACTTTGGGCCCGTGCCTGATGTTATAAAAAGATTTCAAACTCCACCATAGGGAGTATTCACTGGCGGCCATAGCTGTGTGTGCGACTGCTGAGCGTGTGCTGACGCCAAGCTTCCACAGTTCTTTCGCCGCGTGCATTCTGCACCATCAAGATTGCCGGTCTTAGCAGCCTATTAATGGGAGCTCGCTCTGAGTATGCGCTCTAAAGAGCACCCACAAATATGGTGTCCTGTGAATACTCCCTATACTGCAGTACTTGCAGTTTTCATTAGAACGAGACCAAGCACGCCATCCTTGCCATGTCGCACAATTCACTAGACTCAACAGGCATAAAAGAATTATATCTTTATGCGGCAGTTTTTGACCATTTTTATTAAAGCATTATAAAAATATACTTTCATTTTAAAGGTATTTTTTGACGGGTAGAAGCCCGAGCTGAAAGCTTTATCTTTGGCCTTCGCTCCTGCTGCGCAAGAGTTTGCACAGCCGATGTACCTCCTTGAGCAAAGAGCTCCCAATCGTATACCCCAGTAGTGGTATTGCCACTCTGGTTGATTTACACGAGAAACGGCCAAGAAGCAAATTTTTAGACAAGGCAATACTTGGCCCAAAAGAAACCACAATAGCGCAAAATGTGTTTGCAGAGCAGAACTTCCTTTCGAGCAGAAATGAATCTAGAATATAAAACTATTATTTATGGCGCGTGTGGCGCTTGAGGCATGGGAACGGGGGCTCGCAGCCGCGGGATGCTTGTGGGCCGCATCCCAGAGAGTCGTGGGCCGCGTGTTCGAGATCTCTGACATAGATGGTGGCAATGTGCCAGCGTGTTCTTTCGTCGAAACAGATCGCAAGAACTTGGTCGTAAGCAAGTGCGAGTGTGTGAACGGAACTCAAGTCCTCTGGACTCTCGGCAGGGTGGAGTTCATCCAGCTGGCCTTGGAGAACAAGCCAGTGAACCTGGGCCAGGGGTTTCCGGACTTCCCGCCTCCAAATGTTGTGGTCAAGGCCCTTCAGGACGCCCTGGCTGGTCCCAACCACGGCCTGCACCAGTACACCAGGGGATTTGTGAGTCTCACGACGCCGAGACTATAGTCAGTGACAGGTTAAAAGTTAAGTGGAAGCCCCTTCCCCCTCTTTCCACTTTAGTAGAGCAAATGCTGGAAAAGAGGTCGCCTCTTCTCCAGTGTTTGCTCTACTAAAGTGGAAAGAGGTGGGAGGAGCTTCCTCTTTACTCTTAACCTGTCACAGACTATAGCAGATTCTTCCGGAGAACCGAGGCTCGCTGTTTCCTTGCGGAGTATGAGGCCCGTCTTGAATACCAATCTTTATTGTCAAGTTTTTGCCAGGGCTTTAAAAGCTGATTGTAAAGAGTGATTCAAGTTGCAGTCATTTGACAAGGTAGAAATACAGTTATGTTTTTGCACTTGAGCACCTGGTTACGTTTAATTACTCGCGAAAGGGTAACTACACTTTATCTCGCTAGTTAGGTTCAGTACTGTGGAAGCCACGGTGGGTAGAGGAAAGCAGTTTCTTTACGAATTTGGATCAACAGGCTAATCTCTGAGAGAGAGCAAAGCAATGTGGGGTCCACAAAAACAAGGAGTTGCCTCCTTGGTTGTGATGATTTCAATGTCCATCGTCAAATTATTTCAAAAATTATATTGACGTCCCTTGTCAATGTAGCTGAATGCAGCCGTCGCAGTTGTAGCGATGGTGGCCGTTTCATGTTTCATTTTGTTTAGTTTCTAACGACATTGTTGGTGTTATGTTGACGGAGTCGTGTTGACGGAGTAGTTGCTTGTCGTATGCTTAAGGCTAATTCCACTGGAAGTTTTGGAGCACGATGGGATCGACTTTTCTGGAGCGCGCCTATTTTGCTGGGCGATCGGGATCGAGGCGGACATGTTTCACTTGTCATTTTTTATTAGCTTCCTCTCCAGATGTTGATCCGGATCCGAGAAAAGACCCTCCGCCTATTTCGGCGGATTCGACCGAAAGCCAGCCTGGCCAGCTTTCGGCATGCACACGTGACTTCCTTTCTTGCCGGGCATCCCACCCCGGAAGATTTCGTAATGGCCACTCCCAAGGTGCCGCCCGCTTTACTGCCGATGCTGCTTGATGACAGTTCGTCGTCAAGTTTGGTTGAGCAGCTCCTCCAGCAGCAGCTGCTCGAGTAGCAGCGACAATGAGGATTGCTTGTATGTCCCATATGAATTCGTCTGCCTTTTCGAACCTCCACAGAATAGTCTGAAAAAAGAGACATATATACTTGGACACCGTTCACAAGTACCTATTCCGATGAAGAGGCAGTGGGCTATGCAGCTATGCTGATGCACATGGCTTATTGACACGCATCTTTCTCATCATGACTAACTTCGCTTGTGTATTGAATACATGTTGTTAGCACCGCTATTGCAAAAACATGTGCTTCGAGATCCGGGACATTCCCGGGAAGGTGAATGACGGGCAGGTATCCATCAATCTCGGGAGCGGGGGTCATGTTCCAATGGGGATTCGGAGGCAAAGCAACTCCGTTTGGATCGCGTGCTTCATCTCAGATCTGGTCTACTGATCTTGGCGCGCTCCAAAACGACCAGTGGAATTCGCCATAAGAAGTTTTGCTCCTACTTCGCACTAGAAATGTCATTCAGTGTGTGTGTGCTCGACTGACTCGACAGTTGGGTCTTTTGAAGGTGACACGGCCTGGCGGCAATGTTCGGAGCTCTCGAACGTCATTTCGGCACGCATCTCACTTAACATATTAAATCCACATCAAAGGCGAGCTGGGTATCCCTCTATCTTGCCTGCACTTAACAGGCGTAAGTGCATATGCTACGTAACACTGAGAGCTTAGCACGCGTTTTGTGCCTCCACGCCGCCAGTACCGTGCAAGCGTGTCTTCGTATGGTTGCAAAGCCTCGCTTTGCGTCTGGCTCCCACCCTGTTTTAACGGGTTCCGTGGGCTTATAGTTTAGTTTTTATTTTCTTTTTGGATCATGTATAAGAGTGTATTGGCTGCGAAATAGTGAGGATGTTAAATAAATGTTGTAAATGCAAACATTGACTTTTGTTCTTGACTGGTGCAAACGAACAGCAAAAGCTCTGATGCATTGAGCAAAAAATTATCATATTGCAGTCGGCGCTGCACCGTGATACGCGGACTTCCCGACAGCAAATGTCGTCCAATCAACTGCAAGATTTATGACATGAGATTCAGCTCCTTTGTTTATATATAAAACATGCGAAATAAATCGTGAAAAGCAACGGTGCCGCATTCTTTAACGGTTAGCACAACCAAGTAAACATTACGTGTGGCCTGATACTGATCAGTTGTGCTTTGTAAAGTTTTTTTCTTGCATTCCCCATCACCTAAAAGGTCGTAAAAGCCGGAGTCAACTGCATACCTGCCAAGTCTCCCGGGAGACATCCGAATTTTGATTAATTTGTACGGTTGTACGATCGACAAAAATATCTGGAAAACGCAAATTCCCCTACCCCCCCCCCCTTTTCTCCCGGCACTTAAAAACGAGTTTTCGCCGTCGCAACAAACGGCTGAAATTACAACGAGGCCCAGTTGTTTCCCGCTAGCATAACCAGTGCAATATAAATGTAATGCAGTTGTCTTCATGTACATTTGTTGTCAATATTTATATTTAAAAAAAAAACGCTACCCTCCCCCACCCCCTCCCACACACACACTTAGAAATTTTCCCGGATTTAAATTATCCTAACTTGGCAGGTATGAGACTGCACATCATTTGTTTTCAGAAAATAATTGTTGAACTGCGACGCTGACTGTAAGCAAGATGTTTTTTGACTGCCACTTTTGATCACTTTCTAGTCCAGACTCCAAAGCGTCGTAAGTCCTACTTTGGAGATGTCAAAATAAGGAATGAAAATATTTTAATGAGGGACGTCGAAATGATTTTTCAAATATTTTCATGTTGTTAAGAAGTGACGTTACGATGTCAAAATAACGCTTGGAAATTATTTTTAGAGTAGACGTAGAAATAGTCACTGCCTTCCTCTTTCCCCTCCTCTCCAGCTGTTCAGGTTATGCTCTTACCCCTGTACCTTCAGCAATGCTGCAATAGAGGATAAGTTAGGTTCCGACTACTTTTAAAATGTTGCATGCTGTTGATGCATCCTGCGGTCAACTTGGCAGTCTAGCAGCGAAAAGCAGACGACGAGTGTGTTACGTCGAAATGCGCGCCACGACGGCCCCTGGGAGTAGTTCGCTTGAAAACTGCGAGATGGCAACTACGTCGATTGGAGGTTTGAAGGTGTGTAATGTTTTTTTCTCTTTGCAGGGCCACCCCCGCTTAGTGAATGCCCTGGCCAAGATGTACTCGCGCCTGACCGGGCGGGAGATCAACGCTCAGAAGGAGGTGCTCGTTACCGTGGGTGCCTACGAGGCACTCTACACCACCATCTTGGGCCTGGTGAACCCTGAAGATGAGGTGAGTAACACGGTCTCATTAAAGCGATGCCACCACACTCCACACAAGTCATAGAGTTAATATAATAATCCGGAATAGTGGTTCTCAACCAGTGATGTTTTGCGGGACCCCTTCTTGGTTGGCAGAAGTGATGGGGGACCCTGTCCTCTGGGTACTAAGGGTTATTGGATTATAATGACAAAAAAAGTGACTTAAGAGAACTGAATGGTTGCAAACTGAGTTTGAAGTTGTGAAATGGGGAATAATCAACTCTACTTATTTGGCGCACATGATTTGGTCTATTTAGCTTGTTAGGACAGCCAGCATCATTAAAAAAAAGTTTTATCGACTTGATTGACGGTCAAGGGCTTTCGTGACCCCAAGAAGGCCTTCAGGGACGCCAAAGGGTCTGCAGACCCCTGTTTGAGAATCATTGATCGAGAGGAAGAGGTCCTATGCACTTCGGCCACTTCAAAACTGCGGGGCATAGGCGCGGACAGTCGTGGTCCCAGTGGGCTCGTCCCAGTGGGCTCGTATTGCTGGTAGCACCTTAATATATACACAAAGAAGCAGCAAAACATCACCTGTAAGGCTTGTATCTATCTCTTTTTTAGGTTACTTTGCAGAAAAACGTCGGCATCGCACATTGTGTAAACATAAGTTGACGAGCACTCGAACAACTCCAACTCATTGCAGCAAAACGAACACGCCTAACCTATTGTCTGCTTTCTTTTTCGTTCGCTCGTCATACTTTAGCTACAATTTTATAATACTTTTGCTCCAATTTTTTGCATTCTGCTCCCAGACACAAATTGGCAGCACGGGGCTGTAGGGCCCCTGATTTTGTCTGACTACACATTTTAAAGGCAACCACGGGCGACCCACCACAGGATATTGTTGGGTCGTTCAATGTCAGAAGCAGTCTTGCCTTTGGCCTCTTTTGAACTACAGGTGCTTTGAATGTTGATGCAGCCTTCGAATGCCCAGAGAGTGTAGAATGTGCCGTTGGGTTTTCCCACCTCAAGAGCAAAGCATAGAGAGTGGTGGAGGGGGGGGGCTTGGCTACCTTAGACCCACAGTCTGAACTCAGCTTTTACAGATATTCGCCTTGATCTAGCAAGAGTTTGGGCTTTACTTTGTTATAGCGCTAAACTCGAGTCTAGATGGCAAGGCAATTTTCGGTCACCAATTTTCAGCCACGAGCGACTCTGAGATTTATTGATGTGTTTAATTTATATTTAGAATGTATTGTCGGCCATAAGGCCACAGCAGGATTGTAAGCATGTGGAAAGTAATACTAGCACACTCGGACACAAAATATTTTCTAGGAATGCGGGGACATTGTACCACTTTGAGCATTCTTTAATGGCCACTTTTATCCATCGATATGTTTAGTAAAGGAAGCAAATGCTGGTTGAAAAATTATGTTTGTTTTGGAAATTGTCTATTTTTCGTTTTTGCTTGCTTCATTATCCTCGGATATCCTATTTTTATGAGTGGGAAAATTGAAACAATTTTCGCACCCGAAGTTAGGGAAAAAAGTGTCTTAATGACTTGCAGTTCTAGAAAAATTGCAAGTTTACACAAATATCCCTCATCTTGGAGAGGCCGTTGCTTGGGACAGCAGCACTTTCTACGTATCTCCAATTTGATTTGCAATAAATAACACTAAAAAGCATGATTTTCGCACTTGAAGCTACCAAAGTCAGCACAAGTTTAAAAAAAGGCGGTGCAAATGCAAGTAAAGAACGTCAAGGGAGGAACGTTTACTGCAGCGTGCTGAGCCTAACCACACTAACAACGACTGTTCCAATGGGACTGATGCTCCACAAAATGTTTCTTCGCTCTGGAAAACAAGATTGCGTCCTTCGAAAACAAAAGCAGAGCATGGAACAGTGGCTCTGCGAGTTCAGTGATGTGCGACGTCGACACACTCATAATACTTGTTCGCAGTGCTATCTGCCCCACTTGTGACGAGTGCAGATTCTCTATGCGTTCGGGAGTCGGCATTTGAAACACAAGGTAGTATTTTCATCGTTCCTTAAAGGGACCATGAAGGCAATTTAATTTTTTTCAAAAAAGGTGTTTTCGCAAGCATTGGAGTCCTGGCATGCCACACAATTTTTTCTAGAACATTGTGACTCTTATTTCTGTACCTGCAAATAAATTTGCGAAACCGAAACAAACATTCAGATTTCTTCCCTTTTTCGCCTCTGGAAAGAGAAGTGACGTCAGGGAGCACTGTCGGCATCGGTAGGATTTAGTGCGCACTCAGTGTGGTTCCCGTGGTTCGCTCTAGTGTTTGGCGGTCTGTGAAGAAAACCTGGAAGAAATGGACGACAACGCCACGCTGGCAAACGAGTTTGAGCTCCCGTTCAGCGACCTCACGCCGACTGAACGGGAGATGCTGCTAAGGATGCAGAACTCTGGATTGGCGACCGATGCAGCAATGCTGCGCATTGCTGCATTGGTCGGCAGTTTATGCAAACTTACGTCGCCCGATCGACCGCACGTCTTTAGCCGACCTTTCGCGCAACCTACTACTGCACATAAACGCGGCATGATTGGTGAGACACCAGTTCGCAAAGCGAACACGAGACGACGCACGAAACCAAAGCCAAAAGTCTGCCGCTGCCGGCGCTCTTACCTCTTTTTCTTTTCTTTGTCCATGGTTGCTCTATGCTTGTTACGCGCCCGAGGTAGCAGTGCGGGATGCATTCAACCAGTGACAAACGGAGGGATCGCTTCAGATTATACTTTTATACACGGTATGAAACCTATTAATTTCCAACCACAACTTCAAAATATTATCTAACGCTCAAATAAACTTTTTTCATCACATCTCACCACCGAAATCGAAAACAAGAGCGCGTCTATCATTTGAACCAATCGCCAGACGAGGAGCCCGTTGTCGTCACGCATCGACGCACTTTAGTTCACCTTTCTGCCGCCGCCTCGGTGGGGTCTCGGGCATCGTTCCCGGCGCTATTATTACCGCGCCTGTTTGCTCGATTGATGCGGCACCCAAACTTCTGTTCGGGCTAGAACTTGGTCAACAGTATCTGAGACGTGCCTGACATCCATTTCAATCGTCGAATAAAACTTCGAAACTGCCTTCATGGTCCCTTTAGCTACACTGAGAAGAGCAAGTGCCCAAGTGGGGTTTTTCTTTCTACATTTTCGGCGAAACATGCCACATCAGATGGAGACGTACAAGCGCAAAGCAAAGCTATGACAGTGGGAGCTTGCACAAGTTTTGCCATCAACTTCAAAGCTGTCAACTTCTGCGCTTCTCTCCCATTCTCAGCCAGCTAGCACCAATGTACCACATGGCCTTCGCTAGCGAGAAAGTTCATGCCGCTGCTGCAAACACTAGCAGCCAAAACCTCGTGAAGACTGAAATGCCAATGTTGGAGGAACAGCTAGTGTTGCTGGTGTCTGGCAGCTCCTGGTGCAAGTGGGGCCAGAGAAGTCACAGCATACAGTCTGAGACAAATTTATTGACTCTGAGTATTTCCTAACCCTGCCTATGTTCTGGCCATATTTTATGTAAAGGCAGACAAGGCAATATTTGTAGAGTGCCTAGACATCTCTCGGCATTTTCAAACACATTTTTCTCGTTTTGCAACTTTCGGTGTCCTTCACAGATTGTGCAATCAGGTTTTGATGCTTCTAATCTTCCGATCGTAATGAAATCCTTTAAATATTATCTTAAGGATAGGTAGAGTGCCAATATGTATTTGGAATTTTAATATCTTAATTATGCTTATGCAAATCTTAAAAACCTTAACTAACTCTTGAAGGGCTTAAGGCTTCATGATGTCTTTATTTTTCTTTATTAAATAAAAAAAATGTACACAACTTTTGGCTAGATACTGTCACTCTACACTTCATAGGGGGCATCATAAGCTATTGCACCATCCTTGTTATAAAAAATTAGTGTGCCTAGATGTGTGCACAAAAGAAACCTTTCTATGTTGTTGTTTCTGCCTCTGAAGACAAAACTATAGAAGCCCCATTAAAACTACCGTAACATTTCGAAAGGTAGCCCACCTAAAATCTAGAGAAAATCGGGGGAAAATAAACAGTGGGCGAACTTTCAATGTGCAATCGAGAAAAGCTAAAAAGACAAATGCTTTTTTTAGATGACGTGTTTCTGCCAAACTTGTTATCGCGGTGCGGGGCAATGAAGCAAAGATGACTCTACCTCCCAGTCAGCAATGTTCGCTTGTATCCCGCCATAGCTAACTAGTCGCATTTACGCCGAGGTCGTAATTGATTTGAACACTACGATTACTAAGAGTGGGCTATCTTTGGATTTTAAACAAGAAGGAAGACCAGCGGAGCTGTACTCGATACACCTTGTGATTCTTCTTCGTCGTTGTGTGTTTTTCGCGCTGTTTCCTACGATAAATTCCCACCAACGCGCCCAACTATCGATTCTTCTATTATAGTTGTAGAGGTTGCTGCCGTCGCTTATAGACGGTAGCTGTCCAGGTAGGTTTGTGTTGACATACACTGACACAATCCTGGGGAACCTAGCCCTTAACAGCTCCCCTGTAAAAAGATAGCAAGCCAAAACAAAATGTGGGTTATCTTTCAGGGGTGGGGTACCTCTCTGGATATTACGGTAATAACTGTCTTAAAAAGATAAGTTTATAAGCAGCTAAAGTTTTGCGGTTTTCAGAGCAAATATTAAAAAAAAAATAGTGTCCCCAACCCGCGTCGTCTTTAAAAGCAGTAAAGAGCAATGTGTCTCCCCCTTCGCAGGTCATCATCGTGGAGCCATTTTTCGACTGCTACGAACCGATGACTCAGATGGCAGGCGGAGTGCCCGTCTACATTCCACTGCGTCCGGTAAGCTACCGTACGTTGGTCCTTCTAGCCAATAAAATGGGTTTTGTTCTAGAATTTTTGTCTTACGGTATCGTTATGGCAAAGTACAGCGGAGAGCGAGCTAAATGTTTACACCTCGACGAGACGAAGGTTAATTCTGTTGCCTTTTTTCCAGGTGCTACGTTTACAATACTACCGTAAAAAACCGAGCAAGCGCCAACTCAAAATTTGAAGATAATCACGAAAAAATAGGGAATAGGTGCATTGAGGTCATCAGTTTTACATAGGTAGGGTATATATTTACTGTGCATATTTTTTCACATGTTTCAAATTTTGGGGGTGGGCGCAAGTGCGGAATGGGCAGATGCATGGTATTCTACGGTAGTTAGATGTTCTAAAAATGCCTGCCCATTTCTAAAATGCATGCGCATTACAATCAAAACCAAAAACCGAAACTCAAAAAGAAAAACACAATACTCGGTATGAGGTGGCTAGTTTCATTGCCATCTTGACCCTTTGTTTACTTTTGCCTTTTTGGCATCCATATAACGTGCATTCTCTTGCGTCTACGGACTCGTGTCTGCCGTTTTAAGATGGAAAAACAAAAGAAATTCTTCTAGGAGGAGGCTTTAAACAAAAGGCCATTATGCTGGCAAGAAAATGTAATGTTTGACATTGTTATATTTCTGGGAGCTAAATCTGTCTGCACGTTAGAATTGGGGGTGCGTTAGAATCGTGCGGACGTGGTATGCGGCATTTTAATAACAAGAAAAGTTGGTTCTGGGTTTGTGCCTGTCCCAATTATATATGGCCCTTTTGGGTTGAGGAACATTTCTCATTTGAGAGAACAGAGCACGCAGCGGTACTGTTGATTCACATGGTGCCACCGAGACGCTGCTGGGACTGGGTCGCAAGCACCATGGTTGCTCCCACTCCTGTTGTTTCCCACATCGGTGTATACACCAACTCATGTTTACAAACAAACCGGAGCGCCCCTAGCGGACGTCACCGGCGCCGCGCATGCGCCATGGATGGTGGGCAAGAAGCCCGCCGTCGCCCATAAAGAAACCATTGAATTGCGTTGTTGTCGGCGTCGGTGGGAGTCCCCGTGCTCTTTTTCGCGTTGGAATTGTTGATTCTACGTCCTCCTAACAATGTCTGACTACTTGAGCGGCTTCAGCAAAACTATCGAGGCAAAACTTTGCGTGAATAATGTGACTTGCGGCGATTCATTTCACGTGGACGCCGCAGAATGGGCGCTAAAGCCTGACTCCCACGTCGAGATTCTGCTCGCTATTTTCAGTCGTGACGTCGCTCGGACTGCAAAAGCGTGGACCGTAGCTGAAATGGTGGACATCGATACTGAAAACCTCAAGTAGAATCGGGCATTACAAGTCGGTGATGTCCACTGGTAACAATGATCAACAACTTCTTGTATCTGTTTACACTTTGACTTAGCCGACTTACCCCAACCAACCTTCAAAAGTGTTTTGAGGCCTGCTCTTAGTTCTTATCGCAATTACCGGGTAAATGTTTGGTTTACGAGCCGCTGTCGTTTGAACGAACTGACGACAAAAAGCAGCCAAGTTTGAAAGAGCAGACGACAGTTGGAACGCACGCGCAATGGAGTACGGGCAAGAAGCACCGCGTCCCGCGTCAACAAACCATTCGAATGTCACGTTGACGGCGTCTGTGTGAGTCTGCATACTCTTTTTCGCGTTGGAGTTGTCGATTCTACGTCCTCATCGCAATGTCTTACCACTTTAATCGCCTGAGCGAAATCATCAAGGCTCGTTACGCTGCTAAACTTTGCATAAATAATTTGACGTGCGGCGATGTATTTGCATGACCGCCGCAGAATGGACGTACAAAACCATGATGAGACTCTTCTAGCTATTTTCGGTCGCGACGACCCTCGTGCTGCAAAAGTGTAGAAGGTAGAGGCGATGATCGACGTCGATACTGAAAATCGGAAGCGGGAACAGACAAAGCGTAACAAGTAGGTGATGGCCACCGGTACCAATGATCAACATCTTGTATCTACTGCTTACACCGAGCCTACTTAAGTTTTTTGAGGCCTGCAATTACTTCTTATTGCAATCACCGGGTCAAAGTTTGGTCTACGGGCCGCTTTTGTTTGAACGAGCAGACGACAAAAAGCAGACAACTTTGAAAGAGCAGACGAAAGTTTGAACGATCAGGCGGCCGTGTGAATTTGAAGACACACTGAATCTGTGGGTGGTCCGGACAACTTGGGGGTTTTCTCTCGGTCATGTTGGAACAAAGCAAATACATCTGGCGACTACAAATTGTGGCCCGCACACGCAATCGTAGGTCGACAGCGTCAGGTTTGCCCTTTTCACGGCTGCTATCGACGTTCTCGGACGAACGGAGGGTGCAAAAACACATGAAAACTGATCTTCAAACCTTCCCAGACTCTCTTTGTAAAGCCCCCATCGCAGCATTTTGACGAGAAGGCAGGTTTTTTGTCTCGTTTCTTCCAAAGGAACACAGGAATGCATGTCTGGCACGGCGACTTCTGCCCACCGCCCCAGACCGGAAGTGCGTCCGGCGCGCCACCACCGCAGCGTGACGTAGGAGAGTTGAGTTGGTGTATAGAAGTACACCTCCCAGACAATATGGGGTGGAACACTCTATTTCACTTTTTGCTATGCCCACAGTCCCCATGAGCTTGATTGTCCCTCAATTTCTTAAAGGGTCTATAGAAACTGGAACTTAGTCTCCACGTTCGTGCCTTAATAAAAACCAGAGTTTTTTTTGTCTTTTTTTAAGACCTGCTAGGTGTACGAAAGAAGCATGGCTGATTGTTCACACTCATATTCAATTGCTCAATAGTGGTTTATTGCACTCCTGGGGAGACCTCCAGGTGTGCCGGCGGCGAGGAAAGGCAGGTGATAGAGTGTATTCACTGCCAGCTAGCAATTGCCACACTTGTGACAGGTTCAAGGTTTTGGTTGGCAATGCGATGTTCATGGCGTGTTGTCTATATATTCAAAAAAATTCAAGCAGGAGTAGACGATTTATGTTTCACCGAAACAAGTTAGGACCCAAATATTTTGTGATTGCCTGCAGCAAAAGGATTGTGAGTGAATCACCTGCAGACACTGCATCTACTCTAGTTATGACTGATATGAGCTGTCTTTGCTCTGTTGCATCACATTCAGCCATGTTACTGTCCCATTTAATTTGTTTCCCTAATGTTTTCCTTCTTTTAGAAGAAAACTGGGGAGAGCATCTCGAGTGCCGACTGGGTCCTGGATCCGAAAGAGTTGGAGTCAAAGTTCAGTGCCAAGACCAAGATGATCATCATTAACACGCCACACAATCCAATTGGAAAGGTGACCTCACCTCTCGTTTTTCTTTGGCACACGCTTTTGCTACACGGTTTGTCGTCGAGTTTTTCTTTGTTTAAAGCCCGCGTTCTCGACAAGACAAATATGTTTGAATACAGCTTTTCTCTACGGAGCATTTTAATGTTTTCCTGGTAAGGTGGTGTGCTGCTCATTTCCTTTCTTATATCCTCACTGTACTTCTATTTGATAGAAGTTTTACTGCTTGCTATAGCAGACTTTCTTGCCCATCATACTCTTCCTTTCCTTTATATAATGCCGACACTGCCATTCAATGCAACCTTAGTTCTCTGTTTGTCTGTTTGTTCTCTGCAAATATGTCCAGCAAAAGTCTGAAAGCATACCTGCCAAGTTTGGAGAAACCAAATCCGGGAGATTTTCCAAGTCGGGGGAAGTGGGGAGGTGGGTTAGAATTTTTTTTTTTTTAATAAATATTGACAATGAATTTACACGAAGTCAACTTCATTACATTTTTATGTAATGCAGTGCTCGTGCTAGAGAGATACAGCTGAAGCTCGCTATCATTGTTGCCGTCTGTAGCAACACTAAAAACTCCTTTTTTAAGTGCAAAAAACGGGAGGAAAGGGGAGGGGCAGAGTGGAGTTAATTTTTGTTTTCCGGGAGGTTTTCTTGTCAGTCGTATAACCGTACGAAATAGTCAAAATTTTGGAATCTCCCGGGCAATACGGGAGACTTGGCAGGTATGGGAATGGATGATGCTTTTGCACCACATTCTAGTGATTAGATTTTTGGTTTTTTTTCGGGGGTGCCAAAAGACTCTTCGAGTATCGTAGGAAGCCTTGTGCAACACTATTTTATTCGCCCAATGACCTTGCCACGATTCAGTGTTGGAAGTTTACCAGAAATCGCTCGGTACAAGCCCTTGCTCGGCTTACCCGCAGGTCTTCAGCAGGGAAGAGCTGGAAACGATAGCCAACCTGTGCAAGAAGCACGACGTCATCTGCGTTAGCGACGAGGTCTACGAGTGGATTGTCTACGATGGTGCCAAGCACGTCCGAATGTGTGAGCTTGGTCGACGCACATCCCCGCTATCTCGGCGCTTGACTTTGACCGCAGCGCAGTGCCGAACCAAATCCAACGAACTCTGAAGTTTTACAAAATGCGCTATAGTCCCTGACAAGAAGAGAATGGCAGGAAGGAGTTTCTGTTGTCCCACTTTCAGCACGATCTTCCTGCCTTCGGCAATGCTTTGGCATCTCGCAAGTATGCAGCAAAAGTATGGCGGGAAGTAACAAACACGCGTGTTACTTTCATCGGCCGGGTATCAGAAGGAGATTCCCCACCATTCTCGTCCTGTCCGTGACAACACATGTTGCAGTATTAATATTCTGTTGTACATGGGCCAACGTTCACACACGGGACTTTGGAGTGATCTGATGGTTTGTCGAGACTTGTTTCTTATATAACTTGGGAGGAGCAAGTTGCAATGTTAGGGATCGAATGATACGCAAACTGAATGGGCGTATCATGAAACAGCAGCTAAGGTGTTGTCTTTACCGGGAAGCGCCCACCGCACTTTCACTAAAAACTGGGTTTATCCAGAGCTGTATATTGAGAGAGTTTGGCTATTTATTGGGAAGCATATAGGAGGCAGATGACAAGGCGCCATTGGCCGAGAGCAGGCTGGGTGTGTTCCAGGGCGTCTTCACAGATTGGAATGGGGCCAGCCGGGGGCCGGGAATGATGCTGTGGCAGTGATCACGAGAAACAAAATGAATAAGTGCATCGGAGTAACTCTCGGTGACCGAAAATCTGGTGCACATGGTTTTTTGATCACGGTCATGCAAGATCAAATTCTAGGAGAACGATCAACGTGATCCATATGCCAGGCGCCGAGGGCCGGGAAAATGCCTTCCGAGCGGTTAGACTCCGACCGAGCAAAAGAGAGTTTGAGCGGCACATTCGATCGTTACATCTTTTTGCATGATCATAATCGAATCATCACGTGCACTACATTTTCAACCGTGAAGAGTTGCTCTATTTAACCCTCATGCACTTATTGAAATAGTTTCTCGCTACCACCGCTAAGGGTTTATTTTCAGATCCTGATTGGCCAAGAGAGCACGTCACGCCTTCTATCTGTGTCTCGTGCACACCCTGGCTCTGCCCGCTCCTCCCATTGACCAAACTCTCTCTGTATTCGGTTCTGGGTTAATCCAGACATGGGTGCTTGTCTGGTCAACATATAATTGTCAGGATTTCCAAGTTTTGGATATGTTAATAGTGGTCGCTTGTACGAAGTGGGTGCTTCTGCGGTATATTACGGTATGTTTGTATCTTTTCCTGTTACTATTCAATTTGAAGGATGATTCACTGAAATGTTTGTCAGTGTTCGAGAACTTTCATGTGCCTGGTTTTGAAAACTAGATCCTTCCTAGGGGGATGCACTGTGCCTCAGAGACAAAGTAGCACAGTTTAGGAATGGATAGACTTCATTTCTTGTAATGTTTACCGTCTTGTGTGTAGCAGAATGAATAGCTGAATTGAGGACTGGTGCTTACTCCCATTTCAGTTGCATTTTTTTCAGTTCAGAGTGCCATCCTTACCTGCACAAGTACATTTCCACACGCTAATAGTTTTGATGATGGCCTTTCAACTGTGTGAAAAGAGCAAATAGCTGTGTCACTCACTGTGTATTTTTGAGAAAGTGACAATTGGCTTTGTGCCATGTGCGCTTAAAGCGACACTGACAGGGTATATATCCTTGCCAAGGTTTTTATTTGAATATGACCCATAAGAGCCCAGCTACCCAGAACATAACTTGCGGCTCGAAATTCTTTTCTCTTTCTGCCCGAAAAACAGCCGGTCGAGAATTGGCCGGTTTGAGTCACGCTCATTCTCGTTTCCATTGTAACGTGGCAATCAAACTATATGTACCAAATATATTCAAAGTCGTGGGCTATCCAAGGCACACATTCAATATTAAAAATAGAAAAGAATATGAACTCCATTTTTTGTGGCCTCCAAAAAGCAGCAAATACTTCAATAAAAAAAAAAAAAAAAAAACGGCCAGTTGAGCTGCAAGCGGAAGGGATAGAAGTGCGAAATAATTTCATGGCAAACAGTCCAGGCAAATTCGTCGTCTTTTGTTTCGGGGGCCGTAGAAGCGCAAGAAAAAATAAAATGCGGTTAGGTGTAGCCATGTGACTTCCAGCCATGAGCTTCCGTGCTCGTCTTTTGGTTTCGTTTTAGAGCAGTGGAGTTTTTTTGGCTTTATTAAAAATATGTGACTGCAGCAAAATATTTATTGTGTGGTCTCCTGACACCATGTTAAATCACCTGGCAAAAAAGTAAAAAAACATTTTTGCGGGAGTGACAGTGTCCCTTTTAAATATACCAACAGAATGATGAGGACACAAACTCGCATGAATGCTGCCTTTTTTGCTTTCTTTATAGGTACACTTCCTGGCATGTGGGATCGGACCATCACAATTGGCAGTGCTGGAAAGACCTTCAGTGTCACAGGATGGAAAGTATGCAGACGGGTGTTTCTTTGGATATGCCCAATGGTCGCTTGGGACTAATCACTCATTTTTACATCTTATTCTTATTTTGACATTTGGCTACGATTTTGTAAATTCCGAATTGTTATATTCGCCTTTTGTATTTGTTTAGGGAGAATCAACTGAAGTGCTTGCTACAGAACATTTTGAGGTGCTTCAGAGAAAATGTGATGGGACCAGTGCTTGTAAATGTTAAAAGACCTTATTATGTAGGGTGGAAGGGAGCCCGACATGTAGCACAATCATAAAATCATCCTTGTGGTCTGTGTATTGACAAGTAACGGAGCTAACAACATTCCGGTGTAAGAATATACTGGGGCAGTCGGAAGTGAGGTGTAAAAAAATGCAGAAATATTCAGTGTGGTTGGAGTGTGATATTCTGCTGAAGCCAGCTAAAAAAACACTAAGCTAAGAAGGGAAAAAAAAAAGCTTATTTGTTTCTATTGCAATTTCTTAAAAAATGCCGCCCCCCCCCCCCCCCCCCCCTCCCCCGACAAGTAACCTACCCCTATTTTTGGCTTGATTTGCTATTTTATTTTAAACACATAAAGAGAGCCTACTTTCAGTAATCATAGTCCTCAGATCAATGATGACCTTAGAGTATATGTGTCTAGTTAGCTATGTCGGGATATACGCGAACATTGGTGACTGGAAAGTAGTCATCTTTGCTTCATTGCCCATCGCCACAATAACAAGTTTGACAAAACACATGATCTAAAAATATGATTTTTTTTGTCTTTTCTTGATTGCACACCGAAAATTAGCAGACGCCCTATTTTCACCCACTTTTCTCTCGATTTTAGGTGGGCTATCTCAGGATTTGACAGTGCCTTGTTGGGACAGACTTGTCTTAAAATAAATGTTTGTCGTCGATTTCGCCGCAAATAAAAAAAATATGTAAAACAAAAATGTTCTTTTCTTTTTTTTTGACGAACATTTATTTTAAGACATGCCTGTCCTAACCAAGTAGTAAAAAGAAAATTTTTTTTTCTCTAGGTTTAATGTGTTTTTATGCTGCTGGAGTTAAAATACGGTGCCAGGAATGTGTTTTCGACTGGTGTGTCTAGTGTCCTATCTCGTCCGTACATCAAAAGTGGTCCCAAAGTGGCAACAAACGATGTCGCAAAAGCCGGCGTGGTCATGTCGTTGAACGTCGCGATCCCTGCAGTTAGCACTAGAAGTTCCGGCAAGAAAGTATGAGCGAATGCGAGTGTTGCCGTCATTGCGAAGATTGAACTCCTGGCTCGCCGAAGCTTTCGTGGACTGTTAAGCTCGAGAGCGACCTGCAGTGGAAATGGCGTCTGCCACATCAACCACTGCTTTTGTGGCATTGCCAGGGTTGTGGCCGGCGACAGATTGACGCTTTTACGACGTCAGCGGGCGAAAATCGGGAGACCACTTTTAGGATACGGTCAACACACTGGTTGGAAACTCAATCCAAGCACCGTAGTTTAGGTACTGACGTTGTGAACTGCTGAAGTTAAAACTGGGCTGCAGGCATATTGAAGGACCCCCCCCCCCGCAAACCGTTTTTCTTGGTGCAGATTGGTTGGGCCTACGGACCCCAGAACCTGCTGAAGGGGCTGCAGCTTGTTCACCAGAACTGCATCTACACACTAAGCACCCTTCTACAGGCAAGAGTCAGCTTTTCTACGCTCGGGTTCGCTAATTTCGGGTTGGACGTAGCCTAACTTGTAAGCGTTCGCGCAGTGTGGTCGGAGGAAAGCACGCACCTGTAGGTATCCGCAAAAACGAGGAACGGAGGTGGAACTTTGACAACAAACCCGATCTTCGTTTGGGAGGCCCTTGTGTGTTCACTCTGTTGTCTAAGTATTAGTTTGTGCTTACGAAATAAGATAAACAAAACGAGCTCCACGTATGGCGGCATGTGACTGCTGCTTGAATGGCGGAGAGAAGGCTCGTTTGCACGCTTGCGTTCAGAGCGACCGCCGCGACTACAAACAAATCGCAACTGGTTGGAATGACGAGTTGCCGTGGCAATGAAGCGCCAAACCACCATGTCGTTAGTGTTCATTTGCAAGACAAGGAGTTGAGCCGTGCCAAACTTTCTTGCTACGTTTGAGAACGAACGGAACGTCCATACTGACAGACCAATTGTGGGTCGAGGAGAGCTCAGCCGCACGCACTGCACGTCCGTCGCAGTTCCCGCTAGCTGCCGAAAACGTGGCGTCGGTGGTGATGGTTGGCGTGGTGGAAGCACATTGTTCCGCGTAGAGTGCTATCCTTGACTGTGAATTCTCTTCGTGTGTCGCGATGATAAACCACCCTCTCCCGGAAGAGATCATCTATTGTAAAGTTTCAAGAGAATGCCCGCCCGCGAGAGATCGCCCATCCCATTTTACTGGCTAAACATCTGTAATGTAAAAATTCCGATACCTTCCCGTCGGACATCACGTGGTGTCCGACAGGAATCGCATCAACCACACAATTTGCTGTATCGGCACGTCTGACAAGCGAGTTCATCGCGGGATATTGACTCCCATAACACGCAAGCTGTTCCCGCCTGTATGTAGCACCGTGAAATGCGAACCTGCTGCGTCCGCAATCTGCAGTTTCTGTTCCCGTGACATAAAGTTTGGAGCGGATTCCGCGTTTTTGTTTGCAATCTGCACGCGCGATCTCGATTCCACACAAGTTGGTCCCGCGTGCATGTTGCATCGTAAGATATGGATCGCAAACAAAAACGCGAATTCCCACATTAATGTCCGCAATCTGTGTTCGCAATATTGGTTTTGGTGACAGGCATGTTTGTTGTGGGTTCCCATGTTTATTGCATCGTAAAACCTGAATCAGCTGTGTCTGTGATTTGCGGTATTCGTTCCCGTGAGATGTAAGTTCTCGGTGGGTTTCCGCGGGTCCTTCGCACTGTGAAATGCAAATCTGCTACGCCCGCAACCTGTGGTACCCTTTCCCGTGACACAGAAGTTCATAGTAAATTCCCGCGTGTTTATCGCATCATGAAATGCAAATTTGCGGTGTCCATGATCAGTGGTATCAGTTCCTGGGTCACGTGGTTTGTAGCCGGTGCCAGGGTGTGTTTTTACGATAATTTTTTGTATAAAAGTTTTGCTATGGCATCCCCAAAATAGCCCACTCTATGTTTTTCACCATTTATCTCTGCATTTTGGGTGGGCATTCTTTCTGAATTTTACGGTACTCATGCGGCGATGTCGTGGTGGTACCCTCGAGATGACAAAAACGCTCGTTCCGTCACATTTGTTTTCGTCAACTCCAGTGATCCTTCCTTAGCATTTGTGTCCTCAAACATTGCCCAGATTTCTTATTTTGCGTACTCCGTGCATGTACTCAAGTTCAAGGTACTGCTGGTGCGTACTGTTCTTGAAGACATGTCTGTGGGATGCAAAATTTTCACACATTGTCATTGTCCGAGAAAAATGATTATTGGCGGCATTTCTGAATGCTTGCAATATCTATTTGGTCATGAAATCATATCTCTATATTGCTATACCGCTGCTAAAATTGCAGCGTCTTCTTTAATTGTAGGAAAAGCATGTGGCAAGAAGATTTCTACTTTTGGTAAAGTTGCACGTTGAAGTCATGATCGTCCAAGACAGTAAGGCATATGTCCATTTTCTTTTTTCATCCACTCTGCTCCACGAGCCTTATCCTGTAAAAATGGTAAATAGAGAAAGCTTGAGACTATTCAAAACTGTCTGTCTGTTTTCTGTTACACCAGCAAGTGGCAGTGCGCTCACTTCTTTTTAGAGGCACTGCGAAAAGTCGTTCCAGTCTCTCCGGTCACAATGGATGCAGTCGTAGCTAATGCGCTTGTTGCAGATGTCTGAACTGGCCGCAGAGCACGTATGAAGAATATGCAAAACCTCTTCTTGCCTAGTACTGTCTTCGTGCCTACTTTTATAGATGTTCAGCTCGAACTTCGTAGGGAGTTTTGTCTCCCTCCTTAGATGTAACTCGTAGTTCTTAAAATAAACAAAGAAATGTTTGGTTTCGGGCTTGAGCGATTCTTTCCAGAGCGAGGGCTCGAATGTTTTCTGGTTCATCTTTCCATTTAGTGCCACGGTGTTGCTAAGAGGACACTTGTGCGTGGTTGGAGAACGACATTCTGACTTTTTCGAACCTCAGGAGGCAGTGGCAGTGGGCCTCGAGCAAGAAATGGAGCGGATCGATGACCCTGAGGGTTACTGGAACGACCTGTCACGTTCGCTCAAGGTCAAGCGGGACCAGATCATCGCCTGCCTCAACAGCGTGGGCATGGCTGCCACCGTGCCGCAGGGCGGCTACTTCCTCGTCTGTGACTTCTCCAAGATAGGTTCGTTGCTGTGGCTTTTCACTCAAGTTTCATTGATTAAAGTCGCTCCGCAGTCTTCAATTGCATGTTAGGTTACTTCAACTGGATGTCACTTGAGCCCGCACCCACGGAAGAAATAGAGACCAATTTGATGCATAGAATCGGTGTTGCCAGTTGTCACCGGCTTGGACAAATATGTCTAATGGAAAAGGCAGCAAGTGCTTTTTGTCATCCCGCTTGCTAAGAGAGTCTGCAACGGAGCAAGACGGTGTCACCAGGATCTCCTAACGTGGCATCTTAACTTGAGAAGTCATATTTCCAAAGCATAAATGATGCCAATAAGGCCTGCGCTATACTAAACAGCGAAATGGTAACGCTCACAAACCTCTGGTACCTTAACAAATGTTGCGCGACACGAACAGACGATTGACTGTCGTCATGGCATGAGACAATACGAGAACATGTAACCCTTCGGTGGCCTAACTTCAGCAAACCGGGTGGGCAATCAAGGGTTGTTGATATACCCTCCATATGGAGGTGCTTTAATTACTTTTCACTGACATCACCCAAAGGTAATGTCAAAGTGCAGGCCTTATGGCTTGCGGTCTCAATGCCATGGCCTGGTCTTGATGCTTCTCTTCAGAACTGTAGCTAGGGGACTAGCAGGGTTTCTTCACTTCCACTTTTGCTTCTTTCCAGGATCCAAAGTGAACCTTGAAGGGGAAGGGACAAAGGACTACTGCTTTGCAAGATGGCTGTCCAAGAACAAGGTGACCAAATGTAGCTTGGAAGGAAAGGCTTTGTTGAATGTGCGAGCAGCAGATCTTCCCCTCAAAATTGAGTTGAGTGATAGTCCAGACGTATCTGCTGCTAGTTATGGTAGTGCTAAAATGCCAAAGTGGGCCAGTTGGTTCATACTGTTTGTGTTCATTGTGGTTATGGTAGACTGCTAATGGAGGGGGGAAACCTTGCCTCCCTTCTTGGAAAAATAAAGAAACAAACTAACTGTACAGTGGGGATACACTGAGGTAGTAAAGGTTTGTTTCTGATAAGACTGACATTGTTACCATGGAGAGCTGCTTCACTTTGGAGATACAGTAGAAGCTCTGTAGAGTGACTTATTAATAAAATAAATAGTTACTATACCCAGTTGTAGGTTAAGAAAAGCAGGACAGGCTCCTGCAAAGCCCTTCCCTCTTTCCACTTTAGCGAGCGAATGCTGAAGAGGAGGCAGAATAGACTAGTAATTTTAAAGATAACAAGGCCTCAAATGCATGTTTGTCTGTTACAAGCCTGCTATACTAGATTTGTTTACCGTGAAAAGAAGCTGTGGTAAGCTTGTCATTGCCGGTACTATATGTATATGCATTCAAGCATGTTAATTAAGCTAATATAAAAAAAATAAAAAAATTACCTTCCTATAGACATTACCATATTTACTTGCATAATGAACACACTTTCTTTAATAAAAAAATTGGCACATATTTGGGGGAGGGCGTTCATTACACGGGGTAAAATTTTTTGCATTTACACACTTCGTGCAAATGTCATGTTAAGTGCCAATATGACACGGCAAACTATTGCGGCACGTCTCCAGTGATGGAGGCGCACACACGGCTGGTCGGGGGCGCTTTCGTGGTATCTTTTTAGGGCGCTTTCGGGGTGCCTTTTGCCGAAAAAAAAAGCGCCCTACGAAGCTCAATCAGCACAAAACGCAGCGCCATCATTCTTAGGCGATATACATTGCTAGTATCTGGCGGCACGCTCGGGTATATCCGCGACTATGCGTATAAGAACTCGTACGACCGCCGACTGCCAAGCTTGCTCGCACGGATCAAGTTTTGTTCACGGAGACAAGATATTGTGCAAAGTCCAGAAGTCCAATTCCCGAAGCCCACTCGCACCGCTACCAAACACTTTCAGCCTACAGCGCAGCGTGCACCTCGCTATGCCGTTCTGTTACAGATTAAATAAACGCATTTACTCGGAGTATGTGTAATTAGGCCTAACCACTTCTATGATTTCATTGTCTGAAAGCACAAACGGTGGCTTGTTTGTTGACATCAATGCATCCGATAGGCGAAGAATGTTCGGGGCTTGGCAATTCCTCCACCCAAGCTTCGTCAAGTGCGCGCGACACTCGGTTTCATGGTTGATCACTTCCGCAACTACGCACTCGCGGCCATTACGAGAGCGGCTTGCCTTGGCTCGACTTGGCCTGACCGCTTGGTGGCAAAAGAAAACTCGTTTGGTGGCTTGCTAAATTGAACGCAATTCGAGACTCGCGGATCCGGAAATTGGAGGTGCGTTGATTACTGGGGGGGAAAAAAAGTTCAAATATTCATGCCCATTGTGGGGGGTGCGTTCATTATGCAAGTGCGTTTACTATGCGAGTAAATACGGTAGTTGCAAGTTCATAATAGTGTAGCACACATTCGAGGTACTGTTACATATTGAAAAGGGAACATCCAGAAATTCAGATTGGCAGCCAACAATAGACCCTTTCTGAAATTAAGTCTGGCCAACTCTATAATTTTGATCACTTAAGTGTGTATCCTCTGTACATGCTAATGGCTGCCTTTTGATGGCTCATGAAGGAAGAGCTGGAAGGCATCGATGAGGAGTCTGAACATTGCAGGCATTAGTCCGCTGTATTCTTGTTTGATGTCAGCATGATGAGACTTGTAAGGTTCTGTGCGCTGCGCATTTGAGGGTGTCGTGGGTATCCTCGGAACTCTAGGCTTTGCTATGGCCCAGATGGCTCATAAGAATTAAATGTGGTGAACATTACCAGTCTTTCAATATGCTACTGGTCAAGAAACGCTTTGTAACGCTATGGAAAAGCTTCAACAAAATTTGAAATATACCCGCCGTGTTGAGAAATAGGCTAAATATGATTCCTAATATCCGCAAATGACAGTCGCACGTTTGTATTTTGAGTCTGATGACTGCTTTTTTCGTTATAAATGGCCCACTCCGGCAAGCGCTTGGAGAGCAGCCAGCAGAGGGCATGTGACATCCGCTGCAATCGCGACGTAAATTGTCTCGGGACGAGCAAAGCTGCAGCGTGGCCGATGTTGAGAGGTTGTCCTAGCCGTTTCAGCCATCGAAGTGGTCGAAGCACTCCAGCGATCGGGCCACCGCAACTAACCCCAAAGCTGCTTCTGCACGAATTTTGAGTGATTGGTTTATCTTCTCTAATCTTGTAGAGGGACAATAGCGACGTCTGGGCACACAAAAGAGAGTCTCGGGGAGGGGGAGTTCCTCCTTCCCCTCTTCTCTCGTGGTGGCCGGAGGTGAGGCAGTAATCGTCACATCCTGCCAAGGTTCTTAGACAGGCATTGCAAATGAGGCGTTAGTGGCATCCACCAGGTGCTCTTTGATAATTGTTTAATTTGTTTTTCAATGAGAGATTGGAATGTCTGATGTGACGCTTCTTTCTCGAACACTAATAGACCAAAAAATAAGTGCAGAGATTTCGTTGTAATATTCCTTTAATACTCGACCATGTGCGGCGCTGTCGTCGACAAAGGGGCTAGGAGCCGCCAATCTACCCTACACCAATGAGAGTCCGGTAACCCAAAAGTGTCTTGGAATTTTGAACCCCCTTTGAGTAGGGCACCTATAAATTGTGATAGCGTGTCATCGCACTGACAGCTTTTATTGTTTTTGTAAGTGATTTCGGTTCTCTACACTCAATCAACTGCTCAATCTTAAATATCTGCAAAGACCTCCAACATAATCATTTTTGCTCCTTTTTATTTTCTCAAAATGCAGTTTCTCCCTCAGCGTCAAAATTCAGCGCAGTGAGTAGCACCATCTAGTAGAGGCACTGCAAACCAGTACGCTGAATTGCCTAGCTCTGCTTCACTTGCAAAAGCATTGTTTTCTTTAAAAACAACTGTAAAAAGCTTATTTGCAAGTTCTCTTGTAAGAGGTCAGTATAAGGAATGACTGGTCTTTGCATGCAGGGATCAAATACAGACGTAAACAAAATTTTGGTGTGTGAGTAATTGTGTTTTGAAACTACTTGTGATCACGAATTTGGGGTGGCTCACTGAGAGCAAAGCGCCGAAACCAAACTGCCCCCTCTGGATAATAGCACCCCTAGCTGCAGCTATCGACCCTCTACCAAACTATGGCCCAAGCTTCGTGGCCAGTGGGGTATTGAAGGACACTGATATTATCGAAAGATTTACTCAAGTAAGTGCCTCATACAAATCGATACCGGAGTCAGCCATTGACGAATAGATACTATATTTTAACTGCCATTAACATAGAAAAAATTCAGACTGATGCTTGGGCCACTAGATTGCACTGAATTTCTGAATGATTCTTTTGCTATGATGTGGACATAGCCCTGAAGAAGCTACGTCTTCGGTCTTCTATCGAAATGTCTGCTGCCAATCTTGAGCCTTCCAGGAGGTTTGTCTTCAAATTCTTTTTATACTGCCTGTGCAATTTATGGGTTTACAAAAAATCTGTTGTAGCAATTTTTTTTTAATTGGTTGCATTATTTATCCCACCGCTGAGGGTCTTGCACCTCCAGAAGCATCCTGTGGGTCCTTTTCTGTTCATGCGGTACTCAAAAGAGTTTAAAGTATACCTATATCCCATTGACCTTTTTGAAGGGAACAATGCTGTGAATCCAGATGGTGTGTGCATTTGTATCATTTTGTTTTTAAACAATACTTTAATACACTTTATGCACAAAAGCAGTGAGTGACCTGAAGAATGCTGACTGCTAATCCGCTTGTCACGTATTTACATAATCGGCAAAGCCGTACTGCAAAAAAATGCTGATATATATATATGTATATTATTTCTCTTTGTCCTCAGGTTTGATTAACCTGAATTTTCTAACTCTCAGAAACTGCAGGGCATTCCCCCCAGTGCCTTCTATGGTCCCGACCACAAGCCTCTGGCTCAAGATTTAATCCGGTTCTGCTTTTTCAAGGTATGTACAAACTCCAGACCTCTTGCATTTCTGTGCACCTCTTGTTTGGCGTGCCACATTGTCAGAAAAACTTGTGTGAAATGGCACCTGTACTTTTTGCAATATGTTTTCACCTGCGTAAAAGTTGGTACTAGTAACATGCTGAAGGGGCAAGAAAAGCTTGTGCCTTTTTAGTAGGCATGTGCGAATAGTTTTTTTTTAGTTCGAAGCGAATTCGAAGCGAATAGTAATTTGCTTAGAATATTTTCGAAGCGAATAATTTGAATAGTTGTAGGAAAAATTATTAGCAAAAGTTATGCAGTGGTCACTTCACAGACCATTTATTTTCACTGCAACGCAGCCACAAATCAAAACTTAAGCTCATGCACAAATCAAAACTTAGTACAAGAAAAGTCAGTGATTTTCATGAAGGAACACAAGCTGCTGCACATGATCAGGGAGGAGAAGCTCCCTCCTGCAGCTCACGATGATTCCTGCGCTTGAGAAAAGCCTTTCACTCCTAGTCTGGGTTGCTGGTATCGAGAGATACCTACGGGCAACACGGACCAGGGATGGGTACAGATGTCTTCCCCTGCACCTCCACCATGCCAAGGGGTCTTCTGTGCCCGCAAGGAGGGGTGTCTTCAGGTACTCAACAGACTCTGTAGCGAATTCGTGGCCTGGCTTTTGGTGCGTGTCAGAACTAAGACTGGTGAAGACATACCACAGGGTGTCTCCCAACGAGTCTCCTATGCCTCCGCTGGTTTCGGCGGCTGCATCACGAGGCTCGTCCACTGATGCGCTCTGCTCGACGGCCTTCGTCAGGAGTGTGCGTGCCCATTTTTTTTCTGGGGTCCACCAACATTGTCAAGGCTAGAAGGCGACGCATCTTCCCATCAGGAAATCGTGTCTTGATGCTTTGTATAAGGCTTGAGGCGTGTCCGAGTGTGTATTCGAAGCACTGCACGCCAGACCACGGTGACCGTGCAAACGCTGAGGTGAAATTCCTAGCGTTGTCCGTGACTACATAAATCGGCATGGTGCCTGGTGCTGGTAGTTCTCAGTCCTCGATAGCACTTTTGATGACCTGTTCCAGGTTTTCGGCCTTGTGGGAGTCCGTCACGTCCGTACAAGCCAAAGCGTGCACGTGCTGTCCAAATTCTTTGTCCATCACGGGGCAAGTCACGGAGACGTAGCTATTGTTTGCGCGCGATGTCCAGTCATCCGTCGTGATGGAGTAACATTCTGCTCCGCTACTGAAAATGTCTCACAGACTCTTTCTTAGTTCTTTCTTTTTTAACTCGTATAGATCCGGGATGACAACCCGCGAGAAGGTCGTCCGCGACGGCTTGGTGTAGTCGGGCATGGCAAGCTTCATCATTTCAACGAAACCACTTTCTTCTACGATGCTGTACGGATGCATTCCACTAGCAATGAAGTTCGCTATTATCGCCGTCATTTGTTTCGCTTTGGGTGCAGTCGGTTTCAGTTTGGGCTTGAAACTGTCGGCTACCGACGGTTGCTGATGATTCGGTTTACTCCCGTTCTTTTGTTTGACGGCACTCCCGCGTGCTTGACGCTCACATTCGAAAGTCTTGTACGAATCAGGGTACCTTTTCGGGTGCGTTGCGAGGGTCGTTGTCGTACCCGTTGGAGTTTTCAGCACTGCCTTCCATTTGAGACACCAAGCTTCATTTCCCGGTGGCACTTTCAAGAAGTAGTTCCATATCGGATTTCGATACACATCGGCTTTACTTTCATCGTTCCCGGCTGCCGTCGATGACCCGTCAGCCATACGAACGAACACGCAGCACCTAGAACGAGCACACTTCGAATCCTTTGTGGAGCTGCGACGGCTGCGACGCACGATTTTCTGATCGGTTTAGCATGTCTCGGATTGGATTGGATATTTTTTTTATTTCTTGATGCCGATGCTGCTTTCGTAACAACCGAAACCGAAACTACCTGATACAATCGGCCTTCCTTCCGCTATTCGTTAGTGCCAAATACTTTGAACTTTTTCGAATATCGGAATTCGGATCGAAGCGAATACCGAATAATGTACTATTCGTTCGAATATTCGGAAAAATCGAATATTCGCACATGCCTACTTTTTAGTCAACACGTTTCCAATACATACATTGTTGCGACTGGGAGGGGACCATTTCAGGTGCGGAACCACGAGTCGGGGCTGTGGCTCCCTGATTGCACAGCCCCAAGGAAACAGACTTGGAGTGGGATTACTGAAGTAGAACTCTTAAGTACAGGTAGCTGGTCGACAGCTCATTCGGCCTCTTCGGGCTCCCTGAGCCCATGTTATATAACCCTCCAAGGGCGAGAAGGCCCCCCGAGAGAGAGGAGCCTCCGCCGGAGTTTGAATGTTCGCGTTATGTCCGAAGTGCGGAGGCGGCTGATGGAATTGCCTTAAATGAGTCACAACACAAAGTTGTGGCTCATTTGAGCACAATGCTTGAAAATATTTTTCTTTTTCCTTTTTTCTATTTTTCTAAGTACCTAGTTGCAGCATTAGCCGCGTTTACATGAATGCGACTTCAGCGCATCGACTCCAATCGTCCTTCGAACGAGGCCGACACGGCAACGTTTACGGGAATGCACACCATGCCCTACGTGAAGGTGGCGTAACGCCGTGTCAAAGCTCAAAGTTAAAGCTGTGTTTCCGGCACCGGCCACACTACGTGAATACATTTTCCGGTGCATCGCACGCGAAGGCCTTTCGACGCTTTTGGCGAGCGTAAAGATTGTGCTCGCTGTCTTTGATGCTGTGTAAGAAGTTACGGGACGGAACAAACATCAAAACCCAAGCGTTTTGGGCTCCGGGTCAGGCCGCCGGGCCACTCTGGATCAGAGGCAACATGCATGTGCATGGCCTAGCGAGAGAGATAGTTTCCAACCGTCCTGAGTATGCCACCGTGCTTTGCCTCACCAAATTTTGCCAACTGTGATCGGACCCCGAGGTCTTAAAGGACACATGCGAAGGAAAAAAACATTTTTTTTAACATCATGGTTGGGAGAAGAAAGTGATAAAACAAACTTACAATGAAAAAGAAAAATTTTCAGAGCTATATTTACGGTGCAATACGAATTTGTAGTTGGCGCCCGCGGGTGTTGTGAAAAAGTGATCTCTATTTGTCACGTGACTGGTACGTATTTGTCACGTGGTGCTTGTGCTCTTTTGGAAGCTTCCTATGGCCTCTAAAAGTAACTTATTCATCTTTGTTTGAAGTATAACAAAAAGCTAAGATTAATAGGTAACTTTTAGAGCCTAAAGGAAACTCCTGAAAAAGTGCAAGCAGACGTGATAGACCTGTGTGCCGGTCAGATGACGGCGGCGGCGCCCTGAAGCAGACAAACTTGTGCGGCGGCGGCGACGTGGAGAAACGCATTGAAGCGACGTCGCACAACGCTCCGCATGCGGCGGTGGCGACTTTGCAGCGGCGGCGATGCAGCGCAGCGGTGCACAGGCCTACCGTGTGACCAGCGGTGGCTCCCACGGGCGCCAACTAAAAATTTGTTTTGTGCCATAAATATAGCTCTAAATATTTTTTTCTTCATTGTAAATTCGTTTTATATTCTTTTTCCATCTAGCCTGTTTAAAAAAAAAAATTTTTTCTTTTGCATGTGTCCTTTAAGGCTCTGGCGCAGCCAGGAACGACACCGAGGTAGGAGCTGCTCATTCTGCGCTACCATGCAGTGCTCAAAGCTCTCGGTGTCGCTCATGCTTGTGCTGAAGCCTCTAGGGACTCCCTTGCATGCGCAAGTCGTATTTCGCAAGAATTAGACGGGGGCCGCCATCGACGAGCAGCTCCAGCTATATTCCGCTCACTTAGTTTGGCAATAAAAGCTTGCAGTTTTTCTCTGGAGAAAAGTGCAAGCAACCACATGAGACCTCTCTCCACCGCCCCTGCCAAGGTTGGCCGCTGCCATGTTCTCAGCTGTTCACTCACTCCTGCAGAGAGCGCCTTCCCATAATCCTTCCAGTTACAAAATGCGAAGTGACCTCCGTTTATATGGGTTGAATGAATGCACATTTGCCGTCTCAATCCACCTCTGTCAAGCGACTTGAATGTGATGTGCTTCCTTAGCGCATTATGCCGTCGACATGACTGCATCGAATGCAACAACTGGATACGATGCAACTAGGTCGCATTCGTGTAAACGCAGCTATTGATTTTTCACAGTTCAACAACTAATGTTGCGGACGATTTTCTTTGTGGTTAAAATTCGCGTTCACTTGACATCCCAACAGTTGTACATTCTGTTCTAGCTGAGGTTTAAAAGGGGTATGTCAGCTAAACATTTTTGGTTGTTGTAGTTCTGAATAGCATTATCTTTTAAACAGGTGGTTGATTTCATCAAATTTTGTTACATTTAATAAGAATAACTTTTTTTAATGTGTTTTTTGTAATTTGTTCTTAATTTCATAGAAATATTCAGTATTTACTAAAATTACAATCAGATTTTATTTAAAAATAAGTTCTGCCGCAGTCTTCTTTTTCTAAAAGAAATTAAAAAAACGTAGACATTTTGCTAACTTATTAGAACACCAAGGAGTGTGCTGGGTTTGGGGGTACACGTGCTAGTGTGTGCCGTGGGAATCTTTCAAGAGCAAAACGCTAAAACAAAGATAACTTTATGCATGCACTCATCGTAGGCTTAGTTTAGCCATTTATTTCAAATCTTTCCCATGCACAGGGTAAGCATGTGCAGGGGTTGTTGTTTCAAACCCAGCAAGCACCTTGGGTGTTCCAGTCATTTCGCAAAAGGAATATTGCATCAATCGTTTCCGAGTTATGTGACTCTTGAAATTTCCGATCTACCTTTTTAGAAATAAGCGGCGCCGCCTGACAGAAACCGGGGTTCAGGAGGATCTGGTGTATGTGCTCAGCACGTGCTCCATATTGGGCTTTCCAAAGTCTCTCTTCTCCCAATTGTGGCTTATCTTTTCGCCCCCAAGTTTCCTCTAGGACGCTCCTTCCCTCTCCTTGGCAGTCCGTGCATTGTTCACATATTTATCATACCAGAACCTCCTTAACTGACGACGTTCTAAGATGGTTCATTAAGAATGCCATGACTTTAGCAGCTGGTACATGCACCCTCTTAAACTGTGTGCTTTGCTTGTCCTGAATAGTTCAGTTTTTACAGTTCGAGCCTGTACTTTTTTATGCAGCCCCTGTTTCTAGGACTGTGGTCAAAGGATAGTGAATAAATTAATAATTTGGCTTGGCTTTACCTGAAGTCATACTGCCTTGTGCAGTATTTTTTAACCTCACATGACTGTGTTGTTTTGTTTTTATTAACATTTTGCAAAACTTCGTTTTGCAGGAAGACTCAACACTTGAAAAGGCTGGCAACATTCTCAAGGAGATGAAGTCAGCATTGTAACAAGCATTTGTGTATATGCTGCGACTTTTAGTTAGTGCAATTAAAGAAGTTTGTTGGTTTGGGCAGTCTTTAGCAGATCCGTGTGCCGAGCTTGTGTGTCATTTCAACTGCAGTCATCCAGACATCGGTGTACTAATCATTTTGTAGCAAAACCACTCGAGTACAAAGTATCCCCCCCCGTTCCAAAAAAAACAACAAAAACAAAACAAATATGCAGAATGTTTTTTTACTGCAAAAATAAGCTGCTTCGCCGCACGCTCATTGTCGGCCCAAATCTAGCGCTACCAGGCCGAACCATATTTCAAACGTTGGAGAACTGTTATCGTCAAAAGTTATAATCAGTGCGACTCTGCGAATGCATGGCACTCGCAGAGTCGCACTGAAAACGCCTCAAATGCACCGAGTGCAGAGTGATGCTGTCGCCATCTATGCTGTAGAAAGAATACCGACCTCAAACCGAAACTAGCGCTACAGTACTAGCGCCTTTCTCCTCGACATGATGGGTGGCAATGCGAGAGTGCAGTCGCTACTGATGTTTATCTATAAACGTTTGTCGCTGCAACCTGTAGCTTTTATTTGCGATGACTTCAACCAACTCGACTGTCGTAGAGATATCTACAGACAGTGTCAATTTCCGCAACCAGCAGACTACAATGTAGCTGGTTCTGATCTTTTGATTCTTATAAACTTTATACTGCATAAAACTGATGATGCTGTCCACACAGAAACTTGATCCGTTTCAGCATGACATTATGCATGAACCACTGAAAAGGGTACGGCTTAAAACTAGTCTGTTGGAATATCCCGCAAAACGCTTCGTGGGACTTTCGATTTCGATTGTCGTTAAGCGTTTTGCGTTGAGAACGAGGAAGCTTTCTTAAACAAAATACTGATGTAGGTAAATGTTAAACATGATGATGTTGCGCAAGCCTCGGGTGAGGTCACTATGTTTAACTTTCAACAAATGTTCAATTTTTCACCCGCACATGGATAGTAATAAAAATCTCGGGGGGGGGGGGGGGGGGGGGGGGGGGGGGGGGGGGGGCGCTGGTGCGTTTGTTTTGAGCATTTCTTTATACACTGGCTTAGCCTATGACACTGGTATATTTTAGCGTATGTACGGCAACAGAGCGACTAAAACTTTCAAATAAAGCATGGGTTGTCAGTTGCTTCTTTCATGAAATAGCAGACACTCACAATTCAAGGTTGCGTTTGATTCCGTTGCCCGCGGGACGCGATTTCTACCAGAAAATTTACTTTTTTCCTTTCAGTTCCACTGTACGAATGACCATGGGTGTACCAACCAAGGGGGCGCTTGCCCCCCGCCCCCCATTCTCAGAGTGGGGGGCCAAGGCATGTGTTTTGCCCCCCTGAAACAGCCGCCACTGGGCAGGTCAAACACTGGCCGGCGGCGCCCAAGGGATACCAAGGGCACCACACTCCGGCCGCCGGGGGAAGGGGGGGGGGGGGGGGGGGGGCTGGTTTGCTCCCCCCCCCCCCCCCCCACACACACACACAAGTTGGTACGCCGCTGCGAATGACACATCGTAGCAGACGACGAACCCTCGTCGTCTGCTCCCGCTCCTCGCCGGAGCGAGGCGTGACGGGATTGCATTTCGGCGCACACGGCGCACGCTCGATTTTCTCAATGCAGCGAGTGCGTGCACGCGTGGGGTGTCGGCGCTGAAACGAAATCGGGGGGTCCCGTTTCCACAGTGAAAGGATGGAAGTGTGAGAAAATCGCTCACCTTTTACTAGATAATGACTAGTTCTGAAATCGACACCTGGTTTGGACCGCTAGCGCTACACATACGCAGAGAATGAGCGTTTCAAAATCTAAACTTTACCTTTTTTTTTTTCTTTTTTTGGTTGGGGGGGGGGGGGGGGGGCGTTTTACTGGTTGAGTAGGATTAGGTGCAAAACGTTTACTGCTTTTTAGAGCGCAGCTCTTAGGGGCCCGTCCCCGGCTTGAGCGGCGTCGCCGTCGGCGTAACCAAGGTCACCGCACGGTCACGTGACCACCAAGGTCATCCAAGTCACGTGACCCCCCGATGTCACGTGACCCCCGATGACGTCATCATCGCTGATGACGTCATCAGTGACGTCACCGGCATCTGCACCGTCATCATCGACGTCACTTATGACGTCACCGGCATCCGCATCATCACTGATGACGTCATCGGTATCCGCATCGGTATCGTCACTGATGACGGCATCGTCACGTGACCCCCCAAGGTCACGTGACCCACCCCCAGTACCCTTCCCTCCTCCTCAAGAGCTGCGCTCAAATTCGGCGTTACGGGGAGTTGTAAACGGCTTTCACTTTTTTGTCGTCTTATATTACTTGCCTTTCCGAATCCGAAACCGAAACTAAAAAAGTCCGTGCTGCGGAGTGCGAGAGTTTGGCGCTCCTTTCACTAAACGCACTAAACAGACTCTACCGGAGACTGACACTCGAGCGCGCTCTTCGTGCACCGAAAATTTCTCGGGGCGCGATTGACTCCTTCGCGCTCCATGACGTCACGTAAACGAACAAGATGGCTGCGCTGCTTTTGAGACCGCCGAGACGAGAGGCGTTGCCGGACCCAACGTTATTAGAATCAAGGAGGTTAGAAGTACTAGGAGGGTGCACGTTGCAATAGTGGCGAAGCCTAATCATAACAAGTTTAAACGATTTTGTGCCCAGTGTGACCGCAGATCTCTCTGGTGATTGGTGCGCGTGATATGTCAGGTGTGAAATGGATGGTTGATTATAGAAGGACTACTTGCAGGCTTGCGCGCGCTCCGTCCGGTAGGTTTTATCAGATCGAAGGCTATACTCCGTTTCATACTTAATATGCAACGGTGTTAAAGCTACTGGCGCGAGCGCGTGGCTTTGTCTATGGTTTCGTTCGCGCGAGCGCGCGTGGAAATGACCGACGATATCAAGCCTCATGCTCGCGCCAATAGCTTTGGCAGCGTTGTACGCTAAGTGTGAAACGGAGTATAGACTGTGGTAACTAGGTTGTAACTAGGGGTGTCGCGAACCGGCCGCGGTTCGAGTTCGACCAGCTCGACTTTTTCGAACTTTTAGTGGAAAGTTCGACCGACGAACCTTCCATTGAGGTTCGACTCGTGTGCGCATGCGCGACAGGCTGGCCAGTTGGTTTCGGATTGGATGATAATGGCTAAGAGATGAATTAAGTGCAGCGCTGATTGGCTATTTCAGATAATACAGTACTAAAAATTAAGTTATTAACTTTTTCATTGATTAGAATTAGTTTCTTTTAATTGCAGCTGTTCAGAATATAAAACGACCGTTTGCATAAAAAAACTTTTTTCAAAACCTAGACATGCTTGTATCAAGGTCTGGCCACACTGTCCACAAAGTCGAACCGGTCGAATCTGGTGAAAAGTTCGAAGGTCGAACCCCGAAAGTTCGACCTAAAAATCCGGTTCGACAAAAGTTCGCGACATACCTAGTTCCGACTTCCGAATCTATTTAACTCTAGGGTAAAGGTGGTTATCGAAAACCTACCCGCGTCTAGCGTTTCTCTATTTTGTTATCACGTGACATAATCCGCCAGGGTAACTCGGATCCATAGAGTTATTACAATGTACGCTAGAGGTTCAACTGGCGCTAGTGTCTATGCGACTTCCGTGACGCAAATTGAAGCAGACGGCAACCAATCTACATTTGCGGTGCTCCTGCGCATTCCTATGGGAAAACGCGCGTGCATTTTGTCTCTACGCCGGAAAACAACACTGAACGTTTTGGTTATTTGGGTCGTACCGAATAGTATGCACCTTGATTAACATTCTAAAAGTGTAATTGTTTTAGTTAGCGCACTTTTCTTCATCGGTGAGCGATGTTTAGCTTCGCTACATTTCAGTCCGAAACATGCAGCAGGTGTGTAAAAACAAGCGACGATTCAAAGCAAAATAACAACCGAAAGGTATATAGAGTAGTGTTCAAGGCTCGCCAGCGTCCCGGTGACGCTTATATATTGCCAATAAGCCAGTCCTCTCACTACATGAAAATGACCCCTTCGTGCATGAGCGGATAAAGACATTCAAAACGTTAACAATAAAGAACGTGGGCTGTAAAAAGTGTCTCTTCGTATTGTTTTATATACGGGCACCTTTAAGCCTGCATGCAGACACTTGTTCTCAAAGATTTCGAGCGTGCGGGTGATATTTTAAACGTAGAACAAGCATCTTCGCGCAGAGCAGAAAAAATAAAGCGGTACTTACTTACTTAAAATCGGAATATATTACGTGGCCTTCAATTTATTTTGATCATGCACGCACTGGTAGTTACTGATCCAGTGTTACTGAGTAGTTTTTACCGTCTCTCTTGGCTTTCCAGATGTCCTTCGTTCGTTTGGCACGTATATCCCCCATGCTGGAAAGCGCCGACGTCGTGTTCGTGCTAACGGTGTCCGACAGTGCACATAAATACACGTACGAAGCCGTTTTAGCACCGTTTTTAATGAAACGAATTTGAAAGAAAAACGCAGTATCTGACCAATTATTTCATCTGCGTGACTGAGAAATGTTCGAATGCGCTTAGTACGCACGAATTATTCGTGATATTTGCTCTTATAATCGAGCGCAGAGAGAAAATACACTCGTTTTTTCCCATAGAAATGCCTTACCGGAAGTCAATTTCGGACTGGTTGCTGTTAGAAGTTTGTCTGCTTCTTGCGCAGTGGGTAGCGGTGACGTCAGAACGCCGAGCCCTGATTGGCTGATCGCGACCCCCTATCTGAGCGTCGTCTGCTCCTTTGCAACGTCGTCTGCTCGCAACGTCGTCCGCGTCTGTCTTAAGCCTAGTTCACATGCAGCGGTTTTGACCCTAGAGCAGCGCGATTTCTGCCGTCGCGACGCGCTGGCCAGCACCAGCAATTCAGTGGCACGAGCGCCGCGACGGCAGAAATCGCGCCGCTCTAGGGCCAAAATCGCTGCATGTGAAACACGCTTTACCTTTCCTGCGACTTTCGGAAGGCCAGATTCACAAAACGATCTTACGCCAAAAATGTGCGTAAGACAGAACTTAAGAACAAATTCGTATTCACGAAACAAAATTTTCGTAAGTTTCGCGCAGGTTACGACGAAATCCTACGACAGCTCCGAAGCTCGCGTGGCCGACAGCGTCGCGGTCGCGACGACCCACGGACGTTTATTTTTCTACGTGCGCTTCTCACGCGTCCCGACTTCAAGCAGCACGAAAAAGTACTTGAAACAGACCACGACGAACAAGAACGCTGGATCCACAAACGCCCAGGAAAAGCTCCAATGGCCACGATTCCACCGAACGCGACCAAGCGAGCTTCAGCAGTTAGGCCTAGCAGACGCTCCGCGACTCGGCGACCGTCTGCCCACGACCGGCTGGCGTACTGAATGGAACATGCCCGCGCGACACTTGTGAACCCTTCCCGTATTATACTTTGATCGCTAACGCCAATTTTAGATTAAGAGGTCAATTTCTTCCTCTTGTTATCTCCTTGTTTCCCGAGGCAACGGTGACTCTCGCCGGTGAAAAAGCGGTGAATCTCCGACAGACGGAGGAAAGGTAAAGCAGCCATCGCTTTGACTAGCAGACGTAAAGCAGACGACGTTGACTGCGCCAACCCGCCGACGCCGTTAAAGAATGAGGGGTCTCGCCACACACGAAAGGAGAGAAAAAGTATTTGGGAGGGAACTTGCGGACACTAACACGATCACTCTCGGTTCTTAGTAAACAAACCTCGGCGCCTCAGGACACCTCGCCACCTTTGACTTCCCTCCTTGATGCGCGTCTGCTAGTTGTTAGACAAAAACAACGTACCGCTCGAGTTATTTCGTCTGCCCTCTCTGAAAGACGAAGTCGAGCTCGCTTGTAAAGTCGCAGGAAAGGACAGACACAGACGATGTTGCGAGCAGACGACGTTGCAAAGGAGCAGCGACGCTGAGATAGGGGGTCGCGATCAGCCAATCAGGGCTTGGCGTTCTGACGTCACCACTGCTTCCTTTCTCATGCGCAGAAGACGAAAATGAGCCCACTTGCGAGGCTCCTTCGGAGCCTAGCGGCGAATAGAGCACTATATAGCTCCTACGGAGCAGAGTAGCGCAATCCTTTGAACCCCGTGTTTTGCCGACAACATGGCCGACAGAGCGGCTCGGCGCGAGTCACGTGGTACTCAGGGTTCCAGGAGGCGGCCCGCCCTATGGGAGAATACATGGAGATCGATACAACACGGCTGATTAAAAAATGAACGGCGAGTTCACACTTTTCAAAACTAGTCTGCCGTGAAGTTAGTAAAGCACTAAACACTTTATCAAAGTTTTAATAATATCGGATGCGTGTGCAAATTTTGAGAAGGCAATTTCCAAGGCAATGGCGTTTGAAGCAGACGATTTTTGCTCGCGGCGGAGATGGGCTTTTCGGGTTGGCCGGAGCGGGTCACGTGAATGGTGTGACGTCGCCGTGTCGTCTGCTGCATGATGCCGCTCAAGCAATTTTAAAAAAAAAGTCAGGTCCTTGCGGGGCACAAAACTTAGCGAAAATTATTCTAAAATGTTCCATTATTATGTCAAAAACAATTGCCACTCCACACCCCCACAATACTGAAGAAACAGCGATTGTCTGACGTTCTCCATGCATTTCTGACCGCAGTTGGAACCTCCGGGCGTTCGCCGCTAGTCGCCGAGAGGCGGCGTTCTAGATTGCGCTACTCTGCTCCGAAGGAGCTATATAGTGCTCTAGCGGCGAACGCCCGGAGGTTCCAACTGCGGTCAGAAATGCATGGAGAACGTGAGAAAATCGTTGTTTCTTCAGTTTTGTGGGGATGTGCGGTATGGAAATCATTTTTGACATAATAATGAAACATTTTAGAATAATATGCGATAACTTGTGTGCCATACAAGGACATGACTTTTTTTTAAAAAATTGCCTGAGCACCATCATGCAGCAGACGACGCGGCGACGTCACACCGTTCACGTGACCCGCTCCGGCCAATCCATAAAGTCCATCTCCGCTGCGTAAAACAATCGTCTGCTTCAAACGCCATTGCTTTGAAAATTGCCTTCGCAAAATTTTCACAAGCATCCAATATTATTAAAACTTTGATGAAGTGTTTATTGCTTTACCAACTTCACGACAGACTAGTTTCGAAAAGTGTGAACTTGGCGTTTATTTTTTAATCAGCCGTGTTGAGTCGATCTCCATCTATTCTCCCATAGGGCGGGCCGCCTCCAGGAACCCTGAGTACCACGTGACTCGCGCCGAGCCGCTCTGTCGGCCATGTTGTCGGCGACACACGCGGATCAAAGGATTGCGCTACTCTGCTCCGTAGGAGCTATATAGTGCTCTAGATCCACTCGATTAGGTCATATACGGCTCTGGAATAGGTTTGGAACGCAGCCTCGGTGCGTCGCGCTCTTGTACGCTATACGCCGTTTAGGTACTAGAATTTGCCTTCCGTCTGTGTGTTAAAGATAAAAATAATGTTGGAACTAAATGAATTCAAGACAATTTTATTAACGTCACAAAAATAATGGCCTAAGGCGCCATCTCTTAACTGACGCGGTGGCATAGCCAGGAATATTTTTTGTGGAGGGGAGGGGAGGGGGGGGGGGGGGGCTGAGACAATACGCTGAGGTGGCTGGTGTGTGTGGAGAGAGGGGAGCTGCTGCTGTGACGTCAACCAGAGCGCGGCGTCTGCTCTCGGGCGTTGTGCGCGCTGTCTGCTATTTCGAGAGTCCCCGGTTCAAGCACACAATTATTTTTGGTCGGGTAAGTTCAACGCGCCTTAGATAACCAATTCTAAGACGCGGAAAGTGCGCACGTGAGAAAATTATAACTGTCGGAACGGCTGTTTTCGTTTTATTTTCCCCTTATAGCAGCTATCTTTGGCCAATCGGGCTCGGCACGGCAGGGCAGAGTTTAACAGGACCACTCAATATTTTTATTATCTGCTGTAGTATCCGCAGGTGTTCTGCGTCCGTTACAGTTCTGCAGCCCACGCCTGGCATCCTAGAGAGCCGCGTAGAACTTGAAAAAGGTACATCCTTGTACAGTCGATCCGCCACAACGTAATTTCACAACCTTTTTCGCACCCGGAAATCAGCGAAGAGATGGTATGTCTTACCGTATTAGATGTCTCAAAGGTTCTAGCGCTACATTGCATGTCCTCACGACTGTTTTAATCTTAACTTATTTCGGAGTTGGTAAATCCTGTTTCTGACGTCACGCCAAGACGGCGGCCTTCGCTGGACAACAGCACGTGCGCAGTGCCTGTACTGTTTGTGGACACAATCAGGTTAAAATTAATAAACGTTATTACAAAACGTTTTAACGAGTTTTAAAACAAAGGAAAAAAGAATTAGACGCATGTCCTCTTCTGCTCATTCATTTTGTTTCGTTTCAGGACAATATGTCAAAGTTAGAGATTGCTGAAAGGGTGCGAGGAATGACTGACAACGTCTGGTAATATTTTAATTTTTAATTCCTTCTATTTTTCATTTGCATGTTTTGAATTGTGGAACACATAGTCGAATTCTGTTTATAATTATAATTAATAATGGAACTGGTCTTGGAATTTATCAGGAGGCCGGACTAAGTATTCTGAATATTCCCATTATTTGACTGCGGGCTTATGAATCACCGATTCCTACCTTTCTTGTAAAAAGGTACAGATTCAACGGGAAGTGTTATCAACATATCATGGGCAGGGCATAAAAGACACAAAAACTCCCTGGAGAAGGCGAACAAAGGGGACGAACAAAGCTAAATGACTGGTGCGCGACCGAAAAAACAAAAAAATCCGCCTGGTTCTGGTATTGAACCAGGGACCTCTCCAATTCCAGTGGAGCGCTCAGTAGCGCGAACGGATTTTATCAGCTGTCACCAGTCTAACCGGCCTGCATTTTAAGCTCATGATTATAATGCAAAGGTGCAAGCGAACTGGACAAGAATGACAATAATAATCCCTGGAGAAAGGGGACAAAGAAAGAAATCTCCAAACACAGCTACGTGACTGGTGCGCGACCGAAAAAATCTGCCTGGTCCTGGTATAAAACCAGCATTAGCTGTGTTTGGAGATTTATGTTTGTCCTTTATCCCCTTTGTTCCCCTTCTCCAGGGATTATTTTCGTCATTCTTAATTGTCCCGCTCGCCTGCACCTTTGCATTTAATTGCATTATAATTATAACCTTAAATTTGCAAGATCACCCTTGTTGGTGTTAGACTGGTGGCAGCTGATAAAACTCGTTTGCCCTGCTGACAGAGCGCTCCGCTGGAAATGGAGAGGTTTCTGGTTCCATAATGCAATGTGGCAGGGCAGGGGCAGGGGGCAGGGGCAGGGGCAGGGGGCAGGGGGATTTTTTCGGTCGACGGTCTCACACCAGTCATATAGCTGTGTTTGGAGATTTGTGTTAGTCACCTGTTCCCCTTCTCCAGGGATTATTGTCATTCTTGTCCAGCCCGCTTGCACCTTTGCATTAATTGCATAATAATCACTCCGTTATTGACACTTTTAGCGTACGGCAGCACTTCAGTTAAAAAAAAAAAATTGAGTGAAAAAAAAAAAGAATTCCGTTGAGTCTTTAGTGCATTTGTTTATCGCACACGAAGTGAGCAACTGTAGATGTACTGCACCGAACGTTTTATGATTCGAGCACCGACAAAAGTGTAGGTGCATGCACCTATACAGGCTGCGCACAGTTATCCATGAGTCATTCCAATGCTTCCATTGTGCATAGAAAAAAAAAATGTTCATCCTGTTGTCTTTTCTTACATTAAACGAACTTTTAAGAAAATAAAAGACTTTAATACAGGAAAATAAAATTAAAGGTTACGCGTGCGGCGAACGCACACTTGCACGCCGCCATCTTGCCCGCATCGCTGGCCGTCTGCCCAATGTTGCTCTCTTCGTTTTCGGATTTCGCTAACACTCGGCCACTCCTGGCAGCGAACTGTCCTCAGTTCATGTGGCGTAGTCCCCAAGGTACGAAGGTCTTTTGGGCACACGCACGCTGCGTCTTGGCACACTGTCTTCTTCGTCGGTGCTTGATTGGTCGGACGGTTCTTTGCATCTTCCACCCCATCTCTTCAGTTGGCTGATGTGGGCGGTTGTTGAGTAGACCCTCTTCTTCCCATTCATTTCGGTCACTCTGTAGGTGTCCGCTGGGAGTACTTCCGCCACAGTCAGTGGGCCTCTGAACTTCTTCTGGGTTTTTGTTGGGACGCCGGTGTGCTCTGGAATGCAGCGCATGACGACTACGTCTCCAACGCTCAGCCCTTCCGCTGCGAAGTGATGCCTGTCGAAGTACTGCTTCGACTTTCCTTGCTGGGTCATTATGTCATTTTGAGCCGTCTCTTGAAGTTGCTCTGGACATACCCACTCATCATTCTCTGTGTTTAGCCATCTGAGGACACCGTCTTGCATCCTTGGTTGATATCCATGCAGAAGCCTGAAGGGGCTAGTGCCTGTTGAGGCATTATATGCTATGTTTAGGTAGCTCTCTACCTCCTTGATGTTCTGATCCCAATCCTTGTGAGTTGGGTCCTCGATTGTAGCCATAATGCACGGTACAAGGGTTCGGTTTACTCGCTCTACCTGGCCGTTCGCCCTTGGATGGTGTGACGAGTTCAGTGTGTGGGCTACACCATTTTCTCGGCAGAAGGCTTCAAAGCTGTGGGATGTGAAACAGGAACCACGGTCCGAAATGATGCGTTCAGGTAGTCCAAACTCTGTGACAAAACTCTGCACGCACCGTAGTACATTCCTTGCTGAAGTGTCTCGCACGGGGTAGAGGCGTACAAACTTAGTCAGATTGTCCACCAGCATTAAGATCCACTGATTTTTCTTGGAACTTCTCACAAACGGACCAACATGGTCCACGTGTACAACTTGAAATGGCCTCTTCCCAGGCGGTATAGAGTGCAGAAGTCCAGGCTTCTTCCCTCCTGGTACCTTTGTGAACAGACACTCGAAACACATACGGATGTGCTGATGCACATAGCGCTTCATCCGAGGAAACCAATAGAGTTCCTTGATTTTCGACACAGTTCGGTCTGTGCTGAAATGTCCCTGCAAGTCGTGAAACTTGACACACAGTGTTTTACGCATGCTCTTGGGCATCACAAAAAGGAGTCGTCCGTCTTCCTCCACGTAAAACAGCTTTCCATCCTTCAGTCGTAGATTCTTGACCTTGATACTTTCCTCTTTGGTCCTTTTCTTCATTGGCTTCTCCAGAGTCTGTGCGAGGTTAGCCAAGTCTGCGTCAGATCGCTGGATGACCACAACTTGGTCTTCTAACCCTAAAGTGAGGCAAACCTCAACCCTGGTTTCGACGACCTCATCAAGGGTGTCCTCCGACGCCCCTACGGGTTCGCGACTCAGGTAGTCCACATGAGCCATTTTCTCACCTGCACGGAGCTTCACCTCAAAGTCATACTCCTGTAGCAAGTCAAACCACCTTGCTATCTGTGGTTTAAGAGTCTTGTGTGCATTGAGGTACACAATTGATTGACAATCTGTTACCAGCGTAAACGGAATGCCTAGAAGGAATGGACGCAGTCTTTCCATACTCCAGACTACTGCCATGAGCTCTAGTTTTCCTGCATGGTAGTTCTTCTCGGCATCAGTAGTGCGCTTACTGACACAAAACACCAGGTGCCAGCGTCCTGACTCGTCTTGCTGAAGAATCATTCCCGCAAGTCCATGCATACTTGCATCCGTGTGGAGTTCAGTTGGGGCTGAAGGGTCAAACAACTTCAGTATCGGGGGTTCTGTTAGTTCCCTTCGGAGCTGGTCGAAAGCCTCCTGTTGCTCGATTCCCCATGTAAAGTTTGTGTCTTTCTTGGTCAGACGAGTAAGAGGTTCCGACTTCAGTGCATAGTGCAGAATGAACCGTCTGAAAAATCCTGTCAGGCCCAGAAACCCCTTGACCCCGTGAACATCGGTCGGCGGGCTAGCTTCCAGTATGGCTTGTTGCTTCACTTCACCTGGCTTCAGGTAGCCCTTCACAATCTTGAAGCCTAAGTAATCAAGTTCATCACTTCCGAACACACACTTGGAGAGTTTCAGGGTTAGTCCGGCAGCCCGCAGAGCATCCAGGACTTGTTTGAGCTGAACCAGCAAGTCCTCCCAGTCCTTGGCTGGAATTAACAAGTCGTCCATGTAGCACAATGCTACACTGTTGCGCAGAGTCCCAAGGACTTTGTTCATCAGACGTTGAAATACAGCCGGGCCATTTCTCAGCCCAAACACCATACGTTCAAACTGTCCAGTCTCATCAGGTGTGATGAATGCAGTTTTGGCCTTCGATTCCTCACTCAGTGGAAGCTGGAGGTATCCGTTTGCACAGTCTAACACGCAGCACATTCGTGCACCGGACAGTCGTTGCAGCTGGTCATCAATGTTTGGTAATGGGAAGTGTTCTGGCACAGTCTGGCTGTTAAGCCGTCGATAGTCTATGACAAGACGATTTTCTCCATTTTTCTTTTTCACGAGTAGCACTGGGCTAGCATATGGCGACGTTGTTTCGGTGACGATACCAGTCGCTTTCCACTCTTCAACAATTTTCTGGATCGCTTCCCTTTCCGCCGCATTAGTCTTGTACGGCTTGCAGCTGACTGGGGTACTTCCAGGTTTCTCCGTGATGGTCATTTCTAGATGGTTGCAACACCCCAACTCAGACAAATTCAGTGCGAAGCAGTCCCTATACTCATTCAGCATCTTCAGCAGAGCATCCACTTGCTGTTCATTGATGTCTTTTCCGACATTCAGCATGCCACGATCTATGGGCTCTTGTTGAGGCACAGTCCTCACTGGGGTTAACTCTTCCCTCTCCGAGAGCAATTCTGCGTGAGCAAACAAACTTCCCTTGAGCAGCTGTTGGTCTTCATCCTTGTCGTTCAACACAGGTATCTCAACCCTTCCGTGTTCAATGTGAAGCAGCATTCCCTTGTCGGTCCCACCAGGTACGATGAGACTTCCTTCACTCTTACCAGTCTCCACTGTCACCCAACACACAGTTCTTTTGGGCAGCACCATGGTTTCCTTGACACGCAGAGGTTCCTTGGAAGGCTTTATCTGGGCAAGGTCGATGTCACAAAATGGAAGGTCATCACGGTAGCCAATCCTGAGCTCATCTCCCATGCGCAGGTATGCAATGTGGTCTTGTTCCGTCCAGGTCCTACCGACCAGCATGTCCACAGGCAGGGCACTGTCGTTGACGACAATCACCTTGACCTTATGGCACACCACATCGTCGATTTCAATGTCGACCTCCGAAGTTCCAATGGACCGCACTGTAGATGTGGCGGTGTTCCCAAATCCATACAAGTCTTGGCCCTTGCACACAACTTGTAGGTTACACTTTTCAACCGCTCAATGACGCAATATACAGTCTGAACTTCCAGGATCAATCATCACCGAGAGCTGGTGAGTTCCATTGATAAGAGCAGCCTTCAGGAATTTAGCTGGATCACTGTCACCTGAACTCTGATTCACCACAAAGTTGCCAACAGGGTTTGCTGCTGCGCAGTTTCTCGCCATGTGTCCATACTTTCCGCAACTGTAGCATTTTCGCTCAGCTTGATCTCGCTTCAAGGATTCCGGTGTTTTCTTGGGTGGTCCCCCAGCACTTGCCTGATCCGTCGGTTTGATCATGTTACTTCCCTGACTTACTGAGCCTCTGGCCACACCCTTCTGATCTGTGAGGCGTATTCCACTAGTTGTCTGCTCGGTTGGACGTGCAGTAGCCCATGACCTTGAGGTTGATGACCCGACGCGAGGTGTTGCACTTGGATCACTGCTGTGTGGCTTGCCCCTTGGAGACATCTGAATCCTTGATTCACTTATTCTCTCCAGCCTTCGCAAGTCTGCCAACAATTCATTCTCGTCCCTGTGCTCCTTTGCCGTCAAGGAGATGCACGCGTCTCTAGACCGCAGCCCAACCAAAACTTGCTCCTTGGTATCTTGCATACCAAGACCCAATTCCTTGCACAACAAGGTCTTTTCGAGGAAGTAAGCAGTGGTAGACTCTCCCCTCATCTGGATTCTCTCCTGCATCTGCTTCCATTTTTCGGCTGTGCTTGTTTCGCCCACAAAGGTTTTTCTAAAGGCCACCTTGAAGTCCTCCCACGTAGTAAGGTCTTCGACACGGGCCTGAAGCCAAAATCGAGCAGGTCCCTTCATGTGGAGCCTGGCGTTCTCTAGCCTGAAGCTGTCCGGCCATCCGTGCAGAACTGCCATGGAGTCAATACTCTTGAGCCACGCCCCGGCCTCGTGTGACGACCCCTCGCCGTCGAAGTCGTGAACAGCCTTATTGAGGTCCGGCATAACATGAAACGTTTCTGGTTTCCTCTCGACGAGGTCGAGTAACCTTCGGTTTTGTTCCAGTAGCGCTTGCATTATCTCGTTTCCGTTGTCGTTAGCCATCTTGGGGTTGTCTAGACGTCTTCCTAGGCGTACACACAGTTGCCGCTTTTGTTTTTTTCGCCTTCGGTTGTGCGTCCAGGCCTACAGACGTCACACAGAGCGTCCGCACGCACGGTCCCCACGAGGCAGCACGAAGACTCACGTTTCCGCCGTCGGCACCTCACGAAGACGGTACCCGTTGAGACAGCGTCCACATACACGCAGTCTGCAGGCGACACAAAGAGCCCACTTTCCACGGCCGCTACCTCACGACGACGGCACGGGCTCGGCACTGTCCGTAGCGTCAATTGAAAAGTCAGCGAGCATCACCGTCGGCGCAATCCGACGACATCGGCTTCCAGGATCGCCTCACCACGAAGGTTTCGGTGAATCCCACTTCTGAGATGTTGTCTTTCCTCACATTAAACAAACTTTTAAGAAAATAAAAGACTTTAATACAGGAAAATAAAATTAAAGGTTACGCGTGCGGCGAACGCACACTTGCACGCCGCCATCTTGCCCGCATCGCTGGCCGTCTGCCCAATGTTGCTCTCTTCGTTTTCGGATTTCGCTAACAATCCTGCCACCTGCGCATCGTTTTCTTTCACCAACTGAGAACTTTTCCTTCCACTGAGCATTGTAAGGCGCAATCGGTCATTTTATTAGTTTTAACGCAATAATGGGAGCTCGTGTCGCAGAAAATCTGGCGTCGGAATCGGTGGGACCAAAATAAAATTACACCATCTTCCCGAGGGGAACCATGGGGTGATCCGGAGCATCGCGGAGTTCCCAACAACGTGGCTTCCCGTTCTCGAAGGTCGGGTTCTGCCGCTCGCTTCGTACGTTTACGTTGAACTTCACGGTCCCGAACCTCAGGTTCTGCTGCCCGACGTTCTCGAACCGCCGCTGCTTCACGTTGTCGTAGTTAAGCATCCGCCGCTCGACGTTGATGAATGGACGCCGCTTCTCGTTGCCGTAGTTCAGGGTCTGCCGCTCGCTTCAAGCGTTTGCGCTCAGCATCGCGTGCCCTTCGCTGCGCAGCTTTGTCTTCAGTGGACGTAGCGTTGCTGTTTGTGGGGTGGTGCTGACGCTTGCTTGCGCCAACCCACTAACTGACGGGACTGTTGCTTCCATCACACTTCATCGGAAGAACGGAGTGAAGTAGAGCCAACAGCGGTGAACTGAACGCGTTCAGGCGCAGCGCGCTACCGCTGCTTATATTCACACTTGAAGGAGAGGAGACTAGAGGAGGAGAGTTGCGCATGCGCGCGCGGTGTGAGTAGAAGCGAACGCACGCGAAGTGCACGCAGCTGGTAGAGAGAGAGAGCGGAGAGAGTAACGTGCAGCTGTTGGAGAGAGGGGAGGAGAGTTGCGCATGCGTAGTGTGAGTGCGGACTACGACGCCGCGGGACATCGACCCAGGGGGGTAAAGGTGGGTGAGGAGGAGTGGCAAATCCCGTGCGCCGACACCCGGGGTCCCAAGTGAACGATCGCAAAAGAGAGCGACAGAACACGAGAGAAAGAAAGCAACGTTGCCATGGTAAACGCAAAGAGTGAAAACTCTCAGCAATATAAACAGTGATAATTTAACGTTGTAAGCTAAATTCTGAGCTATTCCAACGCTTATAAAAAGCAATAAAGTAATTACGCTGCATTAACTTTTCTTCTGTCGAAATCTCGGAAATCTGGTGGTTGCGCAGTTTCGTATTCCTCAACCGCGCCCCACCGGCGAAGCCGGGTATATGGTTTAGTTTAGCGTTAACGCGAGGCCGTACATCTGCGCGCTATGCAAAAAGAAAGCTTCGAAAGGAACGTGAATATCTTTCCACCGGTAAGTTCGTGGATTGTTGAAGTTCACGAAACTGCTCTGATGATATAACCGTGTTTGGGACCCCGAGGGTCTGCCTGCATGATCCGCCGCTTGCGGCAGCCAGAATGTATGGGAAAATGGCGGACCTTTTCCTCTAGAGTTAGTATGTATGATCTCTATGCATCGACCCGAGCAAGAGATGCTCCGCATCTAAAATCCCATAATGCAATGCACACAGCCACATCTTCCGGATAAGGCGCCGGACGCGACACATGTCGCGATCAATACCACGCGCTTCAGGCGAGCCCCTTCGGTCCCAACACTACCCAAGTATTCTAGTACACTGTAGCCACATGTGTCACATCTGGTTGTGCACATTGCATTATGGAATGTACCTGCTAAATTTGGCGGGTAAATTTTCCCGCCAAATCTAGCGGGAAATGTTTCCGCCAAATTCGGTGGAAACTTTTCCTGCCACATTTAGCGGGTCGATTGCGTCCCGACGTCCTAGCCACGTGTGACCTCACGTGACACTAAGGACTGGTCTCAACTGACCTGGGGGTCCTCAGGGTTGATACTGTGGTTGATACATCGTTCAACAGCACTTGGTGCATTAAAACACAAAAGACACTAGTGCATGCCTTTTGCCCTTCTTTTCACTAGGGTGAGGTTTGATAAGGTGGCAAGGGAGACAGATCCAGTCAACTGTGGCTCAGGGCGTCCTGACCTTGCACCACCGGATTTCATGGTTGGCGCTCTCAAGGAAAGCATCAGTGAACTAAACACCTTGCACCAATACACGAGGGAATTTGTGAGTGTCATCTGCCTGTGAAATGATTATGAAAACCGAAGGGCACGGAACGTTTAAATGCTTTACTTGAGCTAAATCTCACTCCCCTTCACCAGGAACATTTTTCTATCAGCGATGAAGTTTCAGACAGATGGTAGAACAAGGTAGCAAAATCAATGCATCATTTGCTATAGCTTAATCGATGCACTGTGTCGCTCTTCATTTCTCGTTATTGGCGATGCAAATCATAGCGTTCAGTTTTCATTAACCATTTTAATTGTTTATACCGGTCATGCATATACACAACTGTTGAAATTAGAACAAAACCAAGTCAAAACTCTCGAAGAAACCTAGTAGCAGTTCTTAAAAGATCCCCACTTCCAGTTCCACTTTGTAATATCGTTTGATAGATGCTCATTTAAAATATAAAAAGGGCTCACTCAAAACCATGCTCCACTCTCACCATATGTGGCTTTAAACTCACTATATAGTGACTGAAGTGCGACATTCCTTGGTGTCTTGTCTTTAAACACAGAACTGTAAAAGTCGATTCGTTGGTAAACTTCCGGGGCTTCTTGTGGAACAGAACTAAAAACTGGAAACTCTAATCCATGTCTAATTTGAGTCTTCGTTGATATATATATAGGCATGTCTGGAATCTTTCCACTGTTGCCTCCCTGCAACACGGCTTCGTGTGCGGACAATGACAGGACAGAAGTTGTGCGAGTGCCGAAACAACCAGACTACTGGGATCTAATTTGTGATGTGGAAGACATCCAAACACAACCTTAGCGCACCTTCAGAAGCAACATTTCGCGATTCCGTCCCACCGAATTAAATGCCCATCCATCCTGCATTTCCAGGGCCACCCTCGACTTGTAAAGGCCCTGGCCAGGATGTACTCTCGCCTTGTCGGACGAGAGATCGACGCCGAGGAAGAAGTCGTCATCACGGTCGGAGCACAGCAGGCACTGTACTGCGCCATTTTCGGGATGGTGAATCCGGGAGACGAGGTTATGCATTTGTTAAGGGCAGCATTGCATGTGTGCACACTCGTAACAATCTTTCTTAGGGCAGTCTGATGCAACGTGATTTGCTACAATTCCTTTTCTCTCCGCAGGTTATTGTGATCGAGCCCTTTTTCGACGGTTACGAGACAATCACGCAGATAGCGGAAGGGGTGCCTGTGTACATTCCACTTCGACTGGTAGGGCAACACCTTGTTCCTTAATCGCTTGCATAAGGACCGAGTCTGTCAGACCTCTAAGATCCAAGGCGGTGTCTGTCTGTAGCAACAATGTTGCATGTTCGCTCTCCATCGTGTTGAATGTTTCATCTAGTTCGTGTCCCCATTCATGGCAATGCGTTCTTAAAGACATTCCATTTCTGGTGTTTCCAGCCACAGGCAAAGGATGGAAAGAACGTATCCAGTGCAGACTGGGTCCTCGATCCCAAAGAGCTGGAGTCCAAGTTCAACGAAAAGACGAAGATGATTGTTCTGAATACGCCGCACAATCCGACGGGAAAGGTCGTGTTGACACTCGTGCGATTAGAGAGTGCTAGTAGAGGCTGTGCGGCGGTAATGATTGGCACTCTCTGTTGGACGATAATCATTCTTCGTGACTCGTTAATATTTTTCTGTCAAGTGTTAGCGGCTAGACTTTTGCATTCAATCTCCGATTCGCTAAAATTCATTTTTTTAGCACTTCAGAAATAATTTGAATGCACATATGTTCAATATTGATGCTTCACTTCAAATCATCTATACACTATCTTATCACATCATTACATGTGGCTCTCCTGAACCAATATAAATAGTACTATTACAAATCATGCTTCATAGAAACGCATTTCAGAGATATGCTTTGTATTCCGCCGTCTACACCAGGCTTCTTCGTTGGGATAATTTGATAGCTTACCGAAAGAGTTTTGGTGAGTCTATCTTGAGTACCCGTTACAGTTCTCCTCTCATGTTTGCCATGTCTGAATTTTCCTTGCAGGTTTTCAGTAGGCAAGAGCTAGAGGTAATTGCCAACCTGTGCAAAAAGCATGACGTCATTTGCCTGAGTGACGAGGTCTACGAATGGCTCGTCTTTGGTGGGGCCGAGCACGTCCGAATCTGTGAGTGTAGTGGAGAATGCGAGAAATTCCAAGTGCCAAGCAATAGAATACCATGGCAGCAAGGTGCTGCACAACAGAATCTTCCATATGAGAGCAAACACACAAGATGGCAAGATCATTATGCACTCACAAACATGAAGTACCCGAAGATAACCATATCCGTCATTTAAGAACGCAGCACCTACTGTTAGTACCATGGTTGCACGAAGCAACAGACATTTAACAGAAGTTGTAACACACACCTTATTCTCCGAGTTCCGAGATCATGCAGGTTATGGCAGCATGTTGTTGGTAGATCGTTTGTTGTGCCTAGCTGATTGAATTTCAAATTCCTGTAAATCATATGGATAGATAAAACTTTTTTACGTTCTTTGCGTCTTTTCGAAGGCACGCTGCCTGGCATGTGGGAAAGGACCATCACTGTCGGAAGTGCGGGAAAGGCCTTCAACATCACTGGATGGAAGGTCTGAGCCCATCTTCTGGTTTCTGCTGCCATCTACAGCTATTAATTCTATGTGGCACACCATATAAATTGGTAGCAATGGTACAGGCCCTTGGAAGCTTGGGGTAGCCCACAAAGGCCTGTGTGTAAGCACTAGGGGGGACGTTAATCCATTACCAGCACCAGCCCAGGCATTTCTTGGAAAGAACAATTTTAATGCCATTTTCGGGTCGGTCCGGGGTTACAAGCCTAAAGATGTCAAAAATGGCACGGACCTACACTCCTTGACGAGGCAGTAGCAGCAAAGTTACGGTATTGCTTGTGTCATTCGAAATATGCATATCTCATAGTTGGGTGGAATCTATGGTGTGGGTACCATCTGCAACTAGTGGTAACATTCCTCTCACTAATGTCAGTTCAAGTGCATGTTACTCTGCAACGTGGAATCTATCAGTGTTGGCATGGTCTACATCAGTGGTTTTCAACCATTAATGTTTCACGGATCCCTTGTGAATCGGTGGATATGATGGAGGACCCCGTTCGTGGCGGGGGGAAGGAAAGGGTATAGGTTAATTATGATAATGATTTAATAAATGGATATAACTAACTGACTGTGTGAAGTATACTTCTCTCATTGACATAGCACACACAAAAAAACTCACCCGAAAATTAAAACTTTCTTCTTTTTTGGATGCAACTGATGAGGCAGTGCTTCGCGGACCCCTCGAATGCTTTGCAGACCCCCACTTGAGAATCACTGGTCTACATCAAGTGAAAATCTGAGTGCAATGAGTGCATAAGAACCTTTTGTTGCAACGGCGATGATAGAAGACAGCGTGGAAAACTAAGGATGATGGCCCGCCTTGCAGCTTATTGCCTTACGAGAGGCGCTACGATAGCTAGTTACGTGCAACCCAGTGACGCCGCCATTTGCAAATATATATATTGGCACCCCGCAGCACCACTACTTTGTCAATGTACCACATGTTTTGCTCAGGTGGGCTGGGCCTATGGAGAGCGAAATGTGCTCAGAGGCACGCGGCTCTATCACCAAAGCTGCAGGATCACGCTGAGCACCCTGCTTCAGGTAAGTCTTTTGTAGCACACCGGTGCTGACTCACTTATACAACTCTTCTATTTCTTCGGTCATTTCGGAGAGAACACATATTTCAGAAAAAACACTTTCCCCAAAAATAAAATTTTTTTTTTTTCAATATTTTGGTTGCAAGATATTGCAACTGAAATATACTATAGCATTGCGGCAAAGCTTCTATTTTGGAATAACGTGCCAATATGGACAAGTTTTGGAATCGGATCTCACTCAAAATGAGTCTCCCAATGTAAATATTACATTGGTTATTTCTTTTCTTTGTGTGTGTGTGTGGGGGGGGGGGGGGGTTTCTTTTTGTGAAAATGTTTGCAATGCAGGCACTCAAAAAATCACAACGTAAATATTGCACTAAAATTTTTTTTTTTTCTGATAAAATTGATTTATGATAGTGCATGTGTCCCATCCAAGCACTTAACAAAAAAAAAAAAAAAAGAAGCTTTGGGGGAGTTTATCGTCTCTTTAATGAGATAATCGCAGGACGTCCATTAGCTCATCAAATCGAACACATCGCAAATTACCAGCTATGGTATTTAATATTTCTTGCACAATACATTTAATATTTTGTGCCTTCCCTGAAAATAAACTGTATGGAATAAGTTGCCAAAAGTTACAGTTGATAGTGCCGAACTCGAAACATTCATTGCAAAGTTCAAAGTTGCACCCTCGTGAAAATATTTTGTAACTAATAACTAATAAACCAGATCTCTACAAAATGATTTTTTTGTGTGCTTTGTTGTATTGCTATTTTTAATGTTTTTCTGTCTTTTTATGGCATACATTCCAGCTTGGACTCTAAAGGCTGGTTCACACATTTACAACTGCTTATGACCTCTTGTAATCTCTCACAACAGGAGAACGCACTCATTATTTCCGTATATTTCCTATTCGTTTTGTACATGACCATTTTTTCATTACAGCTTTAGAATAAGAAGCCCCAAAGCTTAGGGGCCCCAAAGCTTAGGGGCCCCAAAGAAATAGGGGCTCACCACTGCGCATGCACTGAACCCAAAGTGCATTTTGGGTTTTGGATTGGCGCTCGTCCCTAACCCAAAATTCGAGAAATAGCGTGGGCAAACATGGCGGCGCCCTTTTCGCTCACTTCGAAGCAAATTCTTCAATGGTCACTACCACTGATCTCTATGACAATAGCTGGATCGCGCTTCTTGCTCCTGCGAGTGAAGCCACTGGACGGCCATTTTGCTCGTCGCGAAATCGTGTTTTTGATAGCGTTGCAGAGGCTGGCGGCAGCCTGCTGAAGACTTGTTTTCTACTCGTTCGTCGTCATTCGCCGAAAAAGTTCTCTTAAGACCCTGAGGAAGCGTTGAGACTTGCCATCGAGAACATGTGGAAATTTTTACGAAAGCGCAGTGCCACAGGAAAAGGGCACAACTCACTGAAAGTCAGTTTCGCGCCAGTCTCGCGGCGTGATCAAAGCTTCCTTGGCACGCCGAAGTGCTGCATCTCTGTGCCTTCGCACGCTTGGATACCGATCAAGATTCTATGCCATGTGGATTTGTTTTTCGAGTGCAATGTGCATGAAGCCTGTGCATGCTGCTCCAGGGGCAGATACGGCTTCATGCACATTGCACTTGCAAAACACATCCACACGGCATCAAATCTTGATTGGTATCCGAGCGTGCGAAGGCACAGAGATGCAGCAATCGGCATGCCAAGGAAGCTTTCATCACGCGGCAAGACCTGCGAAACCTGCTTTCGACAAGTTGTGCTTTTTCCTGCGGCACTGCGCTTTCGTAAAATTTTCTATGTGTTCTCAACGGTAAGTCTCAACGCTCACACGGGGTCTTAAAAAATCTTCTTTGGCGAATGATGACGAACGAGTAGAAAACGTGTCTTCAGCACGCTGTCACCAGCCTCTGCAATGCTAGCAAAAACACAATTTTGCCACGTGCAAGATGGCCGTCCGGTGGCTTCACTTGCGCTGCAGTGACCAAGCGGCGAAGCGTGATCCAGGAATTGTCATAAAGATCAGTGGTCTCTGCCGTATTAGGCTTCTACTAATATGGTAGAGACCCCACAATTACACAAATGCCAAATTCAAGCTCTACGGATTGGATCATTTTGGCTGAAAACGGCCAACAATATTTAGAATACATTTTAGCGCTCAGAAAACAGGGACAAAGTGTCGAGAAACAGACAGCACAGTGCTAAAATCACGTAATAAAATCAGTTGTTAGTAGTAGCGCACTGTGCTGTCTGTTTCTCGCCTCTTTGTCCCTGTTTTTTGAGCGCTAAAATGTATTCCAAATTCCAAAACCAACTAGCCCAACAATCTACTCTACTGAACAATATTTAAACTGAATTTAGATTCTTTTCTTATAGCCGGGATGATTAGGCTTTGCCTTAACTATGATTTGTAAACAAAAAGTACTTGCTCAATGCAGATGTTTTATGTTTTTCTAATATTTTTAGATTTTGATCATTACGCTTGTTAGCCCCATTGGCACTGCAACCGGTAAACTCCGCACCGCGCTGCGCAGCGTTGTGAAAATTGGCGAAAAAGTTGACTGTTTTAGTGTTGGGGCCCCCTATTCTAAAACTCTCCATTGGCTCGAAAAACTTTTACAATATAAAAATGATCACTTCTCGTAGAGTCCATTTATTTGATCTCGCAAGCACCACAAATCCTTCGCTCTAGTAAAACGCAGTTGCAGGGCCACCTCATCAATGGTGCCGGTGACTTCTCTCGTCGGAGGTCAGCAAACGAAAGTGTGCGAAACAGCCTCAACGACTCTGCAGAATTAAAGGAATATTAAATAAAAAAACCTTACTGCGTGCTTCAGGAGGCAGTGGCGATTGGTATCGAGCACGAGACCGATTGCATCCACGAGCCCACCAGCTACTGGAAGGGCCTGTGCACGAGGCTGCAGGAGAAGCGAGACCGCGTCTGCAGCTCCCTGAGCTGCATAGGCATGACGCCGACCGTGCCGCAGGGCGGCTACTTCATCATGGCAGACTTCTCCAACATAGGTTCGTTCAGCTCGAATGCACTCCGAATTTCGAATAAACAGTTCGACTCGCGCGACCGCATTGTAACCGTGCAGAATTCTGCACTTTCCGGATATCACAACATCTAAAGCCCTTTTTTCAAATTGAAGCAAAAAAAAAACACAGGAGAAATCAGTTCTATCTACACAATCTTAAAGGGATACTTAAACGTAATTTGAAATATACGCCTTGTCTTCAGAAATAGGCCGAATATGATCCACAATATCCATAAATGAAAATCGCACGTTTGAATTTTGAGCCTGAAGGTTGTAGTTTTCGTTATAAACGGCCCACTCTGGCAAGTGCTCGGAGAGCAGCCAGCGGAAAGCACGTGACATCCGCCACAATCGTGACGTAGATTGTCTAGGGACGAGCTAAACTGCAACGAGGCAGACGTTGAGAAGATGTCGTGGCCGTTCCAGCCACCGAAGCGGCCGAAGCACGCCAGCGATCAATCCACCGCAACTAACCCCAAAGCTGCTTTTGTACGAATCTTGAGTGATGGGTTAATCCTCTATAATCTTGCGGAGGGACAATAGCGAAGTCTGGGATACACAAAAGAGAGTCCCAATGAGAGGGGAGTTCGTCGTTCCCCTCTTCTCTTGTGGTGGCTGGAGGCGAGACAGGCATCGTCCCTACCTGTCAAGGTTCCTAGATGGGCATTACAAACGAGGCTTTAGCGACATCCACCAGGTGCTCTTTGCTAATAGTTTAATTCATTTTAAAATTCATTTACATGTCTTTTTTAATTGAGATATTGGTATGCCTGATGTGATACTGCTCCCTCGAACACGAATAAACCAAGAAATAGGCGCCGAAATTTCGTTGCCTTTTCCTTTAAGGTGGCTCCTAGTCTATGCCGACCGTTTAGTAAAGTACGCTTGCGGGAGCTCGCCATTCTCGGCAGGGTTTTCCACGACGCACCCTTAGCACGTAGCGAAGCTAGCAATACGGCAGAATAGGGAGTTTTCATAGATGGTTTTCGCCGTCCCGCAGCCTGCTACAATACCCGGAACTCTACAGTCAAGGCCATCGGCGCGCAGGCGCAGTAGCGGCTTCTTCGTTGCGGAGGGCTTAGAGGAGAGAAAAACGCAGTCTACGAAAACTCCAATTTTCATGCAAACTCTCTATCCGACGATGCGCCAAATGTGCATTGTCAGGACGCTCGTCGTCTTTGCGCGTTTCTCATTGCTGACCGAGCCAATAACGTATAGCGATTGCATGCGATCCTGCGCCTTATCCTGTATATGATTGGATTAGCTGATGGTAGCACACCCGCAAAAAAAACGAGTGCCGTGACAATGCACTTTTGGCACAGCTCAATTGCCTCCGTCGAATCGTAGCGCCGGCTGCGGTCGGACCTACTGCAAAACGGAGTGTGCCTGCAAGCGATCCACGTGGCATTCTATATGTTACCCGGTAGCTATTGCAGCAGGCGAGAGAAGGGATTACGCAGTATAATGAATGGAGCGCAACGCAACATCAGATAGCAAATCATACGAAGAAAAACTGCCAACCTTCTGCCGACGGGTGAGTCTATCCGGCTAGACGGGCCAGTTCATCCGGCTAACTGTATTCGGTTGAAGGAGTCCTTCAGAAAACAGCCCGGCAAACGGAATGTCGGATTAGCGGTATGCGGCTGTTTAAAGGGGGCCACTGAAGTGAATTCCGAGATGGCAGCTGACGACAAGCATTTGTTGGCGGTACCCTCCCAGTGCGGCTGACAGAGCTGCACTTCCATGACTTGCTCCACGGCTTCGGAAGCCAATAAAGCAGGCAGATGCCTTGTTTGGCAACAACTGTTAACAAAAAAAAGGCGGAAAGCAAATAAAAAACAAAATTAATGTCTTAAAATGTTAGAAAAAATACCCTAGCTTCTCAGTCCTTCTTGGCAATAATAAAACATGATAATTATTAAAGACTCGAAGAAGTGGAGCATGCTGGCAAGATACAGGAATAAAAGGAAAGCGACATAAGAGACAAAGACGAGACAAAACATCTAAAGCACCAATATCATTGACACAAAGTTAAAAAAAGTGAAAGCCGTCTACAACTCCCTGTAAAGCCGAATTAGAGCGCAGCTCTTGAGGAGGAGGAGGGAAGGGTACTGGGGGGGGGGGGGGGGGGTTACGTCACCTTGGGGGGTCACGTGACGATGACAATGCCGATGATGTCATCAGTGACGATGACAATGCAGATACCGATGACGTCATTTGACGTCACTGATGACTATGACGATGCGGATGTCGGTGACGTCATCAGTGCCATCACTGATGACGTCATCGGTGATGATGACGATGACGACGCGGATGCTGGTGACGTCATGTCACTGATGACGTCATCAGTGATGATGACGATGCAGATGTTGACGTCATCAGTGACGTCACTGATGACGTCATCGGTGATGACGATGCAGATGCCGGTGACGTCATCAGTGACGTCACTGATGACGTTATCAGTGATGACGACGATGCGGATGCCGGTGACGTCATCAGTGACGTCACTGATGACGTCATCAGTGATGATGACGATGCGGATGCCGGTGATGTCATCAGTGACGCTGACGTCATCGGGGGGGGGGGGGGGGGGGGGGGAAGGGAGGGGGCCTGCGCAGTGCATTATGGGACATTTCCCATAATGCACCGCGCGGTTATGTCGACGCCGACGCCGCTCAAGCTGGAAACGGGCGCCTAAGAGCTGTGCTCTAAAAAGATGGGTTTCACTGTGTTACTACATATATATCAGGGGCGTCCACGCTCACTCGGCCTAAAAGCCACAAACAAAAGTATGAAACTTCCAAGAGCCGGGGGAAGGGGGGAGGGGGGGTCAAACGTTCGTCCAGAGCAATAAATGAAACTTGAACTACTTTCAATCTTTCCGAATCAAAAGCAGTCTAACTGCATGTAAGGTAGCAGTAGCACAAGACTACCAAACCGCAACCTGTCTTTTGATTTAAAACGCGTTCTAGTCTCTTTTTGGGGAAGTGCTCGTGTGACCGGTAGGGAGGCGGGGGAGAGGAGAGGAGGGCTGGGGAGGGAGCTGCGAGCCGCACTTTAGCACGCGAAGAGCCACATGCGGCTCGCGAGCCACATTTTGGCCACCCCTGATATATATTGTAGTGATCTCGCATGCATTCCCGTTTTCTTTCCTCAGCATCAAAAGCAGACATTGAAGGTGAAGGACCAAAGGACGAACGTTTTGCCATGTGGCTTTGCAGAACCAAGGTGAGCATTACACCATTTACAAGGGCTATTCATGACTCCAACTGTCTATAAGTGGTGCAACTCGTTTACCAAAATGGCGGTTATAGTGAGGCTAGGGTATGTGCGCTGGTATACTAGCTGCTGAGTCTGTCTAGCGTGCAGGCTTCACTAAGTGACATAAATCATCCCCACTTATACGAGGAAGCTAGGGTGTTATGCAGGCAAATCACCTGTTTATCCTCAAAACAAATAGTGTTTAGCGTAATATTTATGCCAGAAGGTGTGTTTTAATAAGGAACGAAATTACAACTAATTTCTAGTTTGGACTTAATATCTCGATATAGGTGTTAATTTTGGTTTCTCTCCTAACTCAATATGTATCTTACAGCGTAATCTTTAAGGGAAAGAAATTTTTTTGCTGAAACTTTATTTTGTGACATACGTGTTAGATCCAGGCACTTTAAAATATTTTTTTAGAGTTTGGTGTCCTTTTAATAACTGGGTCCTTAACTGGGTAACATAGAGTATTGTATTTGTTGAAAAAAATCAGCACTGATATTTTGCTGTCCTTGCTGCTTTTTCTCGCACAAATAATTGTCATGTGAAATAATAAACTAAGGGCCCTTTACTCTTTTTTTTTCTTTGTTTTTTTTTTGGGGGGGGGGGGGAGGGAATGAGGGCATTTAGATGATTAATTGCTTTAGCATTATTCTCATCATTCAGTTTAAATTTTACAAAATAGTGCTATGGGTGACAAGGTTAGAAAATGTTCACAAAACTTATCAATTTAGCAATGCCGTTCTCACTACAAAAAGTCTAAAATGAAATATGAGTCAGACTGCAGAAATGTGTGAGTTTTTTAGGGCAACGCGTGATGCATAAAACATCATATTACATCCAGGGTGTATGTCTATAAACTTGCAAAATTAAAAACACTACCAATAGACAAGGACACAAAAGGAAGGCAAACAGGGCGAGTATTTACTCTCAACTGAGCCCTTATTTAAAAAATGAAAGGCGTTTACAATTCTCTGTAATGCCGAATTAGAGCGCAGCTCTTGAGGAGGAGGAGGGGAGGGTATGCCCGTCCCCCTCCCTTCCTCCTCTCCTGCTCCCCTCCCATTTAGTGACAAACTTTCGCTGCGTTTCCCGCTAAATTGAACGGGAAAAATTCCCCGCTAAATTTAGCGGGAACATTTTTCTGCTAAATTTAGTGGGGGAATTTTTTTCACTAAATTTAGCGGGGAAATTTTCCCAGCGGGAAAATTTTGTCCCTAAATTTTGCAGGGAATTTTTTACGGCTAAATTCAGCACAACATCTACCGCTAAATTTAGGGAAAAAAAATTCCCTTCTTCTCCTTTCTCGTGACGTCACACGTGACGTCATTATGGGGAACAGCCCATAATGCAACGCGCGGCTACGCCGACAGCGATGCCGCTCAAGCCGGAAACTGGCACCTAAGAGCTGTGCTCTAAAGCAGTTAAAGCAAACGGAATGAGCAAGCATGACCTGTCACTGCGATCAACAGGACACCTGCCTTTTCATTACAGATTGTCTGCGCCAACCCAACTTTCAAAATACCGCAATCGTGGCAAGGGCCCATGAAAAAGTCGGGAGGGAAGTGCTAGTAGCACATGCTGTAAAGAAAGAGGGCACTGAAGGCTGCGTCAGTCAGCTGCCAACTTCTCTGCATCAAAAAAAGAGTGATTTTATTGACACATGGTGATGAGTGACGCCACTGGGCGATTCAGTGTATTTTTTAACGCAGGTTGTTTGCTTTAGCTGTTTTTAAACAAATGTTCAGTAGAGAGTAAGTGCTCGTCCTATTAGCATTCCTTTTGTGTCCTTGCCTACTATTAGCTTTTTTTAATTTTATAAGTCATAAACCAACTGTCCCGTTTTGCCACTTTCGTATGTCTATCTTGATAATGATGGCAGTTTTTCATGTGCTAGAAAGAAAACACAATGAGACCTTTCTGTGAAGACTGTTAAATGGTATACTTTTGTGATTGTGGCTTTTACTGGAGCCTACATTCCCACAATTTACATTAATAATAATACAACCAAGATACTTATATACATAGTTTTTAAAGCTCTAATATAATTTATTGCTTATGATCTATAATTTAAAACATGCTAAGAACCATGGCAATATAAAGTTGGCAAATTATCATAACTGGTAAATTGCAGAATGTTGAATTAACAGGTTATCAAATAAAAATAGACAAATCAATTAAATCATTCTAGCTAGTCTGAGAAATCAATGTAAAATAACATTAATTGTGGGGAAAGCATATTGTGACTGTGCTATTAAAGCCGTGACTTTTGACAATCGGCAAAACTTCAAAATTCGCCGCCAATTCTTCTGTACCAAATGCCCCAAAATACAAAAAAAAAGGGTTCTGTTGTTGTTTTTTTAATAGCAAAACTTCCCAGAACATATATTTTCTTTAACTTTTATGCACCATTGTTTTGCCAAATCAGCCTTTCCAGTTAGAAGGGACGCCCGCTTGCACGTCTGCTCCCTGCAGCAGGTTTTGTTGGTGTTGAAAAACCGGTGAAACTGCAGCGAGTTTAAATATTGCATATACGAGCGAACGCATACACTTTGTGTTTGCGTTAGCCGTTGCGTGTTCCTCATTGCGCGTGCACGGAATCCAAAATGGCGGTCTTAGACTGGCACAAGGTGACGACACGCATGATCAGTGCAAGCGTACAGTGCTTTTGTTTGCTTCTATACGCAATACTAAAACTCTCTAGTAAGGTACAATCCCATACCGGCTGTAGTACTACACTGGACTGTGAGGAGTGTTGTTTGCATTCAGAAATCACTGTACGCGAGCCATAATCGCGAGCAGTTCCGCTGTGTCGGTGAGCAGGTGAATCTGGGAACCCTCACTATAAGCGCTTCCCGTTTCCGCCACGAGAAGGCGAGCAACGAGTTGGAGTTGCGAATAGTACCTAGGGCCTAATGAGACTTTGTTTCAAAATGTCTACACAAAAGATTGCACTATGTATATGCAGTCTCAGCAGAAACCTCAGTGGAACATTTAAAGAGCTATTTTCGGGTTCCATAATCTACAAATCTTCAGGAGCACCGCATTTTTAATTGCTTTAAGTGACCTAGTCATGTGAACAAATTTTTCCAGTTGTCTTTCTTATTTATTCGCGACTCCAGCAAAACGGACGCCACCAAGCGGGAGAACCCGGAACCAGCCGGACCAGGTTGCCCCGCGCCCCTCCGCGTCTCTGGTGGCTTTCGCGGATACGTGTTGTCGGCGCGGTGGCGAACAATGTAATTTGACGAGGGTCCGAAAATTTTTTAAGTTTGCCTGATTGTTCATTAGTCTGGTGAAGCCTCAGTAGATTGTTTCCTTTCATCACGTGTTTGAAAGCCCGTTTACTCCACAACACACAGTCGCGTGCTTTCGATTTCTTGGATGGGGAGGAATCACGGAAAAACGTTTTGGTTTCTTGTCTGTCTCGAATCACATTCAAAGTTACGACTACTTGGTAATTGATAAGTGGTCTCTTTATAAGGATGCAGAACAGTGGACTGGGGACGACAGACGGGGTGTTTCACCGGAGGGAATACTAACGTTACAGTCAAGTAAAGGGAAGGTTCGATAGCTGTTTTTCTTGAGTTTGGCTACGTTCGATTAGCTTCAAGTCTGAGCCACCCCCGCCGGTCGGTGCGTTGGCTATTCATCTTGGCTGCTTTTCGCCGAGAAAGCCTCTGGACCACAACGAAGGAGTTGGACTGTTTTTGCAATTACTTGATTCCGGAAAACCTGCTCGCTGCATACGATGAATGAGGGAAATTGTCTGCTTTAAAAAGGTGGGGGACGCGTCTCGCAAAGTTAGAAGCTGTCACGGCATTATGACCTATCGCGCCTCCAATATTTATATTATACCCCCTTCGAAGCCAGTTGCGATATACGTTTACATTGTTCAGGTTGACCGGCCACAAAAAATACAAATTTTCTCCGTCCAGTACTCAAAGTCAAGTTTACTGCAGAGGTGTTCTGTGTAAATCTCCGATGAAGGTTTTCTTTAGTTTGTCCGAATTCGTCTCCGTGCTACCGGCTACTACCATTTGGCTGAGTTTAAGTAGTATCTCTCTGTGTGTCAAATATACTTTTATTCAGCAGTTCACTTCATAGCTAGTAAATTAAGCCCATATTTAAACCCGAAGAATATACTAATATTGTTTTAGTGGGGCCCATAGTAAGTAATATAATACATAACCCGTATATTCATCAAAATAACTTCTCGATTGCTACTAAGACATGAATTGAAATACGAGTATCAGCTGCTTAGTGGGGCGCCAGCGGGTTAAGGGGGGGACACTACCCAAAAAAGTAAATTTTTGAACCACTTGTCTGATTTAATTTATATTTACAGGGCTTGTTTCTGTTGACGTTGAGAACATTTCTGCCGATTTTTGTTAACCTGGGTGAAGTACAAAAAAAATTGCAAACGTTCAAAGACGAAAGTGGGCGTGTCTGCTTAGGAAAACTATTGTTTCGAAATTACTTATAAATTTGCCGTTTCCATGTGTTACATTGCATTAGGACAGTTCAGAGCAAATAACTATGGAGCTATATTTCTATGTTATACCATCTTTCATGACAAAAAAGCCACATAAACACAAATACAGTTTTTTAGATTTCCATCCTTTCTCCAATCTTTTAGTTCTTGAGCATGAAAAATGACAAAAATAAAAAATACAAGCTCTTAGTTATCTTCCCCTTAAAATTTCACCCCAGAAAAACTCATAAAAATGAATCGAAGTTGCATAATAACAAAACGATAGTTTTCCTAACGTGAAATTTATGCCAAAAAGTGGAATGGAGAAAAATGTGTTCAAAGTGCTTCAACCTCCACCTTTCCTTTAGCATCGGTGGACCGAAAATAATTTATAAAAAATTAACTATGCAGTGTAAACTAATGAAACTTTCTGGGAATACTCTCTAGATGTTGGTGGATGTAAATATGACATTTTTCAAAATCAACTTTTTTTGCCGAAATTGTTTTTTCTGGGTAGTGTCCCCCCTTAACACGCTCTTTGATTCAAGAAGCGCTTGCTTAATTTTCGTGATTTTCCTGCAGCCTGTGTTGTTGACCGAGCAGACGACTGGAGCAGTTTCTTAAACGCGGATACGCACAAAAGCTCGATTTTGCGGACAGATAAGTCGCAGGGTCGAGGCATGTGAGTTAGCTGAAGATTACTCTCGGTGGAACAATTTTGTAGGCATCGCCGCTTTCCTTAGCTGATTAAAACTGATTAGAGTCTATTGCCGTCTCTCCGGAGCCCATAGTTTCGGTTTTGAACAAAATCTCTGATACGAAAGTTTGATATGAAAAGAACGAAAAACACGGGGAAAACAAAACTATGCTCTGCAAGTTTATGTGCACCGGCTACACTTAACTGTCGCATTTCAGATACCTATAAAATTGGGCATTAAAGAAAAGAAAACCTGTTAAATTCAATGCGCCACCCGTTCAGGCGGCCCGGCCGAGCCGACGCGACCTGGACTCAGCCGCCATGTTTGTTTGGTGGTGGCGCCCCCTATAGGTCGCTGGAGTCGCGAATAGAACTAACTAGAGTCACTTAAAATTGATGCATACTAAATGGTCATTACAATTCATTTTTTGCCTTTTGCAAACATATGGCACTCTAAAAAATATTTGGGATTCCTCAACCTTGGCCAAATTTGAAAACCGTGACTGGTGTTTAAACTCTTGAAGCAAGCCTCGCACTAGCCATCGGTATACAAACTAACTCTTATTTCTTACCCTGGGTTTGAAGAAACTCCTAGGCATCCCTCCCAGTTCTTTCTACGGACCGGCAGACAAGGTCCTGGCTCAGCACCTGATCCGTTTCTGCTTCATGAGGGTCTGAACCATGTTTTGCTATTGAATCTCTTTCCCTGACCCCTTCGAGGGGCGGTGCAACGATTTTTGTATTTTGTGCAAGTATCGCTTAGAACGAATTCCCAACATTCATGAAACATGTTTTAGTTTTTCTACACGTGCAAAGGTAGTCACAAAAAAAAAGAATCAAAGAAAACTGAACGGCATTCATTTCCTCAACTCACAGCCAGAACAAGGGGCCACATGACCTGGAACAGATTATATGCCGCCAATGTTTATCATAGCTCTGCGCTGGGATTGACAAAGTGTGGGACACGCACCAATTCCAGAAATTGTTAAGGTTTGGTTATTCTCATCATTGCAGCAATTGAACACGAGCCACTACCCAAATCTTTGTCGAGCTATTGATTATCACGAGCCCAAATCAAATGCTCACGCAACGCTCAGGTCCAATCTATGAGCGCCATTCAAACACTGTCATTCAGGAAACTATGCCAACACTGCAACCCCTCAACTAAATCGTCAAGTTTTGCGAAGAAGAGATTGAAAGAAAACATTTGCTTTCATTCTTAAAACTACAATGCAACAAAACAAGTCTTCTGGTCAGTGGAGCAGTGTTCAAGTACACTTGAGTCCCACTAGTGCCAGTAAGTTTGTGCAAAGTGAAAAACATTCCAAATGAATATTGCTGCACTCTTAAGTGCAGTCACAAGTAGGACTCATGGGCTGTAGGCCCATGAAAACGGAGAAGCTGCCAAAGCTGCCTCTCTAGCAATTCTTAGCATTGCACCCACCTCTGCGTAGTACTATTACTTGCCAGGAAGGAGCCAATCTCATTATATTTGGAAACAAGAATAGAAAATCCATTGTGATAAAAAGGTATGAAGAGGATGAACACCTTGGCAATTGGCAATGCTTACACAATGCACTATTATACTAAAACATCTCTGCTAAGAGCATAATACTTGTACACCATTAACTAAAAGAATGCCATATTATTCAATGTAAATATAGAGATCAATGCCCAAACACCGTAAAAAAATTATGACCTAAAATATCAGTGACATTGGAGAGCACAGTATATTCATACCATATATATTTTCAACTTGTCATATGTATCAAGTCAAAGTTACACTTCAGTCAGCAAACAACGATACTGAATTCATGCCCCGCTGCATTACCACACTCATTGGGATTCTTTGTTTTCTTTTGGATGGACGTCACTCCTTTTTAGGAAGACTCAACATTGCATCAAGCCATACAGATTCTCAACGAGTTGAAGCCAACAATGTAGGGAAATGTGGTAGCTTGTACAATAAAAGAATTGGTTTGGGTCATTGTGTTCCAATTAATTTGGGTGAATACATACATAAACAGAACCATCCAGAAAAAAAACTGAATAGGAAATGTTTGATAAAAGAGGACAGCGCAAGAAGACGGTGCAAGTATTCAAATACATATTTGCTGCAATATTTTCTGCTTGAACAGTGTCCCATGTTCATTTTCTTTTGATGGAATGAAAAACATGCGAGGCAAAAAGAAGAAAATCTTTTTTGGCATGCGGCAGCGCAATGTGTGTCTAAAAACTTGGCTTGTTTCCACCAATAACAGTGTGCATCGCCGGAGATTCAATATCGGTCACCGGCACAATGCCACAAGTAACATAATACCTCAATTTTCCTAAAATATTTTTATTGCACAATCTTCTAAAACAATATTACATAGATGAGCAGGTACAATCCAAGATTTTTTGGTTTTTTTACTGCACCAAAAGATACGGCACAGAGTTGCCTAAAATTGTGGCAAACCTACGAATAACCCAAGGACATGCACCCTGCTTGGAATTAAGCGTGAAACACATGTACGACGAAACCTTACGATCCGACGTGCGGACTGCCGGAATGACCTCGGAGGGCGATGGTTTTCGTAACATCGGAGAGCGTTGAAAACCCTCGCCTCCGACCTTCGTATTGCCTGGTCGGACGTCGGATCGGACGGTTTCATCGTACATGTGTTTTGCGCTTTAGCCATGTGCCATGAACACCTATACGTTTCACGAGTAGAGGCATAAGGCTCGTAATAAATATCCGCAGGTACTTGTGCAATGCTCCCGAACTTGAGCGATGGAGCATAACGTCTAAAGAATGTAACATTTTGCACGTGTCGACATTCATAAAAATAAATAAATATTAGTAAAGAGAGAAAAGACCACTTCAGCAATAGCTAGAAGGCACTTTACAAAGTGTTTGTTCCTAAAAGATATGACTGAGTTGAGCTTAGACCGTATACTAAAGTGAGCAGACTGAGCATTTCCGTGCACTAACTTGGAACCTTTGACAAGAAGTAGGCACAAGGCATCACAAATTATAGTAGCAATGTAGCTGGAGAAGTCGGTCGTTAGGTGGACGTTGGACAGATACCATTGCAATGAGCCAGCATTGCATCACAAAAGAAAATGATGTTGGAATGCCAGCTTAAAAGCCAGTTTCATTGCTTATGTACAGTGCAATTCACTTATAACGAAACGGATATAACAATGTGCTCTTATAACAAACAATTTTTAGAGTTTGTAAACTAGAAACGCTAGGTTTCTAGTCCAGATACAATGATAATCGGTTACAACAATTTAATTTTCAGGTTTTCTCATTGTCGTTTTAAGTGGATTGCACCGCACTCACCATCCTAACTTGGTCCCAGCGGAACTTTGAACTACTGAGTATGCCACCGTCCTGCTGCAAGTATCGCTCATTCATAGATCTATTCTTTTATGGCCAGCTGGTGTGTAATGCTTAAGGGGGGACACTACCCAGAGGAAAAAAAAAATTGCAAGAAACATTGGTTTTGAAAAATTACATATTTACATCCATCTACATCCAGAGAGTATTCCCAAAAATTTTCACTAGTTTACACTGCATAGTTAATTTTTTATAAATTATTTTCTGTCTACCGAAGTTAAAGAAAAGGTAGGGTTTGGAGCACTTTGAACACATTTTTCTCCGTTCCACTTTTTGGTATAAATTCCATTTTAGTCAATCCATCGTTTGATAATGGCAATACAGAGAAGGCTTGTTCTTCACTTTTCCTGACAGAAATTTAATAAGGAATGCGCCTATGGAGTTTGTTCGTAGACATTTTGTCGTAGACACAGAAGATCAAAAAAGTTGACCAATTTTGCAGGAGAAAAATGATAGAAATCAATGACGTTTTTCAGAAAACTTTCCATAAATGCACTTCCTAGGCATTCTGCTACATATCTAGCGAATAACGATCTTGAATATTGTGATAGTTTTCTGACGATGGATTAACTAAACAATGTAGGGGTGTTGCTGGTAGAAGCTGCCCTAATTTCCTTCCCACTTAACCGACAGCCTTGAAATTTTGTTACGCACCCTCTAGCATGACCACCAGCCTACCCTGTAAGTTTCATTAATTTTAATCCAAAGGTTCAAAAGTTGACCCTCCCAGGGGGTGTCTCCCCTTAGGCAACTAAAAAAAACAAAAAAACAAAAAAAAACCAGGTTGCCAACAAGGCATGCTAAACGGAACCGGTCTGCGAGAGACATTCATAGTTCGTTGTCCCGGGAGAACGAGGCCCTCAACAGGACCAAAATACAGTCCCTGCCGTCCTCCTCGATAGCACGCAAAAATCAAGGGTCTGCCCCGGTGGGTGCCCTTCCTTTCGTAGAAAGACGTCTCGTGGACACACGGTTCGTAGAAAACTTTTGATGGACGCACATTTTGTCAACATTCCAATGTTTTGTAGACACACGCTTCTGCGACGTTTCGTTGACAGCAGTTTTTTTTTTAATAAGTAGTCTGAATTAGATTATGGGGAAGAGCGCCAAAACTCAAGAGGACTCGCCTAGCGGCTCTAATAGAACAAAAACAAATTCGGAAAACAAGGAGTGTCCATACTATGCGTGGACACCCCTTGCTCTGTTCGGGAAAACTTTATTATATTCTCGAGCTTGCCTTAGGCCTAATCGGAACCACCAAGGGAGGCACAAGGTTCGTCAAATGTGGGAACCTTTCAATAAAACAAACAGTCGAAACGTTGCAGTGTCCACAAAACATTGTTCGACAAACTGATTGTCACTGCGCACGGGCTACTGTACCGGTAGCAGGAACACCCGCCCTCAAAGCAGGTAGGGGAAGATGGCCTTCCGCCGGCGGGGATAGTTGCGGAACTGTTCCTGGTACCAGTTGTGGCTGACAAAGGCCACCCCCACCTGGTTGACCCACGTCCAGGCAAGGGCCAGCCACCAGGTCGGGTTGGGCGAGCCCAGCACCAGCGTCAGGGCGCTGTAGACCACAATCTCGGCCATGTAGTGTGGGCACGACACATACTCGAACATCCCGCCCTTCGGGACGTCGTGCTTGAGGGACACCACTTTGCCTGCGTGGACGCGGAGCGCCGTCTATAACCAGGCACGTCTTTAACTGGGGCAGATCTTTATCCGGGCACGTCTCTAGCCGAGCAAGTCTTTTAGAGGGAGAGCAAACCAGTCTTTTCGGACATATCCTAAATAACTGCTAACTAAAACTCAATAAAATCACGATTAAAAAAAATATTCAATAAATCAGATTGCCATATTTTTTGGTGTATAAGACACGTTGTTTCCAAAATTTTCGGCACTGCGTTTTATATGTATATATTTTTTTCTTTTTTGCAAACTCTGAAGGAACTCCTGTTGATGCTGATTAGTCTTTTTTTACTATTATGACTGCTCAATGCAAATGATGCGTCATAAATGCAAGTCAACCTCCCAAAACTAGAATTCCATAGCAAAAGAACAGAAAAGAAAGTCAAGAAAACGAAAGGAAAAAAAAAAAACGCGTCGCTTTGCGAGTTCTGAAGTCAAGGAGGCTGCGCAAGTCTCGGAAGCCACAAGCGGTGTATGGCATTTCACAATATTTGCTCAAACACATGTTATAAAGTTTTTTCGCAGCAAGTGCATGAATATAGGTGCGTCTTATACACAGGTGCGACTTATATCCTAATTTTTACTTAGAAACTTGTGAAAAATGAGGGTGCATCTGATACAACGATGCGTCTCTTACACCAGAAAATATGGTAATTCGATTTAAACCACTGTAGCTTGAGAAAAAGTGTGTTTTTATAACTTTGTTTTTAAACATGACAGATTGATTGATCAATTCATTTGATCACTGAGAATACAGGGGAGAGAGGTACTATACATTTAAACTATTTAAGTACAGTTTAAATAACAAATTTGATGGATGTAAACCCACCATACTAGAACGAAAGCAGCTTATTTTTTATAGCTGTTTTTTTTTTTTTTTTTTACGTTCCAATTTGCTTGCAAAAAGAAAATTACTTTTGTTGTTTTGGTTCCTTTCTTTTCTTTCGCGTGTTGATTTGCTTGCAGTGGGACATTACATAACTGACAAATGAAGTGGACCGAAGAGAGCTCAACGCTCTGACACGCTCAGAATAGTTGTTTGTGTTTAATCTGCATTAAATCTTTTTTGCATGATTTTTTTTTTTAATTTAGATACAAAACGAGTGCACATTGAAAGCACCAAATGATAGACAAGCAATGAATAAAAAGTATATTAGAGATTATGTCTGTGGGAAAGTTTTGATTTATATCATCCTAGCAAAACCGGTGTAATTTAAATTACAATTTAAATCATTTTGATTTTTGTTCTCCACTTTGCCGCCAAGGCATGGGTTCTCTAGTTGGGTTCCCAGAGACAAAGGGATTCCCCAGAGTACCCTCACGAGTTCTGCATCTTCCAAATTTCCTCGACCGTGCCTGGTGCCAAGTAAAGTGTATTCCCAGTTTAAGTGCAATTCTAGCAGATCCGAGCCATCCATTGGTGCCTAATTATGTGCCAAAGACTCCTTAGTATGTGCTTATTTCTGTACAAGACCTGTAGGGCATTGCTCCTTGCATCAGTCCCACGGGGGTTTCTCAGCTATCAGTCGATGCAAATCGAGTTCCAAGAAATTAAAGTTTGAGAAGCCCACACACTACGAGATGGCAATAGGGGAGGCGGCACGCAACTCCCTCAAAGTCCTCGGATTCTTGTGCCTCCGAACCATTTGTGTCCTGACCCTGTGCTATCAACTTAGTGTATCTTTTATTAAAAAGAAACCTGTAACATACTCTTTTAAGCACGAATAAAAGTCAAAGTATTTCAATATGCAGGGTGTTTCTGCAGAAGCTTTTAAAAATCCCTAAAAGTATGCTGTTCAAAGACAAAAAGAAACTCTTCGCAGGAACAAACTACAGCCTTGGCGGACTTCAAGTATTACTGTATTGCAAAAACATATTAATTAGCGAAATGATTAACCAAAATTGAATTATTTTTTTAGTGAAAATAAACATATGGTTCCAGTGAGAAACTTGCTGAACATCATCGAAAATCACTAAATCAACTCGTTTTAGAAAGATATAAGGCAGGGACAGCATTTTACGGCGTTCTGAAAAAAACGCTCAATTTGGATACGTTTCTACAGGGTGAAACAAGGAGACGCCAGGCTCTTTAAATCGACCGCAAAATTCGGTTTCTTAACCTATCGCGCTACGATTTTGTGCAGCGTTGCCCACAGATGGTTCATTTTTTTTTGTAAAATTTGCGAAGAGCGAACTTACCTGAGGAAAAAGTAAAGGAAGAAAAATGCTTAGCTCCTATGGAAACGCAGCGACGCCACCGATCTGCAAACAACACGGCGCCGTTTCGCACGGGAGACAAGAGATGGCGCAACAAACGCCGCCAACGAACGAGCATACGACGCCCACAGCAGGCCTTTTTAGCAGAAAATCTTTCCGACTCAAAAACGGCGCGCGTTTCCCAGGCGGCGACAGTCGCAGAAACAAAAAAGACGGGTGCGGTAACAGCAAGGAGCTGCAGTTCCTTGTCTGCAAAAGGGCAGGCTCTCGGCGTCGTCTTCTCGTTCGTTGGCGGCAGTTGACGTCGCGACCGCTTGCGCCATCTCGTCTCTCCCGTGCAAAACGGCACTGTGTTGTTTGCAGACCAGTGGCGTCGCTGCGTTTCCATAGGAGCTAAGCCTTTTTCTTTCTTTACTTTTTCCTCAGGTAAATTCGCTCTTCGCAAATTTTACAAAAAAAAAAAAATGCACTATCTGTGGGCAATGCTGCACAAAGTCGTAGCGCGACAGGTTAAGAAACCGAATTTTCCGGTCGATTTAAAGAGCCTGGCGCCTCCTTGTTTCACCCTGTAGGTTTCGGTTTCTTATTGGAGTGCAACTCTGCGCCCATAATCCTGCTCCCCAATGGTCAAGATGCGCAACAGATGTGTGCCATACTTCCCTCCATCTTTTGAGGGAGGTGATGCGGTGGCTTCGTGCCGCAACTGCCGGAGAGCAGGACCAAGGACGCAAAGATACGTTCCGATAAGAAACCGGAACCTAGAGACGCGTCCAAACTGAGCGTTTTTTTTTTTTCAGAACGCTGTAGAATGCTGCCCCTGCCTTATTTACTTCTAAAAAAGAGTTAATTTGGTTGTTTTCAATTATTCTTAGCAAGTTTCTCAGTGGAAACAAATGTTTATTTTCACTAATTAAACAAATTGATTCATACAACTTAGTTAATTATGTTGCCAATTAGTATGTTTTTGTGATCCTTGACGTCCGCCAAGGCTGGTAGTTTGTTCCCGCAAAGAGCTTCTTTATATCTCGAACAGCATATTTTTACGAATTTTTAGAGAGCAGCTCTTAGGGGCCCGTTTCCGGCTTGAGCGGCGTCGCCGTCGCCGTAACCGCGCGGTGCATTATGGGTAAATTTCCCCGCTAAATCTAGCGGAAAAATTTTCCCCGCTAGATTTAGCGGAAAAAAATCTTCGCTAAATCTAGCGGAAGCATTTCCCCGCTAAATCTAGCGGGAAAAATTCCCCGCTAGTAGCGGAAAAATTTCCTTGCAAAATCTAGCGGAAAAATTTCTCCACTACATCTAGCGGAAAGTATTCCCCGCTAAATCTAGCGGAAAAATTTCCCCGCTAAATCTAGCGGAAAATTTTCCCCGCTAAATCTAGCGGAAAAATTTCCCCGCTAGATATAGCGGAAAAATTTCCCCGCTAAATCTAGCGGAAAAATTTCTCCGTTGAATCCAGCGGAAAAATTTATCCGCTAAATTTAGCGGAAAAATTTCTCCGCTAAATCTAGCGGGAAAAATGCCCCGCTAAATCTAGCGGGAAAAATGCCCTGCTAAATCTAGCGGAAAAATTAACCTGCTAAATCTAGCGGAAAAATTTCCCCACTAAATCTAGCGGAAAAAATTCCGCGCTAAATCTAGCAGAAAAAATTCCGCGCTAAATCTAGCGGAAAAATTTCCCCGCTAGATTTAGCGGAAAAAATTCCTCGCTGTCAAGCGGAAAAATTTCACCGTTAAACCTAGCGGAAACATTTCCCCGCTAAATCTAGTGGAAAACTTTTTCTGGGGGGTCACGTGACCTCCCAAGGTCACGTGACCCCCCCCCCCCCCCCCCCCCTGCCCCGAGAACAGGTAACCCTAGTATCCTTCCCTCCTCCTCCTCAAGAGCTGCGCTCCAATTTGGTGTTACAGGGAGTTGTAAACGGCTTTCATTTTTTTAAAGCTTTCGCAGAAGCACCACACATAAACAAACTATAGTCGGTGACAGGTCAAGAATGAAGTGGAAGCTCCTCCCACCTTTTTCCACTTCTGCAAAAGTGGACGCTGGAGTGGAGGTCGCCTCCTCTCTAGCGTTCGCTCTACAAAAGGGGAAAGAGGTGGGAGGAGCTTCCACTTCATTCTTGACCGGTCACCAACTATAGTGTCCTTCAAGCTATGAGCAGATAAAGGCAACGCACAAATTTGCACAAGATATGACTACGGTTACCACAATATCATGTACCGCGCAGTTTAATAATTGCGGAAGAGTAGGGAGAGTTTACCATAAATTGCTTTGAACAACCTTTGGGATCACCAAAATGGTGGTTCAGTTGCGTCTGAGAGAAAGATAAGCGTGACGCCGCTTGCACATGAAAAGTCCGGATGAATCAGTCAGCAAGGATAAGAGTCGCCCCTTTTTAAAGGCATTAGCATGTGAACTAGGCTTTGTTGAATTGAGGCAGATTGTGGATATTATCTGATACAGCCTGCTCAAATACTCTGCTTTCAATACTGAAGCTCTCTGAATCTGGAAATTCTCCTCTATTCAATATGAATCTAGTCGGTTGGAAAGAACTGCCCATAATATAATCAGTTTAACACTAACAATAAGTGCAGAGCAAAGAAATTTCTACATCAACAGGACTTCAAGGAGAGTTCAGTTTCGGCTAGAAAACAAATCTATGCGAGCATGTGTCCCAAATTAGAGGTTACCTTTGGACAAGCAGACAACTAATTAAGCCTCTGCTAAGCAGGACCTGCAAGGACTTTTTTACTGGTTTTTAATTTGCACCGAACCTGAGCGCACTGAATGTAGTAACTTAATTAAACTTTTCTTTTCTCGAATTTCGCTTTATTTTAAAAGTTATAGGCAAATTAAAATTACAAAAACAAGCAAAAGATAACCTCCTTCATGACGTCCTTGGTCGCTTGAGTGGCCGTGAACAAGAGGAGAGGCAGTGAGCTCAGCGAGCGCTCACGGCTGCTGTACTTCGTGTCGACGGCTCGAGAGGGCGCCTCTAAAGCATGTTCTGGATAGGCTGTATGAAGCAGGCAGCCAGGGCGGCTCGCATTGCATTTTCTGCGCGATTAAACACTAATTTGGCATGACACTTCATTGGCCACAAACGACAGCAAACACAGGGTAAAGATCAGTTCAGAACAGGAGCTACTTTGCGCTGCCATACCGCCAAACGGCCAAACCGCAAGCCAAACCTGCTTGCCGAAGGCATTCGGAACGCTTGGAACCTGTCAGATCCTCGAGCTCGAATAAGACCACAGCGCCGCCGCATACATCCGGGACCTTTCTATGTTGCCGCTTGTCGGTGCCTGATCTCACTACCCCTTTCTAGCATGTGCCGCCTTTGCCACCGCTTGGTGGCAGGTATGTCGACGGGTCATTTCTTGTTTCCATACTTCATAAACTGCATTTGTTTCTTTTCTGATCTAAAATACTGAACAAAAACTACTTTCATAAATAATTTAAACGGTTCGCGCCACTTACATTTTGTATTTCGACTAAAAAGAAAGCTTTTCGCGGCTCTGACCAGTAGTAATCCCAGTACCAAAGACTTCACATATCGCGTGCTTTCGGCACCGCAGTTCGCCCCCGTAGGTAGAGGAGGTTTCCATGTTGTCCGGTTAAAATTTGACACAATAATATTTAGTTACTCTCTCCGTGCCCGCTGGCTTGCCTGAACCCCAAGAGATGTGGAAACCGCAAAAAAGGTAGATGCTTAAATATAATTGCAGGGCCCCTTTAACCTGGCAGCCACATTAAAAAACAAAACAAAAAAACTATGATTTTGAGTTTCTTAAGGATGGCTAGTTGGGCTAGTGGATTTTGCATCATGGTGTAATGCACCAAAAAACACGGACGAAAACGAAGAGAGAACTGGACAGGACGTGGTGTAACTTTCAACTGAATGGATTATTAGGATGAAATACTTTTAAAAATATAAAAACCAGCACACTTGGCAGAACGCAAAGATGAGGTCAAAAAACACCCCCCCCCCCTTAATACCAGCGTCATTGGTTCTTCAGATAGTAGAATTCTTTATCGGACAGTGACCAAGAGGGTGTGCTTACACAAGATTTGTCGTGGTGGGACTTAATCCAGAAGGCTTTATGAATTTCTCTGGCTGTTTTGTTTGTGCCAAGGTGTACGTTGGCCAGACGGGGAGGTGCATCGATGGTAGGGTCAGAGAGCATGCGTTGGCGATCAGGCAGTCCCCATCTGGCCACCAGCGGTCCACTGTAACCGTTGTGAATGCAGGCCCAACTCTGAGAAGTGCAGCCCCATCTTTGCTGAGACCTTCGCCACGGACCATTACAAAACAAAAACGGCCACAGAAATTCATGAAGCCTTCCTGATTAAGTCTCGCCACAGCAAATCTTGTGTAAGTGCACCCCTTTTGTCTTTGTCCAATAAAGAATTCTACTATCTGAAGAACCAATGACGCTGGTATTTGAGGGGGGTGTTTTTAGACCATATCTTTGTGTTCTGCCAAGTATCCCGGTTTTTATATTTTTAAAAGTATTTCATTCAAATAAACTCTTCAGTTGAAAGTTACACCGCATCCTGTCCAGTTCTCTTTTTGTTTTCATCCGTGTTTTCTGGCATATTACGCCAGGAGTTTTTGAAATGCACCTGACTCCGTGTGTTTCAGGAAAAATTGTAGTGCTAGCACTTGCACCTATTTTATATCTTATACATATGTTTCATGTGATACCTCCTTAATATTACTCAAGGTTGTAGTGTCATCGTATGTGCACAACTGTCAGACATTGCAGCTCCAAGTAATCCCAGGCAGTTTGTTCGGCAAACCAAAAAAGGCAATGTCTCACTCAGTGATGTCAGCCAGAAAAACACAAACGCAAACAGCGGCCTGCCACCCACCTTCAGGATCTTTCCGGAGCGACGCCATGCGGAGGTGCGTGTCAAACTGGACGCAGAAGCCCCAAAGAAAGATGACCGTTCCCACAATATGATGCCAAGAGATCTCGGCCAGAGAAAAAGCCGGCATCACTCCAACTGCAAGAGTCAAATGGGGTACATTTATGGAAGATTGCAATGTTGACAAGGCACGCTGAACGACATTTAAAGAAAAAAGCACACCTTTCTTACTTTTAAATGCTTAAGGATATTATTGGTAAAAAATGGTAATGTCATACACTTAATACTGTTACTCAAATACTTGGAGGAAAAGAAAAAAAGGCTCGAGGTACACCTAAGCACTTCTTATGAGTTGTGAATGCGAAAGCATTTCCACTCCCTTGTTCCATCTGCAGCGTATTTGCGTCAACGGCAGAGCGGTGCGCTTTGTTGGCGAGGAGAGGGCGCCTCTCCTCGCCATACTTACCTTGGACGTTTCGTGTTAGCGGAGCGCTGACGGACACGCAGTGCCATGGGGTGGCCGTCGTTGAAACTGAGGCGCAGCGGTCAATGGAAGCTTCGTCAACGCGCGCCAGCGAATGGGATTGAAGCCGAAAATCCATCAGCTTTACTTTGCTCCTTTGGGATCGGGAAATTTAAGTGCCGTTGATTAGCTTTTCGCGTGGTTTCATAGCTGGGAGCTGGCTTCACTTGGAGAAAGGATTTCAGGTGCCATTTGGCACGCTTTTCAAAGCTGATGATGTCGGCTCGCTCCATGAGACAGTTAATGCTTTTGCATTAAGATGTTGCGAGTGAAGAACAATTTTTTTTTTTATATTTCTTGCTTACCCCTTTTGATAAAAATTAATTTTGCTAAGGGCCAACCCAGATCATTCATTTGAAATATCCACCGACTATATCAGTCCATTACAAAACTATTGATCGCAAAATGTCTGAAACTGATGTTCCTAGTGTTCAAGAAGCAAACAGCTCCTATGCCTCAAACATTAGCGACACTAAAAGGCTTCTTAAAGCTCCAACAATTTTTTAAAGTGACAGCTGTTAGTGAAACACTTAGCGGTTTCGTGCCATCAACCGCACTCCATACAAACGCGGGCCATTTTTGGCACTCCACCAAAACATTCCACGGGCCGCAGATAACAAGATATCATGCATGGTCATGCATGGTAGCAAGGTAACATGCATGGTCAGTAAAACCGTCCATGCTGGGCAATCTGGCAGTGCACTGGGATATGTGCCCATGTGACCCAGAATTGGCACAAACAACAATTCTCAGGAGCTAGGAAGATAAAACTGCCTTAGAATTTTATGACATATTCTGAAAGCAATGGGAAACTAGGTCCATTAGTGCCCCGTCAATGCACCTGGCTGATACAGTGTTTTATTTTCTAAACATATAGGCAGAAAGATGCTACTAACAGTGTGTGTTTCTTCCAATAATCCTTCATTTGAGAGTGCACCTCGTCTTGTTTACATCGTTGCCCTTGTTTATTCGGCGCTTTGTGTTTGGCAACTGGGACTATTTGTATCAAAGTGACGTACGAAAACACGCTCCCCTCTTATGCAGGTAGCTGAAATGCTCTCTACTTAATACACTTTCATTGCTTCCAAAACACTGGAAGTTTCTTTCGGTGTGTTATTCGGTTTATTATGAAATGCCTATGCGGGCTCTATGGTGCGTGCACACACCTTTACCGTTCATTTAGTCCATCTGCTCTGAAATAACACCTTAGCAGCCCCGAGGTCACACCACAGCTCTCACTGTTTTTCACCTTATGGGTTGCGTAAATGTTTACAATTTGTTTTTTATGCAAAGCACTAGAATACAATTTAAAATGTCACAAAATGTACTGTTCTCTACAAAGTCATTCATTTCCTCAGAAAAGCACGCAAAGTCAAGCCAAACCAAGACGACTAGAGCAGGGGGACTTAGCAATAGTGACTCTGGAAGTCCCATGTGCTGTTTCACTCCCTGAAACTGCACATTAAATTTATTTTTAGACCAACACATTTTGTGTGTTTCACTGGTCATACAATATACCCTTGAGGAATATTATTTTTTTGTACAAGGACATGTCACACTTATCAAATATTATGAGCTCAGTGACCTCATGGTATGTGATTTAGGAAAGGAAAGAGGCACCAACTACGAGCGGGTGATGCTCGACTGGTGGCTTTCGTCCAGAAAACATCTCGACTTCAAACTGCAAAATAAATATTTCCGTCTTGATAGTCGGGTCACTGTAGCGACAAGTGTCTGCAAAGATCTGAGCAGGTGTAAAAACCTGGGCAGAGGCCATTTGAACAAGAATCGAGAACGAAAACAGTGCCTCTCTCACCTGTGGTCGACAAGCCGGGAGCGTTGGAGAGGATAGAGAGCTGCACGCCAAAGTAGAAGAAGAATCCCATCAAGTAGTGCCAGATGTGCATCCTGACGTCCGAGTAGACGCAGACAAACATGCACTCGAAGCACCTTCGGAACACCTGGCAGGTCTCCAGTACTTGGACAAGCAGAACGCTCGTGGCCGTGGCTGCAGAAAACAACGCCGAGAAACACTTTCGGTCAAATTAGTGTCCGCCGTTTGGTTCTCTTTGTTCGATAGCTGTCATCCTCTCCTCTGTTCTTCTTCCTCCATTCTGTATAACTAGGGTTCTGCATTTTCGGATAAATCCGATAAAATCCAAAGAACACTCGTCGGTAAAAATTTTGTTAGTTCGGATTTATCCGAAAAACTGAGAATTCGGGGACTGTCACCTGTAAAAACCAGACTACCCTTTATCTTTCCCTGGGATCCTCGAACAGCCTTTCCTATTTCCTTTTCTTGTTTCCACTTTTGTTCATTCCACCTACGTTCCAAAGCTTTACAAAGAGAGTCTTTTTGAACCCTTATCATGAAAAACAGGATCTCTCCCCACTACAATAGTTGAACCAAGGTCGAACACTTCTCACCTTCCCTGCCACTCCGCTTGGGGCCATTCTCTTGGATACGTTTTTTACCGAGAAGTTCATTCACCCTTCTCTGGCCTCCTTTCACTAAAGATTGAACCTTCGCACACATTCCCTCGCCATCCGCTTTGATGGCAGGGACCCGAGATTCAGTCAGTTTATTCCAGCATAACCACGCCATGGGCAGGAAGCGAAAGCTCCCTGCTGATTACCCCAAGGAATATCTAGATTTTGAAGCGACTCCCAGCAATGACCTCGTCGTCTGCAAGTTCTGCCACGTGCAAGTTAGTATGGCTAATGAAAAGGGAGTCCTGGGCACCAAGGAGCACTAGAGTTCAAATTGGCATATCCAGCTGAGGAAACCTCGTCTCGAGACAGGTGAGTGAATTTGATGTAACCATACTTATTTTGGACAAATGAATTTGTATCGTTAAAAGCTCATCTCTCAATGTGATGCCTATGAAAGGCTGCTTTGTTAAACTTAAAAAAAATGTGGTTCTATATTTAGGTCAGTCGTCTCACCAAAGCTGCATGGAGGATTACTTGACAAGAGGCAAGAGTTGCAGGGAGGACGCTGATGACATTAAGCACAAGTTCTGCCGAGCGCTTTGCCAAGCAGGGATTCCGCTCCATCAGACAGATGGGCTGCTTGGCAGCCTGTTCCGGGAAAAGTGCCCAGCTGCACGGAAAATGCCATCAAGCACTCAGATGTACCAAAAATATCTACCGGAAGTCTACAAGCACGATCTCGAGACAATCAAGGAAGCAGTCAAGAACCGCCCGATATCTCTAACCATCAACGAAACGCCAGAGCTCCGTGGTCGGCCAGCAGTGGCGGTGTTAGTGACATTCTACGACGACGAGGTACCTGGCCGCCGGACCTTGATGGCAGATTTGCAGGTTCTACAACAGTGCAATGCCGTGTCTATCGGAATGCTGATACAAGAGGTTCTTAAAAAATTTGCCAAGTCCCTCAATGATGTTTGTGTCCTGTGCTCGGATTCTGCTTCCTACATGCAGAAACTCCCAGGGACATGCACCAGTCGCACACAGAATTTCTTGCTGTGCATTTCAAAGATCCGTGCCATCTTCTGAACAATATCCTTGGGGAGGGACTGAAGATGGATTGCTTCAAGGGAGCTCGTTACTTTGTTGTGCATTTCCCTGCCCTTTTGAAGAGCTCCAGAGAACTTCGCCGTAAGTTTGGTTCCCTCTGTGCGAGCATGAACATTGAGCTGAAGTGCTCATCGACTGTCAACCCATCTAGATGGTTTTCGTTTCACAGAAGCTCTTGTTGACGTCCTTGGCTACTGGCGCGCTATTGTGGCATTTCTAAAGAGTTATGATGCGAAAGGGAATAAGTGTGACAAGCTGGAAGTGTTTGTGTGACATCTAGCTCTCTGCATGACCTGCTTGCTAAGCTCAGATTCTTAAAAAAACAACCTCGAACGAAGTGCTCTCAATAATCGAGCAACTAGAGGCTGAATTTACAATGGTGCAAGATGTCTATTCCCTACTTGCTGTCCGCCTGAAGCCACTTTTAAGCCAATGAACCAACGCCGCAATGAAGAGTTTTGGCGGGAAAGTCGACTGCATGCTCGACATTGTTGACGAGGGGAAGCGCTTGTACGCCGTTAACAGCTTCTGAGAGTATTACGGTGCTGTAGACGAGAAGTGGAGCTGCACCGTCCAACGAATATTGCGGACGACTTGCAATACACCATCGATTCGTTTTGGTATTGGGTGCAGATCGTCAACCCGAACGTGAAGGCAGAACTGCCTCACATGTTCGAGATCTACAAGCACTTGTTCACACTTAACGACGCCATGATATTACCCAGCTAGAAAGAGAGTTCCTGGCGTATCAGGCCTACGCTGTGAAGGAAATTGTGGAGCCACTACAGTTTTGGAGGATGCATGCACGAGAGTGGCCCATCCTTTCACATTGCGCACTGGATCTGCTGGGTCTTCCCATATCCAGTGCGAATGTCGAAAGAGCATTCTCAATGTTTCGCGTGGTCAATCAGAAGGAGTGTGCTGCGGTGACAGACACTAACATTGGAAAATATGCCCGCATATACTACAAGTTGTAAATGGATGTCACCACGAATGTTGCAAATATTGACTGTGCTATAAAAATGTCTCTGTGGTTGGATTGTCTTTTATTGTTGTACATGTCGTTTTTTAAAGATCAATATATACGACCCTAATAATCCGAAAAGCTCAAAATTCTGTGTACTCTGAACGGACGCTCCGAAAAACTCAGAATTAGCAAAAATAAATAAACTCCGAAAAACACCCTCCGAATTTGCTCAAAAATAAACTCCGAAAACGCAGAACCCTACCTATAACCCAACCTTTGAAATTCAATTTCTAGTATCGGTACTAGCGGTTCTTAATGGCAGATTAGATGACGGGTGGATATGGAGTGACCCGAAACCACTCCATACTCGTGATTTAGTGTGGTAGATGCGAGAGTGCGCTTGCATGCCCAAGACAACAAACAACCAAAAAGCTCTTTAAAACTGCTTCAAATCCACCAAGGAAATTCCCCGTCAGTGTTTGGTCTCCGTCAAATACGTTAGCTGCATTTACCTGCACCTCCTGCACCAGTGCAAAAAAGTGTAGGGCGGTGTACTTCTAGGCATATTTCAATACACATACCGGAAGTACAATGCCCTACACTTTTCTGTGCCGGTGCAGGAGGTGCAGATAAATCAAACGCAGCTATTGTTTGGATCAAAGGTGTGCAGACGTTTCTAAACTGAGACCTCCCCACGTTGCACCCTTCTTGTGTGCTTTACCTGAAGGGTTTCGATGAGGCACAAAAAGGTCAATGAGCCCTACGACCCAGGTTGGCAGTGGGTGCCCAAAGACGTATGAGCGCACCATGACCATCGTGCAGCCGGTGAAGAACATCACCCCAAACTGGTAGAAGTGCTTGAACCATCTGCACAACAAAATAAAAAAAAAAAACATATACAACAAAATAGGCGATTGCCTGAAATTTGTTTCAGAGCTTGAGATTTTTCTTTTTCTTCTCTGAAATTACAGAAGGGTTCATATGCCATTTGTCATGCTGCAGGACCAACTATGGAAATAAGATGCTCAAGTATGGGCTTCCCAAGGTTATTGAATTCTTTTTTATTGTTCGGCGATGAACCTTATAGACCCTTCTGCACCCCGTCGCATGGGCACTACCATCTCGGAATCGCGTGACGCGGCCCCCATAAGGTGGCTTCAAATCGTCGCACCTTCCTCCCCTCCACGCCCTGGCAAAGGGCGCTGTAGTCATGTTTTGTCGTCATGTTTCACCGCGCTTTTTTGCATTGCTTTGTGAAGCGTCGTCTGATACTTATTTTACTGCCTAACTGCATGCCATCCTTATATCACGTTTTGTCTATTTGCAACGTCGGCGCACCGGATACGTGTGAGGAAAGGAATCAGCGTTAGCACTGATGCACATTGAGTATGTAGATGACTCTAAAGGTTGGTTCACACAGGGGCACTTTTCTATGTTAGGTTACGTTACAACTGCTTACGTAGCGAGTCACCGGGACATCCGTGCTTCCAATGGAGCGTAGCGACCGGTTCAAGGAGCATCTATGCACACGACCTACGAAACGTGAATATCCAGGTGGGCCGCGGTGGGTGGGGCATACACAATGTATGAAATCGTAAGCGAATGTCCCTCTGCGACCTGACCTTAAGACACACGAGGGTTGAGAGTCCAATTGTTTATGACAACGCAAATTTGCAAAGCGATAGTGGTGCGATAAGAAGCGCAAGGAATATTTATGATCTTAAAAACAAGGCAAAAAATGAAACATGTTTACAATTCTCTGTAATGTCGGATTAGAGCGCAGCTCTTGAGGAGGAGGAGGGGAGAGTACAAAGGGGAAAGTATGCCCCTCCTCCCCCTCTTCTGCTCCCCTCACATTTATGTAAATTTTTGCTAAATTTAGGTGGGAATATTTTCAGCTAAAATTGATGTTGAAACTTTTCTGCTAAATTTAGCGAAGAAATTTTTCCACCAAATTTAGCAGCGAAATTTTAACGCTAAATTTAGCAGGAAAACTTTCCAGCCAAGCTTAGCGATGAAATTTTTCCGCCCAAATATGGCGGGTAATTTTTTCCGCTAGAGTTAGCAGGGAAGATTTTCCACTAAATTTAACTGGGAATTTTTCCCGCTAGATTTAGCAGGGAAATATTCCCACCAAATTTAGGAAGGCAATTGTTTCCACTAGTTTTCTCGGGAAAATTTCCCCGTTAAGTTTAGCAGAAAAAATTGCCTGCTAAATTTTGCAAGAAAATTTTTCCACTAAATTCAGTGGAAATCTTTTCCCACTAAATTTAGCAGGCAAATTTCCCTGCTAAATATCGCAGAAAAATTTCTCTGCTAAATATAGTGGAAAAAATTGGGGGAGAAATTTAGCGGAAAAAATTGCCCACTAAATTTAGCGGGAATATTTCCCCGCTAAATTTAGCGGGGAAATTTTTCCGCCAAATTTATCGGGGAAATATTCCTGCTAAATTAAGGCGCCGTGTGACGTCACCCTTGTGAAGTCACGTATGATGTTATTATGAAAAACGTCCTATAATGCAACGTGCTGTTCTGCTGACGGTGACAGCGCTGGCGCCGCCGCTCAAGCCGGAAACGGGCACCGAAGGGCAGCGCTTTAATATAGTCAACGCAAGCAGTCGCTGTGTGTTTCTTGGAAGCATCGTGTTCTGCCTTCATAACAAATCCAAAACAGTTGCTTTTGATTATACGCGGGAATCATTTTTCCAGTATAAACTTTCGTTTGATCTATTTATTTATGATTTTAAAGAAACTACACACTGTACTCGGTCTCATGTCTGCAGTCATTAAATTTTCTTAGGCCATTTAATTCAATTAATTTATTTAGTCACAGTGGGTTGAGCTCCCCGGTATGCAATATGTGATGCCAAAAAGAAGCCGTCTGCATAAAAATCACTCAAGTGCAGCATTGTCGATGCAAGATTTACTCTCGACGCAGCTGGAAGCCAAAAGCGTATCTGCTGAAAAAAATAGAGATATGTCTACACAAATCAATGAAGTGGTGCCTGGCATATGAATTGTGCCAAGCATGCTGAAGGTCAATTCTCTTGCACCATTAAATTTTATTTCACAAATTATACGGAAAACAGACGTCACATCAATTGACGAGCTTGTCCCTTATCTCATATTCTTAATATGTTGAAATGTCCGCATAACAAATAGTTTCCTAAGGTCAACATTGTGAAATGCTGCTAATGAATACTTTTGCAGGGTTGATCTGCTCCGTTTCACGATAACTTGGCGAACTGTGGAGATTGCGACCACCCCCGGCCCAGTAAAAACGACAAAGCAAGGCATGAGACAGCACTCCATGGTCGAGGCCACAGAGGCCTCGTTACCGCCCCAGCAACAACGCCGTCCGCAACAAAAGTTAATTCTAGGCTTCTTTCTCTTTTAGTAGAGTTGCCGTCAGACTCTTCTGACAGCAATACTACATGACACGGAAGAAACACGAAGACATGTTACTTTTCAACGACAATTAATACGGATCAACACTTTTTTGAGAAAAACGTAGCTTTCGAACGATGTTTGAATGATTGCAGCCGTGAATAGACTGCTTCCACTCAAAACATTGCCCTGTCATTAGCACCCGCCACAGATTCGTGGGTGAACTGAGCATATGGTTGTCTCATAAAAGTGTTCCTGAAAAGCTCGCTACTTTAGCAGACGGCAAAGTTGCAGCGGTAAACATTCATCCGATGTTGTTTTGTTTCACAGCAGACGATTCTTGGCCAGCAGACGACAGCCGGTTCCACTGACTGGGCGTCGCATTTGGCGCAGTGACACAAATGCTCCTGTGACATGCTGCCACATGCCTCACTCCGACGTTCTTATTGGGTCGCGGCAGCCGTAGCCTCCACAGTTCGCCAAGTTATCATTAAACGGAGTATAGTTTAAACAGGGGCAAATGCAGGAATTTCCTGAGGGGGGGGGGGGTCAGGTGTTGTCAGCGTACCATTTGTTTAGGAACCCCTCTCCTTCGTTTCACGCCCTAAATTTTACAGATGCAGAAATCAAGAGGGAGGTCAGGACATCTGGACCACCCCTCTAAATCCGCCCCCGAGTTTAAACGATTTCCTACTCGGCCTCGGAAGGACCATCAAAACATCTCTTGAGTACTTAATGTCTTTCAAGAAACCGATGAAGACAATATTGCTTCTTTTTTGCATTTCATCTGTCATTACAGGGGAATTTTCCCGGTAGGCAATTTTCATAAAACATAGGTGTCCTCAAAAACCGAACAGTGAGCACTAAACTTGTGAGTTCATCTGTTCTCTGCGCCAAAATGAGTTGCTGGGCAAGTTGGATAGACATCTTGACTTAAACAGCGCAAATAAGTTACGTAAGGAAGAGACAACAGCGCTCTTTCCTTCCTGTTGTCTCTTCCTTACGTAACTTATTTGCGCTGTTTAAGTCAAGATGTTCGCTGCGATTCAGCACATTGTTAGTCAGGGTGGCGACCTATCTTTACACTGTACCTTCAGGTATTAGTCTCTTAATTTGCTTATTTTTATGAAAACTAATATCAGCGGGTACGTCCAGTACGGCCGTAGTCATCCATAATCCCTCCCTCCGGCATCATTTCAGTCATTTCGCCGCTGAGCCTGGCCCAATGAAGAACATGATCAGACGAAGGTGTCCGTGAAAACGTCCGCAATTTAAGCTTGTAACCACATCGTAGATCTCAAGGTGGTCGATGACCACTGTATCATTAGTTCTATAACAAAAGAGATACATTTATAACACAACACTAAGCAAAAAATGACATAACACATAAACACTGCCGCGAGCCCGCTGAAACTGTAACCAACTAAATTGAAGCAGTGCTTTATGACGGTGCGTGTGTCGGCGCCCTCTGTCTACTGGTCAGGTAACTACTGAGATGAAAAGGTCTATAATAGCTGCGTTCGATTGACTTACACCTCCTCCACCGGTGCAGAAAAGTGTAGGGCGGTGTACTTCCGGTCGTATCTAAATACACATACCGGAAATAGACAGCCCTACACTTTTCATGTACTGTTGCAGGAGGCGTAAGTAAATCGAACGCAGCTAATATTTTGAATAAATATCTTTGCTCAAGATTGGTTATTGTAGTTGCTTTTATACTGCTTCGGCTACAGTTGGGGCAAGAGACAAAAAAGTAGTTTGACAGTGCCTCTTTGCACTCCTCCCTCTCTTCTTGCATGAAAAAAAAAAAGAAAGAAAACTCGAAACCAATTAAAAGTTTCTAAAGCTGCAATGAAAATTTCGGTGACTGTAGCTCGTAGCAGAGTTCAATAGCAGTCAGGTAACTTAACTGAGTCACTATCTAAGAGTAATTTTCAACACTGGATTTCTTCACGTTAGTAATGCCGCGGCACTGAGAAAGGCATGGTGGTTATGGGGGATGGCAGTCGCACGCTAGCTGGCGGTCCGAAGTCCGACAAGGAAATTGATCATCGCGAGAGAAACGTTCATTTAAGTGGCTCTGCAAAAGAATAAGCAGAAAATGGAAGGTCCTTACCTCTTTGGAATGGATATATTCTTCAGGCAGAGCGTTTTCCTGTTGGTCTCGGCAGCCTTTCCGTAGAGAAACGCCGCAGTGAGCAACGCCGGTACCTTGTCTCCTTTCGTAAAGTGAAGGTAGCTCGCTGCTATCATCGCCCCGGTAACCAGCGTCCAAAATACGTCAAGAAGGTTCAACATCGTGTCACTCGATGTCCCCCACGGTTATTCCGCAAACATGCGAGGATGCCGAAGCGAAGTGCCAGCGAGCTTAATTTAATGACTCTAGACTAGTGATGAGACGAATCTTTATCCGAATCGAGATTCGGAGCGAATCGCCGAATGGCCGAATCTGATAAATCGGAAGATTCGGAAGAGTAGCCGAGTAGCAGAATGGCTGAATCACAAGCGATTCTGAAAGGTTCGGAAAGGGTGGATGGATGAATGGATCATGGCTATACCTTTTGTAACGGGCGGTAGCTTGCGCCTTCTAGCCTAAGTCTAAAAAGACAAAAACGTGAACCAACACCAGGCAGTGTGGGATATCACCAAGGTGACCTTCAAGAAATCGAGCAAAAAAAAAAACATCATTTTCCCTTTTCTGCTTCTTCCCCCCGGCGAGGGAGTCGCCAATTTTTCTCTGGTCAACCTTGTCGGCGTTACCCCAGCACCGGACCCACTGGGAGACAGGGTTGAGACTTTGGGCCGGAGCCACGCGGGAGGGAGTCCCGATTTTCCTCTGTCGTTGTACATCATTTAATTTTCCTTAGATAATGAACCGTTTCCGAGAAGCTTTCTGTCAAGCGGCGGAAGTCGGAACGAAAAATCGAGGAAATTCGGAAGGAGGCTGTATATCAGCGAGTAAAACACGTAACTGCAGCATATATATAATTGTGTTACACAAAAAAAGAACGTCGACGGGAAGGAAAACACGACGTTTGGGTGGACGCTACGGATGCCCCTCTTTAAAGTCGCGTTGGGCAGGCGCCGCTGCTCAGAGAGCGAAGAAACTGGTAGCGTAGCTCAGGTAGGTCACTTCCTCGATTTTTAGTTCGTGCAACCAGGGCCGTAACCAGAGGGGGGGGTTAGAGGGTTCTGACCCCCCCCCCCCCCCCGAAATTTTTTTCTGGGTACGGCCCTGGTCGATGCACTGGCAGCCAGCCGATTTTAATCTCCACCTTTGCGCACGCGCAGTGGCGCCGGTCGGCTACCGGGTACCGAACCGGGACCGCTTCTCCGGTTTGCTGTAACTCTCCATTCTATGCCACCGATGCACATGATTCATAGGCGAAAATAAGACAATAGACACTTTCAAAATGGCCGCCGTTGTTCCCAACCCCCCCCCCCCCCCCCCCCCCGAAATGTTTTTCTGGGTACGGCCCTGCGTGCAACTACCGCCTGGTGCCGTCGGTATGTGGAAAAGGTCCATTTACACCAATCTTCTAATCGTCTCTTTGTCACTGTAATCCTTTTCTCTTCCGTCTTTCCATCGTCGTTAGTAAAACCCAGGGCCCCGGCCAAATCCGTTACCCCCTCAGGGAGAGCAGGGCGAAGCCCCGTGCGCTTCAAAACCAAGTGAGTGTCTCGCTATCATTATGGCAGGCGGCACATAATGTGTCCGTCTCCTGAAATTTAGCCCGATACGTCGTCGTCCTCAAAACTGCCGTTCTTGCCTCGAACGTACAGCAAAGCACTACCCAGTGAATTGTCAAACAGCTTTTCCTTTCTTATGTCCTGCTTTCGTGACCTCCCACATTTTCCCTCCCACATTTTCCCTCCCACATTTTCCCCTCCCACATTTTCCTCTTTGCCTCTTTCACCCTCTTTTTCCCTGAAGTAGTCTGTTCAGCCCCGTCACCAGTGTGTAGGTATTTAAATGTAAGCTTTCGGGTTCGGTTTGTCCATTTTGTGTTTAAACTTTTCATGTATAAATACTTGAATACCTTCCGTACCCACCGCGTATCATCCATTTCGGTCATCATTTGTTCAAATTTCAGTTTACTAATTGCCTCCCTGCTCTCAAAAGACGACCATCCCATGTCCCCCTGTACTCCCTCATTTGGTGTTTTTCCATGTGCTCCCAGCGCCAATCTGCCTAAGCTTCTTTGTCGAATTTCTAATTCTGATTGAACCCCAGATTTCATGCACAGTACTGCATCGCCAAAAGACAGTTCTGGTACCATCACTCATTTCCATATACCTCTGACCACTTCATATCTGTTATAGTTCCATACAGGGATGGGCAAAATACATGCAAATATGTATCGAAATACAAATACAAAATACTTCGTCAAAAATGTATTTAATTACAAATCTAATTACATTTTGAAAAAAGCATTTAATTACAAGATACAAATACAACCAAATGTATTTTGTCTCCTCCAAATACTTTTCCAAATACATTCCTCAAAATTTGCGTAGCGACCTTAGGGCACCTGCAATGGGTTTCTGGGTATCTCATTTTATTTTTGCATCTCACACTCAGGAGTTAGTGTGCGAGGCTCTAGTAATGTAATATAAATATAATCACAAAAAATGTAATCAGCTCGGACGTAATAGGTGAAAAAAAGTACAAAGCTTTAAGCAGCTTTTTTTTTTTTTTTTTTTTTTTTTTGTCAATTACATTTTGGTATAGACCAACCAAGAACCGAGATGACCAAGACGCACAGCCCTAGCTAGAGAATTTTTCATTGTTGCAACTCGCACTTGTTACGAAAATCTGGACGACCCGCGCATTTAGAATATTCCAGGCAAAAATATGGATGGAAATCTGGCTGGAAACCATCACAAGTTGTCATAGGCACTTATTTAGCCTGTCTGCCTGTGAATGTCGATTTCGTCACTATTCTTGTCTTGGACTGGCACTGTAATCGCAGTCACTAAACGCTTGTGCTTGATTGAGAGACAATGCATTCGGTGCAGAACGTAGTTTTCTTCCTGCTCTGGACAGTGACAATATATCTGAGGGATGTATTTTCGCCCACAAAATTGTATTTAATTACAATTGTATTTGAAATACCCACCTTTTAGTATTTAAATACACACGTCAAATACATTACCCAATTTGTAATTAAATACAAACGTAAAATACACAAAGTATTCGAAATACGTATTTCAAATACTTGTATTTGAAATACTGCCCATCCCTGGTTCCATATTGCCTTGAGCTTCATAATAGATTACCATTTCTTTTCCTTTTTCTAATTATATTTTCCCCGTGTTCCTCTAGATATTTCCTTCCCTCATTGAGCCAGACTCCCAGATATTTATATTTTCCTACATGGTCTATTACAATGTCTTGAATCCTCAGGGGCAGTGGCGTAACGAGATATGACGGCGCCCATGGCAAATGAAATTTCGCGCCCCCCAAAATGGCAGCGCGTAGCCCCGCTGCCATTTTTTTCCATCGGGCACATATTGGGGGGACTCGGCTCGGCGCCCCCTCCCAAGTGGCGCCCGGGGCACTTGTACCCCCCTGCCCCCCCCCCCCCCCCCCCTCCCCCTTGTTACACCACTGCTCAGGGGTTCCCTCTTTTCATCGTTAAAACACCATTACTCCAGACTTGACACTACTAAAACTTATGCCCAAGGTGTCCCCTTCCTCTTCACATATTCCAGCTAGTTGCTGTAATGTATCCTGGTCATCTGCCATGAGTACTATGTCATCTGCATACATCAGTCCTGGTATTACCTGTACTACATTTCTCCCTCCTTCGATATAACTCACTTCAAAACCTAAGTTGGACTGCTCTAATTTCTTTTCCATTTTACTGATATATATCATGAAGAGCAGAGGTGACAGTGGACAGCCCTGCCTGAGTCCTCTTTTTATTGCTGCGGGTTGTGTAGTTTCTGCTTCCCATGTTATCACTACCTCATTGTCTGTGTACACCTGCTGAAGAAACCTAACCAAATTTTTATCTAAATTATACTCCTTCAGCTGACCCCAGAGTTTTCCCTGGTTCACATTATTGTACGCCCCCTTGATGCCCAAATAAGCTAACCATAAATGAGTTTGGTTCTTTATTGCTATTTCTATACATTGAGTGGTGACGAATAAGTTATCTTCCAGTCTTCTATCTCTTCGGAATCCATTTTGGAGTTCGCCCAGTATTTGCATATCTTCTATCCATTGCTCCATTCTACGCTTTACTATCTGCATAGCTAATCTGTATAGAATTGGAGTTACCGTTATCGGGCAATATGACCTAAAGGGGCGGCGCAACAATTTGCGGACTTCGGCTAATTAATTGCGGGAATTGATCCCGGCCACATAAAAAACTAGTTTTCATTAAAAAGAAAAACTAAAAGAAATTGGTATCTCTGGCACCCCTCAACTCAACATTGAAGCGGCACCAGCTTCGCCTGTGACGTCATTCGGAGTGGCGTTGGTTTCCGGTTGGGTGCTTCTGGCTTCCGTTTCCCCAGCGCTCGCCGGCTCGCCAGGCTCGCCGCTATCGCCGCTCTCCCGCTCTCCCTTCGATTCTCGACCAACATGGCGGCAGGGGCGGACGGCCTGAGCGACGTCGAGCGCAAGATGCTTGCGTAGAGTAAGTCAGTTGGACTTGTGCGGCGGGCAGTCGACGCGGCGGGCAGTCGAAGTCGAGGTCGAGACACCAGGTACAATAACGACACCACGATACTACGGACCACGACCAACGCACTCCGTCGAGCGAGGGAAAGACAAAACGTCCAAGTTGCTCGTGTAGCCGCCGTAGGCGCTTGCGGTAGATGGCGCCCCAAATCTTTTAGCGGCAATATTAGGCTTTTGAAGCGTTTCTGCATGCCTAAACAACAAGATTTTTTAAACTTAACCTTAAATTAAGCTTGCAATTGCCTAACACTGTCACTGACAAAAACCACTCCGAGTGACGTCACACCACAGGTTCCATTTGCGGCCACCATGTGGCCGCAGGTTGTGAAAAAAAGCGTTTTTTATTTTCCGATTACGCAGCGAAATAAAGGTATTTTGGGGTATGATGGCACTTTTTCTCTTACTTATGCCGAAGTAAACAATATAAAAAATACAAGCTGCACATTCGTTCAGTGTTAAAATCATTGCACCGCCCCTTTAATGCTGTCTTTGCTTACTTTGCCTTTATATATTAGTCTAATTTTACTTAGTTTCCAGTCATTGGGAACCTCTCCTCCCATAATTACTTGGTTAATCACATGTCGTAACTTCAATTTGCTTGTTTCTCCCACTGTCTTTAGGAGTCCCATGGGTATGTTTTCTGGGCCTGTCGCTGTACCCGCTGGAACCTTACTCTCTGCCTTGTCCCATTATTTTGCAGTCGTCTCCATCGTTATACAAATCTGTTCCTCCCCAACACTGCTGCTGACCGTGCTGTTCACTGTCTCCCTCAGCTCAA